AAAATACTTCTCTTGCTATATTTAGGTTTGCCTTCAAGTCAGATCGGTTTTATCATTTCCCAAAGTAGCCTAATTTACATCTTCAGCGTTACAGGCCACAATTTAGCTCTATTTTAAATGATCTAAGCAATAACCTCTCTTTCAGCAGTTACCCTCAAAGGGTTTGCATCAACTTGAGAAGAACCACAAATTGAAGTTGACATTGTTAATCAGAGCAATGCAAGACAGCCGCTCATTATTATTCAAAAATAATATCACTTATACTGCAGTGGTGTTCCTTGTGCCATTAAGCAGAGTGCTGGAAAGGAAGCAAGCCATTTTACAAAGCAGTTGCCTGAAGAGAATAATACTTGCATTTAGAGTCCACGGACAGAAGAATGCATCTGGTCTGTCCTTCACGTAGAGCAGTAACTGCCCTGACATAATTGAAAAGCATGTCTGAAAGTCACTTGAGACAAGCATTCATGCAGAAAATAATAACTAAGCCAAAACACTAACAAGTTCGTATCTTATCATCAGAGACCTGATCGAAAAGCAACCAAGGGCTCTCAACCTTGAACTTTTTGGGCCCACCGTCATCGATTAGGACCACTGCTAGTAGTGAAATACTACCACTCACTTTGGAAGAGTACTAACGGTGTCACAAAACTTAACTGTGTTTCTCTCCTCTGTAGGAATCAGTAATCAACACAGCAAAAAAAAAAGCAGTTGTCTTGAAGGATTTTGTGAGTTATTTTACAGTAAGTTTGTACACAAATGGAAGCAGTCCAAGACACCTCTATGATTCAAAATTATTCAAGATTTTGAGCTGATGAGGAGCAGTTAAGAGTGAGGATGAAAACCACAACATCCTATGAAAACATACCTTAACGTCTTCAAGTAAAGCAATTAATTTCTCAGGAATTGATTTCTTGAATTGAACTGCTTTATGATAGAAACAACAACAAAAGAGAGTTGACCCAACTCTAAAGAGAAATTATAAGAAACAGGACTTTCAAAACAGTTACTGAATGAGGTAGAATATAGCATATGAAAGAGATACAAGTATTAAAGTGATTTCAGGTTCAATTCAAATCCCTTGTAAGGACAGAGTGGGAAAGAAATTTAAAAAAAAAAAGATGTGTGCTTTGCTTTAGGTTACAATGCAAAATTTTGCCAATAGCCTGAAAGAAAAACAAAGCCTTTTAAACCAGGCTTGTTTATGTAAGAGGGAAGCTTAATACAGAAAATACTTATGCTGTGTTCTGTATTTGCTGATAACAAAGTTGGTAACTTGCTTGGACTGACTTTAAAAGTGAGAAACCACTGCATCCACGAAACCGCCCACTATTCGTCAAGATGGTTGCTTTTAACAACATCATTGTCTCTTTTACTTCTCAGTGTTCCATTAGTCCTGCAAGTCAAGCACTGCTCATCTGGCACATGAAGATCAAAATGTCATTTTGAAATGGCAGAGTTTGTGAATTTATGTATGAACAGGGTGTCCACCCAGTTTCTTCCTGCGTCTTTCCAATGAGAAAAGTTTTAATTTACTGTCAAGACAGCTGCAATTATGAATCTTTTGTTACTACTACTCTGACCAAGATTAATGTTCTAGGAGAGAAATCCAAACAGAACTCTAAGAATTTCAATGGCCTCTTAAATTCCACTATCTTCTGTGGAAAACACAACACTAGATTTCAAATACAGTAACATAAATGTTAAACTATTAAATTTTGCATCATGGTGAGACTATTAATTAGGAAAAAAAACCTTATCCATTCTTTTATGCAGAAAAATCCCTATACACTGCAATGTCTTTCCAAAGTAGATTCCTACTTTCAACAACAGAGAGAAGCATCATACTACAATATCCCTTCCTTCCATTTTCCTATGTTCAAAAATCACTCTATTTTGCTTCCTTGCCACTAATTGTGGAACTCTCCAAAGTAAGCAGGAATTGTTTGTATCAGTGGTCTCCAAATTGGAGTGCATGCAGCCCAGAGGATGTACAAGACAATCCACTGGAGGACAGGAAGAAAATAATAAATATTTTAGTTTAATAATTTGTTTTAATTTAGTTACTAAAATAATATTTGAAGTAGTGTTTATTTCATCGTTATCTCATCCTTTTTAAAATTTCTATTGTCCATGTTTTATAATTTGCATAACATATTACAGTAGTACACATCTATAATTTATAAATAAATCAAGTACAAATATATTGGGGGGTGTGCTCAAAAAGTTTTACTGATAGGTGTTCACAATCAGTAGTTCGGAGACCACTGGTTTGTGTCACTTCAGCACCAGGAAACTGAAGCAGCATTTCCTCCTTTGCTAGGAGGAGGTAAAAATAATGCAAGAAGAACTGCATGAAAGGAAGAGTTTTCAAGTGGGCTGCATTTTTCAGTTACTCAGGTGCAAGTTTAGTCACAGGCAGCAAGTGATTTTTCAGAAACAGTTAAGTGCTTAGCTCACACTATGTCTAGCAGTTGAGCAACACTTAAAAATCCCAAGAGATTCTGACTGGTATCCAGAGGCTGCCATAGGTCATTCAAAATCTTATTCTGTATGATTTAGGTTCAGGTCTATTGACTTTTGAAGAGATTTAAAATTCTAAATACATAAAATTCAGTTTCAGCAATAACTGATGCCACTGCATCACTTGGCCAGTTTTCTAATGCAAATGTAAAAAGTCAGTCTATTTTTATTTAAATTCCTGTCAAACATTCACAAAAAAATACCCCTGCTAGTCACTCAACACGCTTTTTTTTTTTTTTTTTTTCCTTCTTCTTAAAGATCACCTACTAAAATATCCCCTTAATTTCTGTAGTGGCCATGGATAAGTATCAACTAAGTGAAACACTGAAGTTACTAAAACTTTGGGGAAATTTTACTTAGTGGCTATGCACTATTAAGAAATAGTGAAGCAAGGCAAACCACATTGACAAGACTCTCTTTTTAAAAATTAAGTTATCCTGACTAATGGGCTTTTTCTACCATTTCTGTTCCAGTGACAATGACACTAAACACTTTATTCAATAATTAGACATTTTCAAATAAACTCCTTTACTCCAACTGAAAAGTTTCCGAACAGCATGTAGCACTGACTACAGCTCTGAAATTTTCAGTGTAACATACTTTAAAAATCAGAGTCCAAACATTTATTTTAAACAGATAAGAGAGCAGCTAGAGTAATGCAGGTTTTTTACATGGCATTTCTGTCATGTACTTTGATGTCAATCAATGAAGGCTATGAAACAGAACACTTAACCAATTTGTTTTTCTAGTCATGCATCACATCCCTCCAAATACTAGCACCAAGAGTTCACAGTATACAGTAATTAAAACAGACATTTTTCTCACAGAGCAAGGGACATTAGTGCGCAACCATTTCAGGATTTACAGCCCCAATTTAATAGAACACTTAAGCACACACTGACCTTTGGGCATGTAAGAATTCCATTTAAATAAAACTACCCATGCTGAAGGCTAAGCACTCCTTGAACTAGTACCTGTAATTACAGAACCCAGTAAATATCTGTAACAGACCTGTGGCCCCTTCTGCAGTTTTCCCCACAGGCTGTATCCTGACAGAACAACACGCTCTTCAATCTCCAGTGTGACTCTAGGAAAAATGTTTTCACCTGCTCTTCATTCCCTCAGCTGGCAGTTTATACAAGGTAAAAGCAGAAATGCCCATATGCTACCCCTGCTAATGTAAGTCCGGCTGCTCTGTTTACTGTATGGAAGACTTTCATCTTCTTGTTAGTCTTAACTACCACACCACACTGTGCAACAGAAGCAGAAAATGCCACAGACTGTTCACACGTGAACACCACAAAATAGTTTCAGATGCCTGCCTTACTTTTCCATCTCCTCTATTTTTTTCTCCTGCCTTTGTGTTTCACAAAGGGCAACAATACAAATGTATTCAGATGACCTTTATCAGACCAACCATCCTTTTATGCATGGATGTCATTACTACATAACCTTCCTCTTCTCTTTTCCCAGGAAAGAATCTAACCCTACAGCCTTCTGCACGTGGCAAGCTTTCACACCATCCTCACTGGAAATGTTCCCAGGAAAGTATAGCTTCAACATTAAATCTTCCTCCATTTCATCTTCAGGGGATGCTCCTCAAATCTGATGATGTCCTTTTTTAGCCATCTTTTCTAAACATTTTCTGGGTTTGATCACAAACTCACACACACAGAGGCCAGATTAGTTTATTGACTTCCTTCTGAACACATGATTTTATTTGTCTTTAAAACACTTCAGTAAAGAAGAACAGCACAAAAAGCTAGGCTCACTCTTGAAGTACAGAAAGGTTAGTACCGTTATGCAAAGCCATGTGATGCATTTCATGTACTGCATCGAGACCATGTCTTCTCAGATGGGATGGCAGAAACAGACTGTTCTTGGCTATGCCTGTTCTCAAGATCCTCAGCTAACACGCAGGTAACCTGGGAATGGTACCTATCTATGCCCTCATGCCTTTCAGACAGATGCTTCCTCAGGATTATCTTCCCCTCTCCCTAATTCTTGGGCCCTGAATGAGAGTTTTGCCCATATCTTCCTGTCAAATATAGTTACGTGTCTTGGAAGTTGCAGCCATTTTTTCTTACCTATTTTCTGAAGCAAGTTTTCCACAAATTTTTTCCTCTCCATAGAAGATGTCATAACTCACCCAGCAGAATGATCTTTAGAAGCTCACATATATATATTCTGGTATACCAGTAACCTGATGATGCAGAGAGGCTCCATCCTTCTAGTGTGTACATGCAGGTGCTACTGCATTTATGAAGATGCCAGGCCCTCTGATCTATGAGGGCAATAATACTTCAGGGACAGAAGCCAAAGGATGTCTGTCCTCATGTTTTTCAAGAGACCACCACTGCTCAGGTGAAACTGCAAAACTCAGTATCCGACTGATATCAGTGCAAAAGAACACTGTTTGCATGCAATAAAGGCAATATACTGTTCTTGTGCTATACGTTAGTTCTTTTTAGATGTCCTACCTGTTCGTGCCACCAAGTGGGTCCAGCCACACCAAACTGCTCCAATCTTTTCATGTGAGAAAAACTGAGTCTCAATCTTCTTGGGCTCAGCAAGAAAGATTTCTTTGCTCAACAGCTGCCCATGTTTGTTGCTACCCCAAACATACAGGTGTCCTTCACCTATAATAAACAGAAAAGTAAAATTTGTTTAAAGAGATATACATAGAACATCACCAGAGGCAGACTCCTTCTCAGCTCAGTAATGGTGAGGAAAGAGCAAGGTTTCATTCAATTTGTCTTTTTATTGTATGCTTTTTCCTACCATTCTTTACCACGTGCACACACACTGTAACTAGGATATCAGAAATATTTGCAGGGACCTTGACAACCTAGCCTGTTGTCTGACGGCTGTATTGACTCCCTCAAACAACCAGAGCTTTCAGGTTAAACTGTCTAGACCTCATTTCTACTGTGAGACTCTCAAAGATGAATGAAATATGTTTATAGCAAAAGCTAATTTTTATCAGCAAACTAACCACAGCAGTCAACTTCTCCAAGAAAAAAAAAAAAAAAAAAATCAAAGCATCTTGGGGATACTCACTGAGCAGTCCCTCTCAGCACACTCTGTTCTTGCAGGCCAGCTTTTACCTCCACCCCAAAGCTTTGATTCAGTCCAGTAAATAACTTACTAAATTGCAGCAAATAATTTAACTCCCCTCCAGCACCTGGGACTCTTCAAAGCCTGGCTGGCTTCTCCTGCTCTGCATTACACTCTCCTAGCCTCTCTACATGAGCTACAGACTCCTGGCTCTGCTCATAACTCTCCTGCCTTCTTCAGTTATAAATCCCCAAAAACAGGGGCAGGCTAATGCTCCTTGTCTCACCCTGCACAGTCACTTCCTAAAGGAATTGGACATGCAGCTATCAACATACAACTAAAGCAGGTACCAACCATCACAAGGCAAAATTAAAATATTATCACGCCTCAAAACAATGCTAGAGAAATAGCGAGAGACTTTAAGTGATTACTTAAAGTTGCCAACCCCTTTTCTAGATTAAGAATTTGTGCAAGTGCACACTCCAAGATTCCACCCACAGAGATAATTATATTTACAGAAACATCCACATTGCTTCATATGTTTCACCAGTGCAAGCTGGAGTTGCTCACAGCCTAACGACCAATTGACAGTAACAAGATAACTGCTTAGGTAAGTCCAGTTTGGTTCAGGCCAGTTTGGATACAGGTAAACTACCATCCTTTTTTTAAAGGAATCGCCATTTATGTTTGCAAAAACCCACTTCAGCAGTTGTGTCAAGAACCTGCCCAATTGCAGGTGTTTGGTATCCTACCAGCAGGCAGCTTGTGAATCAAAGCCAAAGGAAACTGCATCACAGTGTCAGAGTCCCAGGAAAAAAATCCCCATTTAAACACTACACCCGGCACTACCACCTTTACTATACGACATATCTTTAAAATACAAAATATTTTAAGTAATAACAAGTATCGTGCAGGATGAAGGACAGCAATAGTATCACATTATTAAAGACTTTGGCACTTACTTTGTTAATCTTGGTCTCCCTGCTGCCAAATAGACTGCGCTCAAATAAAAGCGAAAGCATGAAAGAGTAATTGTTCACTCCAAATAGAGTGCTAATTAGCTAAAGTAGATTCTATTTGTCCTTACAGTTCTTCTTCACTAATTGCACATACACTTTGCATCTCAGAATTCAATATAATTTACATCTTGGAACACCTCTCCATACAACTAAATCTCTGTAAATCTGCATAAGCAAATACTCTAGTGCTCTCCTAAAGGATGACAGAGGTACCAGATGGCTGCATGTTTGCTAAAATCTTGTTCCTATAAAGTTTGGAAAATACTTATTTTCATAAGGTTCAATATATTTTCCACACTTCAAAACTGATTACAGCACGAAAAGCAATTTTGTTTCCCTTTCTCCCCCAAAACAAACAAACAAACAAAAAAAACACCACCAAAACACAACAATAAATCTTTATTAGACTTTCATTACTAGATACTTAATACTCCAGCATGGGAGCACTGCCTAAAGATCAAAGAACATATGGCAGACATTATGGAAGTGCCTAAGTGATTAAAGCAACTTCTTACTGCTTTAAGCAAGCCTCGTGCTCTTACATCGCCTCACACAGATCTGCCCACTGTCACATTAGAGCCACCCAAGATAGCCCCAGGCCATCTCCCATCCCTACAGCTCAGGCAACAGAAGCAGGGCAGCCACCACAGTCTTTCCTGGGACAACCACCTACCACACCATGGACAAAGGGCTGCACTGGTTCCAGCACTCAACCACCCCGTTACCCAACAGGGCATCATGCTGCAGCTCCAGAGACATACCCAACCACGTGCCTCCACAAATCCTTTCAGAGCTTCTAACCATTAAGTAAAGAGCCCAGATCCCTACTCATACTTACTCATAAGGGTTGTCACACCTGACCCCAAGAAAAAAATAGACAGAAATCAGAGAATTCAAAACATGAATCCAGCTCTTAAAGGAAAGTTCTCAGAATCCAAAACTACTACAAAAACAAACAAGCACTAACTAGGCCAAATCAAATTTTACCAGTCTAACCAAAATTGACACACGTTTCCAAACACAAAAACCTTTATAGGCTGAGACAAGGATTTTCACTTCTGTACCCAAGGCCTACCTGTGAGTGACACTGAATGACAGGAGCCCGCAGCGACTGTCTTCACCTTTACATCTTCCAAGCCTAGAGATAAATTAGTCTCATAAAATTTGTACAGCAGGTATCATTTAATGCACAGACATGCACACAAGCTTAACGGGATGATGGTGAATTTTACAACAAAAGTCTCTGCTTTTGGGCCACAGACACTGCAAGACTCACTACTGTTCTCCCCCATAGATTATGGCCTTGTACACCCATTCTACCCTTCAGATACTCTACTACACGATTATAATAGCAAGTGGCTTTATAATAAAAGGATGCTACATATCACTCTATTCACCTTCACAAAGGAATCAGATTCCTGGATTACCTGTTACTTCACAGGGTTCCTTTGCTGTCAAGAACAGTGGGAGGGTTCTTCCTTGGTTTGCACGCTTTGCCTGAGACGCCATGCCAGTTCCCCACTGAAGCACCAAACCACTCTCTTTCCAGAGTAAACACAGATAAAAGAGATTAAAACACATCAACCAACAAAATCACTTAACTTATTCATTAGGTTTAATGGTACATTCACTTCATTTTCACTGATTCAAATTACACTTTAAAGGACCTTTATGCCAAAACATACAGATAATCCTGGTGAAGTCATCAAGCAACAAACAGTGGTAGCCACATTTACCAGGTAAGACAACTAAGAAAATACTAAGCAACGTGTCTCAGCTCTGAGGCCTACATTAGGATGTTTTTGAGGACTCAGTAATGTTTTTGAGGACTCAGTAACAGAAGTCCCATAGCTGTAGTGCCTCAGGAACGGATAGAATTTTAGAATTTCTTTATAGGTTCATTGCACTTTCTCTGTCCTTCTCTTCATGCTAATTTGTTTGTGCAGTCCAGCACACAGAGAGTGAAATCATGTGTGCTCTCCTCCGGAGGCTTCACCTAGCTCTGAATCAAGATGTTCACTGAGTGCAGAGCTCAGGGAAGCTTAATACCCAGTATTCATACAAGCACCAGAGACCCCACTCTTGCTTCCAAGAATCTCCTCTACATCTTCAGCTAGACTCCACTACCTGGAATCCATACTAAAATTCAAACAAAACTAAGCCAAAAAGAGCATATATAGTTTGTTGTTCTTGATTTTAACACATCCATGCCAAATGGAAGGTTTTGATTTCTAGTTATTCCATGAAAAAAGTCAAAGTCTCTAAGAATATCAGGAGAAATATTTAGAGACTATGACCCTCCTAAGTATACGCACAGCAGACAGTGAGAGAAAGAGCCAGCGGACCAGATTTTCAAAGGCATGCAGGTGAAATTAGCTCAGAGTAGATCCTTTCCCTCCCCCCCAATAAAAGAAAAGCTTCATTCTTGTGAATTTTCCAGGTGTCAATTTCAGTTACGTCATTAAAAGCCACATTTCATGTGCAGTTCCATTCTGGAGGCATCTTATACAAACCTAAATCCATTATTTTGCACATTATAAAGAATTTAAAATCCTAAGAAGATATTTTGATTGACCAGAAATATTTTTCTCCAGAAAAAGCTTCCTTTTGTGTTTTGTTTCAGAATAGGAGAAATCAGTAAGTACTCTACCCATCAGAAAATTAACTTGTTAATAAACTATCACACCAAGTTCTTGGAGAACACTTCACCACCAATTTCCACAAAGATGTTTCCAGCATTTTTATTATTCACGTTAATTTGTACGCAAATCTTAGTATAAGATTTTTAGCAGAATTTTCCCTGTGATATTTAAAATAAATAGTAGATAAAATAAACTTCATCTTCCCTCCCTCCCTCTCCCCATCCAAGCCATAAAAACTCCATTTCACTTGTTACTGAAATGTTATTAAACTTATGACATATTTACCTGTAGCAGCAAGGGCATGTCTGAGTCCTGCAGCAATATTCACCACCTTCTCTTTGAGACACTACTCAAAAAAAAGAAAAATGTATTTTAGCTGCTTTTTGTATTTAGTGCCTCTAAAAGCAAAATACGCCAAACAGATGGAATGCTATGAAAATAATTCTTCCAATTCCAGCCTGCATGTCACAGTGCATATCAACATTTTGTATCACAAAAGTAGTGCATTTTGACAAACAAAAATCACTGGGAACATTTAAGAAAAAAAATCTAGCAAAGCAACTGCATGTACAGCTTTGTGTCAATAAAAAAGCCATAGTCAAAATCTTCACATGAAATAACGAACCTTGGCAATACAAATATGTTTATTTCTTAATTTTAACTCGGTGTTTCTCAAGAACTACACCATAGCACACAGCAAATACCAGTGGCAAACAGTAGTAAGTTCCATCAAGCTGTTCAGCCTTACCAAGTCTTGCAACCACAAACAATACCACCGATAGTAGCACCTACACCACTGAAGGGTGCCCCATATGATCATGCAAAAGACAACTATACCAAGGCATGCATGCATAAAACCCTTGAGTTAAGTTTGCACAAGGTACTTCACTTCTCCACTTCTGAGTATTCTGCAAATTTATTATTCTTCTCATCTATTTAGAACAGATGGCATCAAGCCCAAGCATTTAACAGGATACAAACCAAAAGAGAAAATATTCCAGATGAAGGAATGGTCTACATGGTTAGATTCAGACCAGCACTGTCAATACCACCATTTTCAAGGCACCATACTGGAATGATGCTCCGGGAAACATCAAGGATACAGAAGCATCAGGTGAGTTAACCCTTAGGGGTTAATTCACAAGGGGTCACCTAGGGATCAGCTGTCCTCCTCCTCCATTAAAGAAACAACGAAGCAGTATGTATCCATCATGAGCCATGAGGCTAAATTTCTTGTCTGAGAATCCTTCCAGCTCTAAAGTTATTACTTTCATTAGACATGAGAGGTCGCATGGATGGAGAAGAGTTTAATTAGTGTTCTCCAAAGAAGAAACAACAGTGTAAACTGGGGATTGATTAGAATTCCTGTGATAAATTCCTTTAAACTGTTAGGCTTATAGCCAACAACAGGAAAGCTTTTCTGATGTTATAGAAGTCTCAGTACATACTAGTTAAAATGTTTTCAAGCAATTAATTTGGAGATATTCCGAGCTCCCCACTCACACTCAGCAGCGCCTCACCCACAATTATCACCACACATTTCCACATGACTTATAGGAACGACAGGAGTTGGAGTCCAGACTTCAGTGTTTATAATTGAATGTACTGGACAACAGAGAAATTTTTACTTAACTTTTCCATCCTGTTTCCTTGGAAGTTGATATTGTTTGGTAAATAATAGAGATTAGATGAGAAGCGAGTCAATGTACCTGTCAGTTCCTTTACATGCAAAAGTAAAAAATAATTTAATCTCAAAAGCGATAAAAGTAAAGTTTATTCTCTCAGGTCTAGTTTTCCAGCAGCTACATACTTTCTCACACTACTGCTATTTTGGGGGTGACCACTTATTTTTACCTAACTATTTTTACAGCCAAGAAATAATACTGCAGTCCTCATTTTGAAGGAAGAAACCCTGACAATTGTAAAACTCAAAAAAACAACACATACTTAAAAAACAGAGCTGCTACACAAGAAGCACAAGAGCAATAGATCAAGACAATTAGCATAACTTACTGTGTTGAACTCCATCATGCAGTTTGGTTTTTTCAGGGGCAGGTTATTGTTGGTTTGTTTTGTTTTGCTTTGAACTATTAAGCACAAACCTCCAACAAGGTACAGTGAAGGCACATACCTTCACATACCAAAACATTTCTAATATCTTACTAACTTGCAGCAGAACTTCAGCTGGAGTCAATCTGCAGTTTCCTTACCTTTGGTATCCCTTTACATCATCTGAGCATCAGACTCACTCTTCAGATGTTATCAAAATACATTATGAAATGTTATAACTGCTAGTGAAAGAGACAACTTTCTCTTAGAAGCGGGCAACTTCTTCATACAACAATAAAAGCAGCCTTAGTTTCTCGTTTATGGGTCAATGGTCCTTTACTTTGTAAGTTTACTGTAACAGATAGGCTCTAACAAAAAACAGTTGAAGAGTCTGGCTTTAAGCCCACTGAGGTCAGACAACCTTTGTAAATTGCTGGAAGCAATATAAAGTACAGAGCTCCAAAGCACAATTCCCTTTAAATCTTTACCTCAATCTGTTGTGGAATCAAGCACGGACCTGAAATTTGAGGAACTCCTAATTGTCCAAAAGAGTTAGATCCACACGACAGAACTAGGCCAGATTCTGCAAAATGAAGTGTTAGAGCCCAATCAGTAGATTCGCAAGCAAAAGCAAAGCACTGTAACATTCTAACAAGCAAAACACAACAGCCTAATAGCTCAAAACAGGACCTAACATGCCCTGTTCCAAAGCCCCGATGCCATAGGCTTCTCATCTTACACACCATGTTCAGCAAAAGTCTGAAGTTCACTGTGGTAAAAGCAACACGGAGTAATTTAATTTACAAGGCAAGTCGCTTAAAACCTGTAAGTACCTGTGTCTCACAAGCAATAGCCATGTGAAACTTTCAGTGTGTTCTCTAGATCAAGATATCTCTTCAGCTCTTACGACAGACAGATTTACCTACTAATATGATTGTAAAATCCCAGCCACAGGCAACTTGTTTTACACAACAGCCAGACAGGGCAGTGCACAAGGTAAAACGCAGTACATCCTCTGTGTGATTCAATCCCAGCTGCCCATCTTTGTTATGGCCACATACAAAGAGTTCTCCTGAACCTGGAATTAAAAACAAAACAAAACAAGTCAGGTCTCACTTCACAGACTAAAGAGACAAGCTTACATCCATGAGATCCTGTGACAAATAAGGACAGTGATTGGGTGTCATTTTAGGCACTGCCATCGAGCAAAAAGAGAAGCAGTTATTCCTCATGGATCAGAAACATCTCTGAAGAAGCACAGCTATTGAGAGTTGGATTTGTCAAGGGAGACAATCCATATGGTAAAAGAGACACCTCTCTCTAAGATGCATGATGAACTTCTTTATCCCATTCACATCTGTTTGTATCTTTTCTTTCCCATAATCCGCTATGGCATACAACAGAACCTTTCAGAGACCAGACGCTAGCTTCTGCTCCTTACCTTAAAACCTCTCAAGATTGAATAACCTTCCACTTGACTTCTCCCTCCCATGCCCCCATCCTCAACACAGAAAAACTGACCGCTTTGTATGAAAAGCTGGTTTATGAAACAGGTTAAGAAACAGTCCTCAAATAGCCATAAAGTAACCACACAAGATAAGCAAAACAGGAATTTCCCCAACTTCCCAGAAATATTGAGTGAATTGGCACAGCAGGAACCTGTTTTGCAAATAAGAACTGAATTTGATCAGAAACAGAAGCCACAGATAGGTGGCAGCACCAAATCAACAGGGAAACAGGAAAAGAAAACGTGTTTAAAAGTCATACACTCCTTACAAGTGCAATGTTTTTACCAGTGATAACTGCAGAATGTCCCCCTCCTCCAGTAATGCTTTTAATGTCTTGACATTTGCAGGAAACATCTTTCAGTGACTGAGGTACCAGCACATCCTCTTTATGACCAAGACCAAGTTGTCCGTAGCTGTTTGCACCCTTCAAATACACAAAGGAAAATAACACACTTTTTAAAAAGGTCAACAAAAAAAGATATGCATCTGCTCCTAACAGTGAGCAAGCTTACTGGGGACATGTCACAGATTAACCTGCCAGTATTTGCTCCTGAAAATCCCCCAAAATGTCAATCTTCATTCTTACTGCTGTCACACAGTAGCCCCAGAATTACAGACCAGGACTGTCCTAAATTTGCTGCCATGAAGGCTGCCCTTCCAACCCCAGTATATTAAGGAACATGCTAGAAAATATCCTGGTAAGACTTTAACAGCAGGCTACCAGTTACTAAGGAAGAAAGCTTCATTAGCAGGATGATTACCACCTGTTTAATTTTAATGCTAATGATTCCCACTCCTAAGGTCTTATTCATGCCAATGTTTTCTGGCAGTCCACCTCCAAAATGACATCAGAAAGACATGCTACCATTGAACCTCGATGAGTAAAGCAGAAAGATTTATCCCTTGTTAACGAAGTCTTTTAAGTTGAAGTGGTCAAAATGAAAACAAAGCCATTATAATTACTATATAAATTTATAAGTACAAGATTATAGCCACTAAACCAATCACAGAAAGCAACCACTGACGATATGGTAACGTGTCAGGGAATTTCTTTGCCAATTTAAGCTTTATTAAGTGTCCAATAGTTTGAACAGCAACTTCCATTCACAAAGGCGGATTCAGTAACTTTCCTAGCCCACACAGGGCAGTAACAGCAACACTCAACACCCAAATTGCTCCCAGCTGGGACCTTCCCCGTCTCAACTGTGCTCCCTCCCCCTGCCCAGCTGCTCTCCAGTTGCCACCACACCCACCCCCCTCCCCCCAGAGATGTAGCACCTGCTGTATCTTAAAAGGACACATTTAGCAATAAACATTTTGTACCTACAGCATTTTAGCCAAAAGCATCAGGCTGGTCGCCTCAGCCCACAGTTAGCGGGTGGATGAGATGTCAGGATTTGAGCTCAAGAGGCAGATCAAGTTGTTCTCTCACAGTCACTACTAGTGGCAGACAGTTTTAGAGCGTGTTACTACTTAGCACGTAATTTTTTTAAGAAGGCGTGTCAAAAGCTCTCATTTTAGCCTATAACTCGCGCTAAATTTTCAAGTCTTTACAACAGGCAAGCTGAGATAAGGTGCAAAAAGAAAACAGGTGCCTGGGGACCCGGGAGCCACACGCGTCTCTCCCAGCTCTAACGCGCCGACCTGCTTTCGCCCTTCCAAGACTGATGGGTTATTCCCAAACGCGACCACCGCAGCGCAAAACGAGTAACGAGGGAAAACGACACCCACTTAACGGCGCTTAGACCTCCTTTGTTCATCAGGTAAAAACCACCGTTCTGATGAACCACAAACAAACCGAAAGTCTTGATGAACCACAAACAAACCAAAAAGTCTTTTTTTCTTTCGAAGAGCCCAGGAATCCACCTCAGGCCAGAGAGTCAACGCGAAACGCGCTTCCCGCCGTCCGCGCGCAGCAGGTCCCCGCGCAGCAGGTCCCCGCGCAGCAGGTCCCCGCGCAGCAGGTCCGCGCGCAGCAGGCCACGGCGGGACCACAAGCCTTCACCTTCCCGGCTTCCCCGCGCGACGGCCAAGAGCCCGCCAAGCGCCATGAGGGCGACCCACCGCAACTCTTCCCCAGCGTCATTCTTTTTGGGGGGAGGGCGAACCCCGGGGCCGCCCCTCCCCGGGGGAACGCGGCTCGGGGCCGGCAGCTGGCGGCCCCCCGAGCCCCGCGTCCCGCCCGCCGCCATCTCGCGGCAGCGGGGCAGGAGGCGGGCCCCGGCCGCCCCCCCTCACCTCACCACGCCGAGCGCCCGCTTACCCACGCGAAGAGCAGCGGCTCCATGGGGCCGGCGGCCCCCGGCCCTTCCCGCCGCGCCGCAGGCCGGGGAGGAAGAGGCGGGGCGGGGCGGGCTCCGGCGGGGCCCCGCCTCGGCCCGGGGGCTGCGGGCAGCGCGGCCGGCAGCGCCCTGCCGCGGTCGGTGTCCCCGGCTGGGAGCGGTCGGTGGGCGGCGGTGCCGCGGCCGCCCGCGCTCCCCCGGCTCCGGCTGCTGCTTTCAGGACAAACTCCCCCAAAGCCGGGGCGCCCGGTCCCGCCGGCGCTGACAGGGGCCCGGGGATGGCGGGGGAGCTCCCGCCGGGGCCTGGGAGACGCCCGCACCGCTCACACCCCTTTCTACAGAAATAAAACAAAACAAACAAACAAAAAGACCTAGCCTTTAAAAAATGAGAGGGAAACAAGTCACTCCTTAAAGAAATATAGACAGTTCCGAACGGAATCAAGGCACAGGCGTGGAATGCCTGTACCACGTATAAAACATACCAACCCTGGGTCAGAAGTGAGTGCTTTGAGTTTATTGCTACAGTGCTGAAGTAAAAGGTTTTCTTCTTGCAATAATTATCAACAAGTCATTTATTCTGTTGACATTTAAAGCCTCCACAATAGTTCAAAATATTTAAATTATTACTGTTCTACATAGCCAGAAGGTTGGGATGCGTGAAGCCAAACATAAGCACGGTTAATGCCATGGAAATGCATCTTCTCTGTATTACTTTTAGCAGTTCACTTAAGTTTTTGCTACGCAAGTGCAAATAAAGATACAGTTGCTGTTCTTCCAAAGTATTCAAAATAGGTGCTAATTTATCAAGTATGTTTCTTACTTCACACATATACAGAGTTCAGACAAAAATTTGAAGTAATTTAGATTTATATATATTTCAACAACATAATAATCCCAACATTTTTTAAAATGCAGCTGAATATTAACTGTTATCACAGAAGCAGACAAAACAGATCCTCTCTTACTACTCACTTAATAAGAAGGTTTCTTCTTTAGAAAGACAAAGTTCCTAAAATCTAGTTTAAGGTGTAATGTAAGCCTTAAATGTTGTAGACCATATTTCTATGTCTTAAAAGTTCTTTTAAAAAAAAAAAAAAAGAAAGAAAAAAGAGTTCTAGTGGGTTAATAGTCACAGAAAAAAAACGTACCTAGGCTTGGTTTAAACAGTAAATATATTGGAAAGACTGGGCCAGTGATTGCTTATGGAACAGATGTGGCCTACCAGAAAGCAGATGAAGCGCAAACTTATTTTCAAGCACAGAGGTTCATGAAAGTCCCTTCAAATTCTCAAAATCCGGGAATAGCATCTCCAGTGTATTTAAGATTTCGGTCTGTTTGTCCAGAGACCTTCTCAGCTGCAAACTCTGGATTTCCTGATAAACTCTGCCTATGAAGAATCAGCGCCTAGCATGCTATTAAATACGCCTGGCACATCACAGACCTTCCATTCCAATGTGTCACAGCCCATGCACATATTCATTTCATTGCCAGGGCTGGCAGAAAGAGCAGCCGGCACAGCTTTGTACAGCTATGCAGGATGCTGAGATGATGGAACCCTGAAACCCGGGAAGTTTGCTGCTACATGACACAAACAATTCAGCAGGACACTGCTTCCCACCACTTGTAAAGTGCTCTTTAGAATTAAATACACTTTACGCTACAAGGTAGTTTGTTGCACTCAGCCAGAGAATTCCTATGAAATGCTTGGGCCTTTCAGATATAATTTGCTTCATAGGGAATTAAGGTGTTCAGCACTAGTAAAGAAGAAGCACAAGCTGCACAAACTTACATTCTGTAGGTGAATAGTGACCAAGTAATCAATAACATACTTATTCTTACAAAAAGCAGACTGGACTATGAACTTTGGCTGTTATTTTAAACTTTGGTGGCATTATTTTAGAACAGAGGAAACAATTTGGAATATTAAATTGTAATTTGGAAATTATTTTAGACTTTGTGCTAAGTCAGTACCTGATGGTTTGCTAAATTAATTCAATCGGGATAAAGACAAATGGTATTTCTGTAAGGAAACGTCTTCCCTCAGGTGCCGTATCAAGGATGGCAACAAAAATCCTGAATCCCTGAGCCAACAGCAAATCTCCCAAAACAAACAGCATCAGGATTTCATGCGACAGCTCTGTATCTGTGCCTTACACTAGAAGCATGCCAAACCACATTTGCAATTCTTTGGGAACAAGAATGATCCCTTTGAAAGCAAGATTTGAGCCCTCAATTTTATCATGGTGAACCTTCAGCTATTTGTGTCCTGATGTCTGCATTGTAATCATCCAAGTTTTAAACCTAGTAGAACAGACTTAGAAGCTACTGAATACTATAGCTTCTACACTATAAAGCCTGCAGTGCCAGAAAATAGACTACTAGAGTCAGAAACAGACATTTCTCTGTGGCGAATTATTCCGTTATTGCCTAATAAGCCACCTTCTTCAGCGTCTCATCCCAGCCCTGATCCACAGACCACACTTTTGCTCCAGTCTAGCAATATCTCTGCTCCCCCATTAGCTTCTCAACAGCAACTCCAGGCCTTTTTTATCCAAGGGGGGTGGAGGAATTCATTCTGTAAGGGACTTTACACAGAGAAACAAGGTAAAGTTGTTATCCTTATGGGCCATTCACTCTTCCATTTGTAAAGGAGAGAGTTCTGCATACAACACATTACATGCCTAGAAAAAAAACATAAGGGAAAAGAGTTGCCAAGTGCACCACGCTGCTGACAGGGATGTTAAACTTCCAGCTGCTTGCCCATCTTGCTGAGGGCATCGCTGACAATGTCCAGCTCATGACGCAGCTCATTCACCACGCTGGCAATGCTCTTCGTGTCTTTCAGGATCTGCACACTTTGAGTATATGGATTGTACTTCACGCCAAATGGGCGCTTGATGGTTTTTGCAAACTCTCTATTCAAGTAGAAAAAGAGAGGGAGTTATAAACAAAACACAAATGCATCCTCTGTATGCAGTCAGTATCAGTAACCATTTTTCTAAACTACTTTGTTAAAAATAGTCATAATTGTTCACACAGTTGCATAGTTCATCATCTTTCCCACCCAGCACGTGGAAGACCAAGCAAATACTAATCTCAGCTTTCCAACCCCATGAAAGTTAATTATGAAACTGTGATAAGAATAAAAAGGTTTGGTGCTGCTACCGAGAGATGTACGAAATCAATCAAACCTGCTTTTATAAAACAGGGGGGGGGGAAAAAAAAAATCTGTACCTCATCTTTTCCTTTGCTTCTTCAAAACTTTCAGAAACAAAGTAAACTTCCTGGAAAGTTGTAATGAGGCATTCTTGCTTGCAGGTGACCTTTGGATCAAAAGGCTTGACTTTGGCATTGCCAGAGAGCGAATGCTGGTAATGTAAAGTGTTGTCATGCATCACAGGAACATCATCACCCAGACAATCCATGAGGAAGATGACATGAAGTAGAATGAATAAAAAAAGATTAAGCAAGACCATATTTAGTACACTGCTGCTTAAAATTTTTATCTGCAGATGAACAGTGGAATAACTCTCAACGGTTGTATTCTGCCAATCGGTGTCAAAAAAGGGATTCCTCAAACATGAGGCTCACGTGTATACATGAGCAATATTTTCAGAATCTGGTTAAACCAGCAGAGCTTTATTTTGAAAACAGTTACTTGGAACCTATCAATAAGAAATACCAGTCACCTAATGCTTCTTGCAAAAGACACAGGAGCTGCTCAGCATATATCCAAAAACAGATAATCCCGTAATTATTGCCACTGTGAATTTTCTTAAAGTCTAGTAGGTATCTAGGAGTTTTCAAAAGAAAGATTTTTAGAGTTATACTTCATAAAAGCCAGGGCAAAACAGTGACAATAATAATCAGGTATGAACAAAGAAAAGAGGTAAATAAGCAGCAAATATTCTTACCTTGAGCTCACTAATCGAAGAGAGCAAGCCAGCCCCATAAACTCGTAGCTGTCCCTCTTGCTTGCACAAGCCAAACTCTACAGTAAAGAAGTAGCACTGAAACAGAGAAAGGAGTAAAATAATTCAGCCTTCAGTTAAGATGCTGTGGTGGATTAGATGGGGGCATTTCTATTTGTAGGTAGTGTAAAACGGTTGCAAATATCACAGTCATCACTTGGTTATCATTCTCAGAAGAGGAGGGAAGCCAGAATGGAAGGGTGAAGAACCACAGGATTGCATGTTTCTCGTAAGAATGATTGATATTGTAAGATCATCCAGCTAGGCTAAAAGCTGTTCATGCCAGTAGGAACACTGAGAGGTAAATCTATTTTGAGAAATACTGTCATGACATGACAACTTCAGCTTAAAAGAAACACTGAATAGAAAAGATCTCTGTGAGTGAATGAAAACATCAGTCCACTACATTTTGCTTCTCATTTTCTTAGTGGTCTGTAAAATTAAAAATGTTTAGTTTGCTGGATTTCAGGATATCTGCAGGTATATATGGGGAGGAACGGTATTTTTATAGATGGCTTAGTTCTGCTCCCACTGAAGGTAATAGAAATTTTACCACTAGCTACACCAGGTGGGAAATTTTTATTTTTTTTTTTTTTAAATCAGCAAACCAGTTCTTTCGTAACTGGCATCAATTATTTTTCATCTAAATTTAAATTTTATCTTAAAATATTTTTGCCAAAGCATCCAGGAATTAATTCATTTCATCCAGGAATTAATTTATAATATATTAATTTCTTGGCTGAAAAGTATCTAATGCTAGCGCTCACCACATTCAGTGAAAACACCATATCATTTCAAATCATCCTACACACTAAAGAAATAGATTACTTTTTAAAATCAATGAATCACGTTGCCAGAAGTAAGGTTTTGTCTGGAAGAAACGGAACACGGAATTCCAATCTGGAAGAAGTGATCTACCACCAGAAGTTGCACCCTTACTTAACAGCCAAGAGAAGAAAAATACCAATCATATCAACATTAGAATGTATTTTTTTCCTAGCATGGAGAATTACTATATGCCCTAAAAGCCAAGAAGCAGTGAAACACATAGGTCTAGCAGCTGGTGTGGCTAATGTTGACATGAAGCTCCAAATTTATTTGACAGAGTGGGATCAGCCTAGTAAAGCAGAAAGCTTTCCGTGGGATCACCAGGCATTCAAACACTCACTGTTGCCAGTTTTTGAACAGCCTCATCTGATGCCCCAAGTGATGCAAGACCAATTTCCTGGGAGAACTGAGCAAAACTGGGTTCAGCCAAAAGAGGGACGTGGCCTAGGAGTTCATGGCAGGTATCCCTGGAAAAAGAAACAAAACAAGAAGTCTCATGATCTGCCTTTGTGGTAGAATGAAAATGCAGCACCACTGAACAGATACAATGTCTTGTGTTAAATTATTTAATATCCACAAGACAGAAAAGTGTCAATAGTGTCTAGCTGAAAGCAACTGAGCAAGTCATACCGACTCTACATAAGTACATAAACTCAGATTTTCAAACAAAGCTGTCTAAAGTTAAGATCTGAGCAATTACAAGGCAATTGAATATTAAACTAACTCTGCGCACAATGACATCAATAAGAGCTCTCCAACAACATTCTGTACTTTCGAAAATCCTGTACTTCTAAAGGTGGCACTTGAACATGTTAAAGCTTCATTACATTCAGTGTGAACACTGAGTCTTCAGTACCTTAGAAGTAAGTTTACTTGCTGCTGTTCTTGAACAGCTTTTAAGTAGCTTGGCTCTGGGCAGCAAGATTCAAAACTCTCTCAAATTCTACCCCAAGATTAAATGACTCACGGCTCTGGTGTATAGAGAGGGTCCGAGCTGTGCCTAACATACTGAGTGCAGTGAAAAACTCTGAATGCTAATCCTGCCAAGAAGTCTCTGGGCGACAGATAGCCAGCAACAGGGCGAATGGTGAAACCTGTGCGCTCTGAAAAGGAACAGAGAAATTGTACATTAGTTAGTGTAGAAGTGCACAATGTTGTCACCTTTCTGGCAACAAGTGAGGTAAAAGCCACAGCACTACCTTGGCTCAAGAGCACATGGGAAAATTAGGCATGATTAGAAAAATCAGGCCTAAGCTTCAGAATGACCAACACTTAGTAAAAATGTCCCTACCTCTGTCAGTGGATTTCCTACAATTTCATGCCTAGAACCAACACAATACAGCTAGGTACCTCTTTAGCCAATTCTAACAGTCTCTTCAGAGGCAGCATGGCTGCTCAAATGTCACAGTTTTTATATATTCAAGACACAATATATTAAAACACGGATGGCCAAAAGGCCTCTTAAAGGACAAGAATGAATACAAGCAAAAGTGACCAAGGATGTTTTCTTGTGCCCATAAAATAGCAGTGTGATTTGCAATGGACATTAAATCCTTTTTATGCAAGAAAAATTATCACGTTACCTTTCAGGAAGCGGGACACATCTTCCAGCTGGGGGATATTGTCTTCCCTGTACCCACAGTATTTGGTGAGCAAGGGTAAGTTTTTAAGGTACTCTCTGCAGGCATGAGTTGGGTAAAGCTTGTTAAGCTCTCGGTACACAATCCCCCAAGTCTTGACCTCCTCCTCAGTGAATTCAATCTTGGGAATTGGGTCACCACTACAAGAAGAAGAGGAAGAAAGGACATTCCTTGGTAAAAGGCTAATAAGGGATGACTCATTTACCTACTATAATTATTTAGCATCTATACAGCTGTGACACCTGGTCAGGGTGCGTTAGGCACTGTCAAATATACAATGAGATCTGGTCTATGCCCTGGAGAGCTATTAGTCTAAGTGCTTGCTCTCTTTTCCACCTAAATCAGCTGACAGGAATCTTTGCTCTGACCTCACTGGAGCCTGAAAGCTTCAGTTCTGCAAACAGCTTCTTCGGTATTTAATGCTGAGAGTAACATTTTAAATACGGGCATAACCTTTACAGCTTCAGGGGCTGAGAACACCTGCTTTTCCCTGCTGGACTTCCCCGTCTGCAATTACTTTCCATTACCTTTGTGATTTGTCTTAGAAAAAGAGAATCTGTCTGAACATATTAATTGTAGTCCATCTCTCCCGTTTAGCCCTCAGGATCTTGATTAAAGGGGATTATAGCAAGGGTGTGACCTAAAGCCCACTGAATGCAATGGCAGTGTTACACTGAGCTTCCACTGTCAGCCCGGTAACCAGCATGGCAAATGCTTTCCCAAGGGAATCCCTGTTAACAGCACATTAACAGTAACCAGCTCTGTGCTGTGGTAACCAGTTGCATTAATACATAGTGCCATAGAGCTCTAGATACCCACCATTTCTAGGTCATTTCCAATTGAGGAACTTGGCATCTAAATTCAAGTATGCAACAGCAACATGAAAATCAAATTTAGAAAAAACAATACTGGGCTATGAAACTCTTACTGCTTTAAGAGCTCCCTTCCCCCAAGCAGCATCTCTACAGACAGAAGCTCTTCAAGTTTCTTTTCACAGAAACCTTCTTATCTACACATCACATACACTAGAGTTTGAACCAGGAAAGAAAATTCAAGTATTAGCATTTGCCCAGAAAGTTTACACTCAGTGGTCAGTGGGCTCTGTACTGGGTTTGCCTCCCCTCTCTCTCCTTCCCAAAGGAGACCAACCTGCCCTAGTCAAGTCAGTACATCCTGGCACAGGCAGCTGTGAAACACGCGTTGCCCACCCTCTTCCTTTGTTGCACCCATTTCCAGAGAAGCGGGGAGGGACTGCAGAGTCCAAATGCACCACGCTGCAGGAAGCCAGCGCTGGCATCGCTGCCCATGTGAGGATCAGCACCGCCACAGATGCTGCAACGGCCGAGCAACCACGGCCTCAGACCGACCAGAGGCCCACAGGGCTGTAAGACAGCCTAGATCTACCTTTTAATCTTGTCTTACATCTCCCTTCGTTTTACCCCTCCAGCTCCGATTCCTGAGCCAAGCGTGTCTCAGCAAGATCTGAGCCCAGGGAGGGTGAGCTCCTGCCAGCTCACTCTGCTATTATTTCAAGGCACCCAGAAGGCTTATTCTGGAAGAAATCAAGCTTACTGTTTGTAGTTCATAGCCAGGTCTGCAAAATACTTTCGCCTCTTGCGATAGACATTGTCTTTGAAACCCTAGTGAGGGGAAAGAGAAAAACAAAGTTAAATGGGTTTCCAAGCTGTAGTAAATAAATTAATTTAAAACAAGACACTTGAAATTTCTTGAGTTAGGAAATATAAAAGTATGCTGTGTAAGAATGAGAGGGCAGGGCAGAAACTTCATAGCTGTAGTCTGAAATCTTTAATAACTGTGAACTAAGCCAATACTCCAAAGTAAGAATCGGCAGGTTTAAGCATGCAACTATATATTCAGTAGATGCAGATTCATTTGTGTCATATTCAGTATTTATATGAACTTTGTTACTTGTTTGATTATTCTAGACTACAGAACAAATTGCCCATTTGCACTGCCCAAGTACCCATGTGTTTGCTCCAATTATAGCAAGGAAAAAAAAAAAATGAGAAGGAACCAAGCCTGCCTCACAATAGTTTTGGGTTTGGGTTTTTTTTTTTTAATTTGTATGCGACCACTCAGAGCCCAGACCTGGAGTCCTCACACAAGTAAGCCTTGCAGAAAGGCACAGGAGCTAAATTCAGTCACAGCCTTGCCTGAACTAGGAAAAAGATGTGAAACCCCTGAGAGAAGGTGCTCAGGCCCACAGAGGCGCCGTTGACGGGTAGCAGAGGGAGGAGGAAAAGCCACAATTTTTTAAAGTAAGCTCCACAAATAAGTTGTCCCTAAGGATTAGGTATAGGGAGGAAAAAATACTTACTGGATGGTCAGCATCCAAATCGGACCCGTACATCAGCACTCGGTTTGCACACTTATCCAAATCTGAGATCTTCTTCGGAAACCAGGGAACATTCTCCATGTCTAGGGAAGGCATGGAATCCACAAAGTTATTAATAACGCCGCGCATGCTGAGGGAGGAAACGCTACTTTCAAGTATGGCTATGGCGGTTGCAAGTAAAATCTATAAATTAAAAGGGCATGAATAAGACAAGGGAGTCCACTGCCTATCTGGCACCAGCCTACAGCTCACACTTCCTCCTCTGTCACTGCCACAGTCTGCCTACAGAGCACAGCCAGCGCCAAAGCACCCAGGGGAGGAAATAGTTAATATGGTTTTTCTGTGGCCCTTAACTGTCACAGCTGTCAGAGTAGCATCCAGAGGCTCCTCCTGAGGCAAGGCCTCCTTGTGCACACTGCTGTGAATCTGCTGGGGTACAAAGCGTGTGAAAGGCCAGAGAAGTGATTTGCCTGTTTGAGTCCTCCCATCCTGCTTTACTGACCATGGGAAATAAACGTTGCTCTGTGGTTATGTGCCCCAGAAGCATCCAGCTTTGCTGATGGGTTTGTGGGGGAAGAGGAGGAGAAGGAGGCCCTGCAACCTGAAAGAGATACTTCATTACAGTTTTGCTACTGACTATTTTTTTTTTTTTTAGCCTAAGACAAAGCTCTTGGCAGAGTGGTCAATGCACTGTTTTTTCAGTTTTCTTAACAAGGACAGAGGGATTGTTTAGATTGAAATTCCCCTTACTGAGGGATAAAGTAAGCGTTTTATTCAAGAACACCAGATCTCACCTTCCCCTAACTACCAGCCTGTGCCAAGCACAGTGGCTGAGAAATACATGGGACTGACTTCCTGCTGCCCTCAACTTCAGGCATCTCTTTAACTAGAAGCAAAGGTAAACAGGATGTGAAGCATCCCAAAGCTGAAAGGCACCTCTTTCACACTAATATAAGTAACCGGTTATGATGAAAAGCAGTTAAAAAGAAATTTAAACCAAGTGCTACACAAGGAAACTGCAGAATCCATCTCCCACTCTCACCAGTGTCAGAACTGAACTGGAATCTGTCAGTATTATACCCCTGTCACCATGGTGTATAGCCGCTAGCCAAGCCCTGCATTCAGACTCGGCCGACACGCCGGCCGGCGAGGGCAGGGGGGCTCCCAGCGACGCCAGCGCTGCTGCTCTGAGAAGGGTCGGGTGCACAGGTGACAGACGTGCAATTTGCACCCACCCGAAACAGCCTCTATTCCTAGGTGACACCAGCCAACGCAGCCCTGCTCAGATCAACCAGACTACACTCACTCACAACACAGAAGCATAAGCCTGGTAGCTACTGATTGAAAACACTACACAAATGTAGATGTGGACACCATAAGAAGATTTCAAACCAACACAATGACAAGCGCGTTTTCATCAGAACTGCCTTTTGGGCTTACCATCTTCCTGGACATTGAAATGCTCTGTCGGGTTCATAGAGACAATGTTGACATGAGATTTCAGGAGCTGGAGGATCTCATTCAGTTGTTCCCTGTTACTGTCACAGTCCACAAAGATCTCAAACTCAGAATTCCGTCTCTTGGACTTCCGTGACTCAATGTGTACTAGATTTACATGCTTCTCCTGTTTTGTAAGAAGTAACGTTTTCAAACAGATTTGAAAAACAAATTTTAGTTTTTAGTCAATTGTTTTTAGTCAATGAATATTCTACTGCCATGGGATATACACCACCTTTGTGCAGCTATTTTAGTTAATTGGATCTCTTGACAGCACTTTGCTTATTTGAGGGGGGGAAGTTATTTGATTTCAAAAAACTTCCCATGCAGAAGAAAATGAAAGAGAACCCATGTTCTTTCAATTTCATTTACATTCAGGAAGCACTGAAAGACACAGTCAGGAGGTTTAAATTCATAGACCTTTTTCTTTCATCCCTCCCATAGGAAGCTGATTAGCAATTGGGTCTGGGGAAATTCAGCAAAATGCCAATCAGGTCACCGTGTAATTATCTCACAAGCAAGCAAGGGATTTAAAAGCAGTAGTTTTGGGGGCTTAAATTTCACTTTTCTTTTATTTGAAAAATGATTTAATCATATGTCTTATATGAGGAACAGAGAGAAACCCCAGGCTAAGAGATGCGGGGCCAGATGGCAGAGCACAGTGGCACTGTGCATATTCCTTGCACAATACCCACCCAGCAACAGGAGTGCAGTTGCAGTTCCTCTGTCACCCTCAGCACGGCTAGGCAGGGTGACAAGGGCACTGGACTCACCCTGGCACAGGTCAGCACCCCAACAGCCTACCTGCCATCAGCAAGAGCTTCAGACCCACCTCTGATATGCAGTAGAAACAATAAACAGCAATCCTCTTTTCACAAAACCCTCTCAGTCTTTAGTCAGTGCAGATGATAAGCTTTGTGAAGATTTTTAGCAAAACAGCATCTAATTTCTGAGGCATAAATTTGCCTTGATGGGTAATTTTGGGTGCAAAGTGGGAACCAAATTAGGAATCGCATCCTTAATAAACAGGTGTAATTAATTCTACTGTGTTCCAAAACTTTCCTTACAATTTAAAAATACAGAGCTTCTGTAGCAATGTCATTATTACATACCTGAAAGAGTTTTAACGCTTTTACAAGTCCTCCGACTTCGTTCTTCAAGGAAAAAATGATGGCTGTTCTTCCTCTTTCAGATGCATGGTCTTCATTCTCTTTATTATCTTCAATCATCATGTAATTTGACTTATTTAACTAAGTGCAAACAAACAAAAAGATTTTTCTTAATTGGTAGTAGTGCAAAAAGTGTAAAGTTTTACATTTCCATTTGTCTTGGTGTAATATTGTGCTTTGACTGATCAGCCGCAAAAGGAAAGGGGCCAATTAAATCATTACACAATAACAGGCATAAAGTTAGGCACACATAGAATCTGTGAGATCTGACGATTAAATACTTAGATTTCTTTGTTTTAGTTGAATGATTTAATAGACAACTTTAGTCATTCTCTAGGATGCAGAAAATGTTTTCAAAGTATAGTTTATAATTAGCATTGGAGGGATGCTGATTGAAGGGACCAATAAGATGTCAGCAGAAATAATAAGTTGAGCAACATACTTGTTGGTGAATTCAATGAACACTGGTAAAGGGAATAATCCAGAGCCCACTGGATATAGGTAGGAAAAGATGGATCAGGGTTTAATAGATCAGAACTGAAAAATCACTGCCTTTCTCTTGCTACATAATTGTAAAACACTGCTTTTACAGAGAAAGGAGACAAAACCTAAGGAGTTAAAATGTTATGCTGACCAGAATCTGTTGACTGCAGAGACAGTCCCACTCCCATCAACCACAACCAAGCTCTTCCATCTGTCAGCTCCCCTAATTCACATGCCAAATCCTTATCTTAATCACCCAAATCACACACTACAAATTTTCAGATATCCAACACATGGTTTTGTACGTTATTAGTAATCGTATTCCTGACCGTGTTGAAATCAGTGAATATCACAGACCATATGAAGTATTGAGGCCTGAGCAATAGGCCAGAACTAAAACTGACCTCTAAATGAATCTCAACACCCCACAATATGGTACTAATCATACGTAGTATTAACCACATATATAATGTATTACTAGTCCATCTTAGTACAGGTATGTACAGAAGCCTTGTTGTAATTTCATTATGTAATAATAGCCAATCAACTGATCTGCCTTTATTTAGAGGCATGAAGTAAGGCCGTGAGGCCAGACACCTGACCCTGTTAAAAATACGTGGGTTTGGTCCCTCTTGCAGCATCACCAGACATCAGATCCTGTTGAGAAATATGTGACTATAGCCCAAATAGATACACACGCTCCCTTGGGTTCCTGCTTAAGCCCCGGACAGGCTTTGGGCAAAATCCAACAGGGAGGGGACGCCAGATGTTTCTGCGCTTGAAGTTTGAAACCTGTTGATTGAACAATACAAAAGCTGGATCCTCTCTGCAGCAACTTTGGAGATGTCACCTACGAGTGGATGCACTGCGTAGGACCCCCCCAATTGCTGGGAAAGGTTCTCCAAATCCTCGCTGCAACCGAGGCTCCCCAGCGACTGTGGATCTGGATGGTGGTGAAGTATTAGGGCAACTGGCGATGTATCTTTTTTTAATCACTATCGCTGACTTTATGTAGTAATGATTAGGTGCATTAACTTGTTTCGCTGTATTTTCTTGTCGCATTATTTTAAGACTAGGAAGCATTATCTTGTTTATTCTCTTTGCTGTTATAACTAGAGTGTAATAAGCTTACGAGTTTGACTAAATGCATTATCTTATGTTTTGTATTATTTTGCAATAGATAGTAAAATAAGTCTATTCTTTTTGTTGGTATCTGAGTCCTTTCTGTCAACCCCATCAATTGGCAAAACACCATATTCTCAGCTACATGTAGCCAGGCCATAAATGGAGATGATATTGAAACAATTAAGAATGTGGAAAATGCGAAGTAAAGAAAAAATGCAAGGCTTAAAATCAGAGGCTGTGTCTCATATTCTTCAGACCTTGCAAAAATAAACAAGAAAGGTGAGGTTTCTGAAGGAGCCAGTGAGAAAGTGGAGAGGAACAATGAAGCCACATTATTGCTATTTGGAATTATTTTTTGATCTGACACAGCTTTTAAAGACATGACTATCCAGTGACATTTTCGGGAATGGAAAGAGCAAAAATAAAAATGCAGTCATAACACAGCAGCTCTGTTGATTCCCTTCTACAGTCTCTCCAACTTTAACCTCTTTAAAATGGATAATTCTGAACAGCTAAGTATTTCTATCTATAATAGATAAATTTAAAAATAAAAAACAGATTTTACCTATCTTTTATCAAAATGTTGCCATTTACCTTTCAGATTAAGAAGGTAATCTGCCTAACAAAATAATCAAATTAGTTTCAATTTAAATTGAGTGGTTTACATCACAGCTGATATTTGATGCTGCTCTAAGAAAGCTTTCAAGCAGGTTACTAGATGTGAGCTCTTTGGGGTGCCGAGGTGGTAGCCCATGGAAGACGTCTTGCTCCAAGCCCACTCATGCTAATGGAGGTATCTGGATTTCTGACCAGGTCCCCCACCTCTAACGAGTTGTCACTATATGATGAGCCTGGACAACAGTGTCAGTCCATCACACTGTTTCTGATGCAGCAAAGCCACTGATCTCCGTCAGCTTGGGTCCAGACATCAAATTCTCTGCTGAAAGCGGGTGACAGGGCCCAATCCAGGTTCTGCTGAGCAGCCTGCAGGTCTCAGCTGGCTTCAGTGAGCACCAGACCAGGATCACAAGAGCCAGGGGCAGGCACCGAGCAAGGGTACTCCAAGCAGAAAAGAAAAGGCTCATAATTCCACAAATACATATAGGTTATTGGTTGTTTTCTCAAGTGCTCAAGAGATCGCCATTCGTGTGAGCCAAATCCTATTAATACGATTCTGCTGTAGAAGAAGCTGAATGCAAGGAAGTCTCCATTACAAATAGGGTTAGATGGTGGTCTCTGAAGGCAACAACTGTCGGGCTGGTTCATATATATGGCTTACACACAACACGTTGGCTTGATTCCACGTTCAGGATCATTGACTTAAAACAAGATCAGCTTATCAGATTTGGTGTAGTTGCATGCAATATCATAAGATGCACAGCAAGGACAAACTATATGCACTGAGGACTAATATTCTTATTTCGTATTTTGCTAGTTCAACTAACATTGTGTTTAGGTGACAACACTTTAAAGTAATATGTTTAAGAGACCAGTGAAGAAAATACAACAAAATGTGGTGTGTTCTTACATTAAGTTTGAAAAAAATCACCTCTAACTTAAGAATTTGAAAAAGATCTAGAAGAGAAATTCAGATGCCTACAATGCCAAACGCACACCACTTACATCTTTAACCCTAAACCAACATTAATCTCCTGCTTTCAATTAAAATACGGACCGAAAACAGGTCTGCACTAATGCAGCAACCATTTTGGTGAGAGATAACAGTAGAAAATGGCAATGCAAAAACAATTCCTCTCCTTCAACAGCTGCACCTTCACTTCCATATTATTCTGTATCAGTAACACAGCTCTAATTAAACCCAACACTCTTCCTTTACATGGTAACACATTTGAGCTTTTTGGAGGGTGAGGGAAAAATTAATATTGCATTGATGTTTGTTATTAATGATGCAAATCATTAACTGATTTGCCATCAACCCAACTGAAGTCTTAGTGAAAATACACAAACAGAAGGATACTCTAAAGCCCTTATTTAGATAGATACCTAGGTGCCTTCTGGTTAAGGATCACTCCTTTTGGAGCCCACAGCCATTACCTTCCCTTTCTCTGCGTCCCCAAAGAATAGTCTCTGTGAGCTAGACATCTGAGGGTGCATATTTTGTGCTTTAATTCTTTATATTAATGGATAGCCAAGATTTAAAATTATCTAAACGTACTCATCTAAAGGAAATTACATTTTAGATCCATAAATTGAAGACCAAAAAAGTCTTTTTTAAAAGTGTGTTTGATACAGATTGCCATCAATTGTACTTGATAAAAAGTCTCAACGGGCATTTTATATCCTCCTCCCCCTTTAAGTAGTTGCTTGCTTTCTCACTATCCTTTTGACACAGTTCTTATAGTTAGGGAAGGATGAAGACATGATCTTAGGAATGACCACGACTAGATGTCACATTACAGGGAAATTTTTCAGCCACACCAAAAGTCTTCCTTAGATTTAGTTCTCAGACATCAAATCAAAAGATGTGCTGAATAGCTTATTTGGTTTCCAAAGATCTGAGGGATATGGCAAAACAATCTTTTGTGAAACTTTACTCATTACAGTCAGCGTTCTTGTTTTCACGAGGAGTTTTACTGACTTTATAAACTGCAAAGTATCAATAACTGCAGCCAACGCATAAGCATTGATTTTATCCGATTTCTGATGTACTGAGCATATTCCCACTGTAATGTGAAATAATCCAGGAGGGTATTTTTCGGGGCTACATCACATCCTCTTTCTCCTAAGCAATGATGCACCAGAAGTTACTTTTCTTCTAGCTTAATTTCATCCACTCGAATCTGAGTTTTACCCCTTTTTTCCCCCCTTCTCTTCAGAAACAGCAGCGTAACACCCCCCCCCCCCCCCCCCCCCCCCGCCAGTCCCAGCGGCACCGAGCGCTCCCACGGATGCCCGAGGAGCAGCATCGCTGGGCAATTACCGCTCTGCGAGTCACCGGGGCCAGAAAGCCACCTTTTCTCCCCCCAGAAAAACCACTGCTCCGAGACCCGCAGCAGCGAGGCGGCGGAGCTGTAACCTCAGAGACAGCCACACTTTTCCCGCAAGCCAGGTTTTCCCGCTCAGCCCCGCTCCCCTCACCTGGCCGGCGGCCTCCCGAGCGCCGGGCACCGCCTCCAGCGAGCCGCCGCGCCGGGCCGCGGGCTGCATGGCCGGGACGGGCCGGGCCGGGCCCGGGACGGGCGGCGGGACCGGCGGCGGGGCCCTCAGCACCGCCCGGCCCCGGCGGCCGCTTTATGGAGGGGGCGAGAGCCGCCCCTAATCGCCCGCCGCGGGGGGCGGGAAGAGGAGGAGGTGGCTGAGGGGGGAAGGCGGGAGAAAGCGCTGCCCGGCTCCTCTGAAGGAGCGGCTCCGCAACCCTCCAACTAACCCCCGCGGGAAGCTGTTCGTCCAGAGGCCGGTGGCGGAGCGGGGATGCTCAGATGCAGCCACCGACCACCCACCATCTCTGCACCCCAAAAAAACCCGCCCCAAAAAGAGGCGCTTTCCCGCTCGAGTCACACCTCCTTGGTCACCCGTACGAGGAAGTTTAAGGCGGGCCGGGGGGAGAGAAGACTGACTTTTTGTCGGTAACTTTGTGGGGTCTGCAGCTAACACACATTCGCACCCCCCGGGGCTGAGGGGAGCAAGCATGGGCATGGAAAGGGCTCACCTACCTCCATCGTGCCCACAGAGCCTCCTCCCCACGCGTGTCCGCTCACCGCAAATTGAGATGTAGGCTGCCAGTGAGGAAAGGAAGGCAAACTGCATCCTAAGTGAGAGGTGGCGAGGGCTGGGGCTGCAGCAGAGGGTAAATATGCAAAGTTGCCTGCAAGGAGACGGCTGAGCTACCAGGGATCAGCGGCCCCGGCGAGGAGCTCCCCTAAACACCCTGCAAGGCGGCTGCGGAAGCGTGTAGTGCAGGCTGCAGTCTCCAAGAGAACACAATGGACAGACATACTCAGTTCTTCACCAAAAATAACAGTGCATGTGTTGCTGGGAAAATAAATTGCAGTACATTACTTCTTTTCTAAAAAACTCCTGCACCTACAGGAAGAATAAGTACACATCAATTAGCAGGAAACTATATTTTCATCTCTTATCTATAGTGTCATTTATTTTCTGTGTAGATCTAGACATATGCTTGTATTTTAGAAACTATCACTGTTTTTAGACTCCAATAAGCCCAGTCCTCACTGCCCCCTCTCAGGTCAGACTTGGCAACAACATTAAGATAAGAGAATTTGTGGTACACAGCAGGGGAAGTCAAAATGGTCCCCAGGAACGTAATCATTTGGAGGCTTTAGGGATCGGGGCGAGGAAAGATTGATTATTTTACATTGGGCATAGGGCCATCCTAAAACAGATATTCTGGTTTTTCATTAGTTCCTTTCAAAGAAATGCTCAAACTCAGCCATGACTAGTTTTACCCTAATTTACTCAAGTGTCTGAAAAATCTCCAGTATTTTTCTCTTCAGTGACTAAAATATTGAAAGCTCGATTCCAGATAGATCTCTTAGACACTGGTGTAACAGAAATGATAAATTATACTGATGAAGCCAATATGCAGGCTAACGTCTAACAGAGGCAAACACGGTCACACTTGCACTGACATCTCTTGACTTCTAGGAAGATGGAAGGCACTGACATCATTGGAGATGTCAGTGCCTTCCATCTTCCTAGAAGACACTGACCTTCAAACAATCTTGTTTCTAAGAGGACTGAGGGTGACTAGCTCTGCCTTTCAGACAAAGCATGGGATTGGAAGAGCATGGCTGTAAGTGATGATGTAGCTGGGAAAGCCAGTTTATTCCAGTTTGCTAATGGGATATATTTTGTGACCAGATGCTTCAATTTTCCCTTTATAAAGAAAATACAGTATTTATTCACTTTATGCCTTAGTTCTACAACAGACACTTCCTGCAGAATAAATCTCCCCATCAAACAAGCGGACTCAAAAAGCAAACAATTTGTAGGATCTTTAACCAGAACCCTAAGCATATGAGAGCCTGATATTAATAATAAATACATAAACATGAGCACAGTAAGATATTTATTATCAGCTAAGACTAATCTGTCAGTTTTCCCTAGCTCAAATGCAACAATAATAAGAACTAACATGTAATTCTGCATATGATTTTTTTTAATTACTCACTAGGTAGCCCTCTAGAAGCTCCTCCTTTGCAGGTAAGCATCTTTTATTTGGAAATCTGGGCTCACGATGGTCTTCCAGTACTTCCCAATAGCAGCCCAGCTGAAATTCCTGTGCTTTCTTTCCTGTCAAAATGTTGTGCTCGTCCTTGATAAAATTGGAAAGAAAGTACAAGGTACAATTGTCACTCACGTTCTCTCAGATGTCAGAAGACAGCTGAGTTCATGTCACTTTAACTGTGAAGGAAGGACTTTTTTTTTTTTTTAACTTTTACTCAGATCTGCCTTTCCCTCTCCTTCAAAGGCTATAAAGCTTTCACAAGACACACTGGGAAAGCCAGTTTATTCTTTGTGTATACATACGGATTTTTCTAGTGTTAAGGGACATGGATGTCCTCCTTGACAGCCCAGACCTGTAAAGATGCTCAAAGAAGAGTCAGTCACCCAAACACCTCTGAAAACCCACTTTGGAGCCTCCCTCCCCAGGAGACAACAGCAGCAGTGGTTTGGTTAGGATCTATGGGTCCCTGAAGCACAGGAAAGTGCACAGAACAGTTCTAGGGCCGCACTGAGGCACAAGATGGTGAAGCTGAACTCAGCAGCAGCACACAAGCTTCACAGCACACAAGAGCTGTGGAGGGGATATAAACAGAGCTGCCAGCCACGCCAGATTTAAAGGCACTTTCTACCTCCGAGGCCCCAGTGTGATAGACAGGAGTGTCCCTGCCTCCCATCTTCACCCTGTCATTTCCAATTTGAGCAGGAGCTTTCTGGGACACTGGTCATCCCTCTCCTCATACCTAACACTGCAGAGCCCATGGTCAGCTTGGCCAGTAACACCTGATACAATGCGAGCAGTACAGTAACAGCCAAGGAAATTTAACCCAACATGAAATTAGTTCCATAAAGAGGTAAGTGGGGTGCCCAGAATTTTGGGGAGCAGATTAAAGCTGATTCACTGATTTAGTAAGAAGTGCTTGTTCACCACAGCCAATGCCCTGTAGTCTGAAAGAGCAGAACCACAAAGCATGAACTGACTCAATTACAGTCTATTTTCACTGGGTGCTCACTAGAGCCTGCTCTACTCCTCTCCATGCAAGGTTTCTCGCTCCTGTGAATCTGCAGATGGTTTTATAGGAGAACTATTTAAAAGGTTTCGTCTGAAAGCTGAATCTTCACAGTTTTAGGGCTGCAGGGTTTCAGAAAACCATCACTCTGTCACAAGCACAACTGCTGCTTTGAGTTTTCACAGACTTCTACCTTCTCCCAAAAGCTGCCAGCATACCCTACCATTAAAGAACAGTGGCTTGGGGCCCTTACCACAAAAAAGAGCAATATGGCACTGCAGAACTACTAGCAGTCAGGTATGGACTGCAATGCAAACAGGACAGCAATGTGCATAGATGCTACTCTGCTCATCCTGGGAGGAGGCAGCACAAGCAAAGACCAGAAAATGTCTGAATTGTCAGAATTGGTCAGCAGGAGCACTGAGGCAGAGAGAGGCCAAAGGTTTTCAGTGGGATGTCGGGAATCTACACAGACCCTGAGGTGGGAAGGACTTGTGAGGGACAAAGAGACAACCTGGGCCATTGACACCACAGGGAAATGGGCCACTCCTTATCTCATGAGAGATACAGCAATACAGTGATTTCTTTTATTTTTTAAAGCCCACAGGAGATTTCTCACATATAGCTTCCCACACAGACAAAGCCCTCCAGACAGATAATCAGCACCTGAGGATCGAGTACAGGTCTGACCCTGCTCAAAAGTGGGTCAAGCTGATCACACATTTTGCAAGACAGCACTTTGCCACGTGCAGCTGCTGCAAAACCTGTTGCATTGGCACAGAGCAACTGTGACAGCACCCACCGTGAAGGCTACGAGAGCTGGCTTTCAATTACGTTATTCCCTGATAATCCCTCATTAAATGAATCTTCTCTTTCTCAGCAGCCTCCACATCCAAGTGAGAGGGTAGTGTCAGACTGACAAGTCCCGTGTTTTCTGGGCCCTTTGCTGGAGTAGCTCCAGGAACGTCAAGTGGCTCCAGAAGAGGCCACATCTCTACTCCTGCTTCCCAGCTGCTAACTCAGAGGTGACTCTTCTCCTCATGTTTTTTGTGGGTTTCTGTTTTGTTCTTCAAAGCAGGAACTTGACAGCAGAGTGTGCAACCAGACAATGGTGCTGATGCTTACGGGTACACATTTGTAGCTAAATGCTCTGGAAATTTTTGGGCTGAAAAGTATTAAAAACAAACTATCACACCTCCAGATCTTCCCCTCCCTAGAGGGCCACACAATAAAGGGACTCACTTTTCACTGTCTGCCAAATAGAACAACATAAACCTTCTGCCCTACATCTCCTCTTCCTCCCACTCTGAGGAAGTTTGCTCTCAATGGGTCATAGGTAAAATATGTAGGGACTCAACTAACCTGGCACATCTTCTGAGATACAACTCTTGTATCCACCAACACTTTGAGGAATCTGATCTGGAAAAAAAAAAAAAAAAAAGACAAAGAAAAGAAAAAATCAATGTAGTACAGAGTCTTCCAAGTGCTCCAGCACTGCAGCAGTGACCGTCAGAGGGTGATTTTGTTCAACTGGCAACAACTGATGAGGCAAGAACCATGGAAAGGCAGGTTAGGAATGATCTGCAGGGATATTAATCTTCTGCTGAAAGATAAGATTATCTACCTGAACACAGCAAGGCTGAAGGATAGAATCAGTCAGCCCTAAAGTCTTCTCAATCCCATCAAGGTCATCAATGTAAATAAATTACCCCTTCTCCCCATGTGGTAGGAGAAAGTGCTCTAAACTCCAGTGAGGTAATTTCACAACATCATTTCTGGGATATAAACCTCCTCAGCCATCCCTTGGACTTCCCCTGGCCCAGCCATCTGCCTTTCCAACCAGGAGCATTTGCCTGAGGCAATGTGGCCACTTAAAGCTTTTCCAGAAAAAGGTACGAAGTACCAAATCCCTGAACAAAACAGGTTTTATACAACTTAATGCTAAGTCTGCTCTAACCATAATTACCTTCTCCAGAATAAACTACTGCAAATTCTAATCACAGCCCTCTGCCGTTCTGTTAATTAACGGCTGCAGACAAGTTATGCCTTTAAGAATCTCATGGCACTTAGGCAAGCGCTATGGAAGTTGCAGAGAAGAGTGAAGATGAACGTCATGCAGCCCTTTGAAACAGTTTGTTTTCCAGTATAGATTTTACAGATCTTCCTCATATTCTGCTTGCCTTTTATGGATGCCCTCACATACTGATGCCTGAAAAACTGTTAACCTGAAAATATGAGACTCATTTTCTTCTACAGATTTTTAGTATTTATAAAACATTGATCATATCAACACCCGAGCAGCAGCACTAGCTTCCACTTTCTAATCTTCGTTCTCCCAACCTCTGACTTCCCTCACCCAAAGGAGGTAACTTATCATTGTGGTTTAGGTCCTTTACCTAAATGCCGGGAGTTAAACAGCTCCCAATCTAAAAGCTTTTTAACTTTTCTAAAACTGTATGAATCTGAAATCCCTGGCTTTCAACAAGAGAATTCTTCCATTTGCTGCTGTCTTCTCTGAACCATTGTTCTTCCAACAAACTCTTCTGAGGGCAATTCAGCCAACCTTTCACCAGTGTGAGGCTGTAACAGTGTCACAAACTGTACTCAGAGCAACCACCGAGAAACGTCTGGAAGTTTTGGTGTCGTAATTCAGCTACTGGGAAGGGGACCCACATCCCAGTGAGGGTGGTTTAGTGATCAGTTAACTCTCCGTGTTACTGAACAGTTGTTGAATAATAAAGCATTTGATTCATAAGCAGTAAATAAGCAACAAAAGAAACAGGGCAATACTATCAAAAACATTTACAAATATCTTTTTCTAATGAAAAGTGTAAGAACCAATCAGGCAAATTACCCTCTCTCCATGATTCAGCCAGCTGTAGTGTCAATAGCCTTTAAGCATGCTTATTTTGAAAAGCCAGAGAAGCTGTGTACATCTACTGAAGCACATCTAGCCAACAGACCATTCACTGTTTGTATATTTGCTCCAGACTGTTTAAAGAAATATTAGCCCTTTCATCTGAGGCAGGTAATATTTTTCTTTTCATAAAAGCTAAACAACATCACGAGTGACATGAGCTCTGAGCAAACAAGGTGTAGTTTTTCCTAACAACACCTTTGCAGGCTTTTATAAACAGTTAGTTAAGACGCTGCTGGGGCAAGGAGAAACTATGCTCTGATTTGTTTTCACCAGTGAATAGATCACAAATCTCACATTTCAAACAAAACTGTTGCCTGACTGGGAACCAAAGTCCTGAAAGAGCTCTTTACTCCAACCACTCTGGAGTTAGTGGGTATAGAAGCGTCAATTACAACTTGATTTTTTTTTCTCTGCTCAGCATTAGCCAAATCAGCTCAAGCAAAATCTGCAGGAAACAACAGAGCTCTGGTCCTGCACCAGTCAGCAAAAATTCCCCATGCTGCTACAGCAAACAGGATTCAGTCAGCAGCAACCATCAACTAGGAGTGGCAAAAGCCAAGTGGAAAGCTTGACAAACTGATCTGCATACTGCCTGGAAATACAGTGCAGCTTAGAGAGGACGATGAGATACTGCATTTCCATTAGCACAACCCCAGTCTTCTAAATACCCTTCTGCTCAGGCTCGCGCACCAATCCTGCCCTCCTGGCAGGATGGTCAGATGGCTGCCCAGGCAGTAAGGCAGCTGGGTCACACACGACGGCCCTCCTGCAGGATTCTGCAGCCCTGCTCACAGTTGCTGGTGTGAAGATGACAGCCAGGCAGGTGGGCAGTGCTGCTGCTCCCAAGGAAGGGGAGCAGGGCAGGCCTGGAGATGGCACCCCAGGTGCAGGCAACAGGTCTCCAGATAAGTCCGTCGTGGCAAGCAGGTCTGAGGTCAGGCTGGGAAGTCAAGTCAGCAAGCTGGGATCGGTGAGGAACGTGACCAGGCACAGCAAAGCTGCTGCTCACCTCAGGCAGGGGCGCAGGGGAGGCTCACAGCTGTTTTCACAGCTGTCTGAGCCAAGGTTATACAGCTGTGCCGCACCAATCCTGGCCATCAGCCCCAAAGCCTGGGCAAGGGGCAGGAGGCTGAGAAGCTGCTTGGTGCTGAGGGCTCTGGCACCAAAACTGCCATTGCTGTGAGCTGCAGAGAGCTCAGAGTACAGGCTGCAAAATGCTTAACCTGAATATGAAAGAAAAAGCATCTGAAAAGGGGAGAACAGTGCCTGAGAGCCACAGGCAACCTCAGCCACCAGCACTGAAAACAGCCACTCTCAGCCTTCAGAGTAACATGGGACCCAAAGCCAGGGATTACTCTGACCACGTCCCAGTACTTATCCATCCCTTCAGCAGAAAGTCTAGTAGAAGTGAGCTCCATTCATTGAGGAACCACCACCCTGTTAGTACTATTCCTACTCCATTATTATTTCAATTTAAAAAACTCCGTTTCCGTTTAAAAAATTATCCAGTTCTTCACAATATAGGCAAACACAAAGCAAAATAGTCAAATGCATAAATAAGCCCGCCGATAGGAGAAGTGACTGTTTGTTAACCTCAGCCTGTTGGCCTAATTAGTATAACAGCAGCATATTTTGCATTCAAAATGAGGTGGAACAAGCTAACAAAGGAGAAAGCTTTGTACTTGTTAATGATATGAGTAAGCACAGCTCAGAAAGCAATTCAGCAGACTTTGATCCACTCAAAAAAGAGAGCAAGAGCTCTCTAGGCACTTCTGACAACACAGCCTTACCGTGAGCATGCGCCAGTAACCAGTCTCTACCATTCTCATATTCGTTTAGGAACTTTATCCGACATTAGATTCCTTGAATGTAAGAAGCAGAAAGACCGCATTCAATACATTTCACACACCTCAAAAATAGCAAGGCCAAGGGAAATCAAGAGCTGACTCTAAGGTCCAAACAGTTACAGAAGACATCAGGTCTGCCTGTTACAGCAGGTTTTTTGTATCTGTTTCACTTCCTCGCTGAAAACAACCAGTTTTCTGAAACAAAGGATGTGGCTGGATTTTTCATTCCCAGACAATCTGTTACATCCCATCCGTGTTTCAAAGCGAAATGAGCTTGGAGGACCATTCTCAGTCTGCAGACTATACCTGCCCACCCATGGAAATCCGGCTGTTCACACAGTGAAACAGTGCTGAGGGCAGACTGTGGTCTGGGCACTAACACTGACCGCTGGTCAGCGTGAACAAAGTAAATTAAATCACAGTTACTTTCTGCTGTAGGGATGAAAACCAGCAAGCAATGTAAACCCATCAATTCATACTAGGGGCTTTAAACACACCAGTAATTGTAAAATGTTCAGCCTTGGAGCTGTAGAACACATCATTTCCAAGACTGGCAAAAGCTGTTCATCTCACCGCATTCTCATGACAGACGTTTTTTCCCCTCTGAGTTTGTTTCATCTTATTAGATTTTAGCTCCCATTATAGTTAGGACAATTTTGCAATGGGGCAAATTAATTAGTTTGCATCAAAGAAAGGCTCCTTGAAACCTAACACTAATGAGTTTCATCTGTCTGATTAGAGGGCTTTGCTTTCAGTAACAGTTGCTGCAAAATTCTGTTTCAGAGAAACACAACATTATAAGAATATTCAAGGCTAAAATCATTAGCTAAACAGTAACCAGGATAATGGATAGAAGATTAGGGTGGTAAATGAGGAGCAGACATAAAACTGAATATTGACAAGAAGATGCAAGTGTAGACTAGAACAGGTTAATGAAGGGCGAACGAAGATGTGTTTGTGCAAGCAGAGCTTGGTACAACTTGCGACGGTGTATTTGGTGAACTAACACGAGGCTTCCCATCTATTCACAACGCTTTTAGGAACTAAGTGGAAAAGAGCTAGGGATGAGAAAAGAAAGTACTAATGTTTAGAAAGAAAATTTGGAAAAAAGGTTAATTCTGGAAGTGTCAAACTGATTTTTAGTATCTGGCAAGCTACCTGGATAAAACATTTGCTTATTTTAAATCTGTTTTTAGTCAAGAAAAGATTGTTTTTAATCAACTTTGTTTTCAATTGATGGGAGAATTGTTGTAGAGGACAAAGGGGATTAAATAGATTTGGTATTTCTTGTTTTCATGAAGGTTTTTCACTCCCACCCACTTTCTCTTACTCAATTAGTACAAACAAATAAGAATATACAGTCTAGAATGAATTTCCTAATAGCCAGATGCAAAATCACTTGCAATATCATATGGTAAAGGTAGTTATCAGAGATTTGCTGGTAAATTGGGCATAGCACACCACAAATGACATCTGCATAGACACATGCTGCATCATTTGCAAGTAACACACAGATGACATAAGCGCATGTAGTAGAACATAAAGTAACTGTCTTTCCTGTGATCTCATCTCCCTCCATAAACCTCCCCAGCACACAGACAAGACTAGAAACGAAGACACGGCATTAGGAGGCGGCAGGCCTAAGCTGCTGACAGGAACAGCTCCATTTGAGAGGAGGCAGAAAGCCCACATTTGGGCAGGGATGTGCTTTTACACAACACTCTCCATCCGTGGCCAGCCAAAGAAATCACTCTGAAGTTGTGACTATGCTCTCAAAAACACAGAGGCACAAAGCTGAGCAGGACAACTGAACAGGCAGTCACTTGTGGCTGGCGGAAAACACTTAATCCAGATCTGCTGCTGAATCACACCGCGAGGCACCAAGGGGTTACACAGCTTAAGGCAGTTAAATACAAAAAGCCTTAGGATAAGCCGAGAACTGAATTCAAACCTGTTTTATCTCTTTCCTCTGTTTTGATAAGGTTTCAACTAGAACATTACCACTTTTTGTCAAAATTATCTTGACCTGCAACAGGCAACACTGAAACCTTCATGTTTTTATCCTTTTGTCAACCTAACACAGAAATTTAAATTAAAAAAAACCCTCATTTTAAACACCCATGTGTCTTCTTCCTCTGATGCCATGCACATACTGCACCTGTGCATAATCATTTTCCTGATGGCCTTCTGTAACAGGTCAACAACAACAAAAAAAAGACTGCGCCTGTTATTCATAAGCTTTTTGTTATCTCTCAGAAGCAGCAAAAGGGCCCAGAACATGTGTGGGAAGGAAAAAGCTTTGTTTAATTTAGTTAAGTTTACTTCTTTCAAGTTCAAGTAAACTTAGGGATCGGCAGAACAACTGGTTAATTAAATCAAATAATGACAGAAGCTTCTTTACCCTATAATGACAATTACACCATGCTGTGCCACATTCAGTGGGCCCTTCCAAAAAAGCACAGTCAACCTTTACACCATGGACCAAAAATAAGTCCCCACACAGAGGGTACTGCAGTATTAGGAGCTCTTCTAATGCAAAAGATGACAGCTGTGGAGTAGCACCGTGATTATTTTTAACACTTCCATCTTGAGGGTTGGCTCCAGATCCATTGGTGAAAATAAGTGATAACATTGCAATAACAGATCTGATTCTGATCCTTAAGGTCATCGACAAGAGCAGTGGCCAAGAGGGAAGCGAGCAGGGTGGGCTCCAAGACACACTCACATAGATGCTGCCCCAGCACAGCACTGGATGCTGTCCCCACCCACCAGCTCCGGCACCCAGAAAGGCTGAGGAAGCAGGAAGGCTGCAAGAAGTTTACTCCTTGGGGCTACACCTGGCTGCTCTTGCTGGGTTTATCCCTTGTATCCACAAACAAGCACAGGGCAGGAATTGGCCTGGGCAACTCCAACCCCATGCCAGCATCTTCTGCATCTCCCACCTCCTTCTAGGAATTGTCAAAACTTCTCCAAGGGGAGGAAAAGGACAAATCATCCCTTCATTTGGGCTTGGGACTTTCCCACATGAGCAGCTCACATTGCACAATGCCAATACATTTAGGTCCCTCAAAGACTTTTTCCAAACTTACGTAATTTGCCAGCTCATAGGAATTTCCCGTGTTTCTTTTTATCCCCTCATAAATGTCTTCCATCTAAAGAGCTCACAAAGCCAGAGTCCTTCCTTGTTCTTCCATGTTTTCACCATTCATTTTTCCTTTTGCCATTACTCCAGCCATTCCTATCCAATATTTCTCCTGCTTCCATTCAGCCATTCTAGTGACCTCATCCCAAATGACAATTTGGAGTTATTATGCAGTTTTGTTTATTCCCACTAAACTGAAGTGTTTCTTCCTTCTTTTCTACTTTACTAATCAGGCTGGTATAAACTCAAAATGTCTTCCCATGGTTCCCATGCCCAACCTTCCTACCTGACTAATGAGGAAACTCTCAGATGTTAAATAAAAGAGTTTGTGTACTACAGAGAATTTTTAATGGAAAATAAAACCTTCTGACATTACTGGCTAATTACAATTCGCTGCACTAAAATACAACATAGTGGCTATATTGCAGGGGAGGATAAAAGTGTGCACGTATTTTCCTGTGTGTTTCAATATCCTCCTATTGACAGAAGATAGGATGACTGGTCTACAACTGGAGACCAGGAAATGATTTTTGTGATTTCATTAGAGTAATTGACAAAAGCATTTCCTTTCTATGTAAGGTTAACAGATGGCTTGTTAAAGTTACAACTTCTTTAAACAGAGCTGTCACCAAAAACGATGTGCATGACAACAAAAATAATATTGATACAAGCTCATTGCAAAATTAAAAGAGAGTTTGCATAACCTAAAGTAGCACAGAATAAATAACTGCTACCATTGCAACACAGAATATCACACTGCAGTTGCTTTTCTAAGGTTTCCTTGGAAATTGGATGAAGGGACATAAATCGGGGAAGTGTCAACAACATGGGACTTCAGTTATTATAGGCACAAACATGCAGTCGGTCACCATGCCTACTCCATATGTATAAAGAAACTACCACAGATGTACAAGCGTGTTACATCAAGGCTTGGATTTTAATCCCAGTAATAACAGCATATATTAATCACACAGACCTTTTAATTTCAGGTAAATATGTTTTCATATAAAAATGCTGAAGTGAAATTCAAGATTGTAGACTCGTATTCATACTGCTATTACAGACTGAGCAGGATTTTGCTCTCTTTAAGTAAAATTAGGCAGGCATCAAGCAGACCCCTTCCCCTCAATACCTAACCAGTTACCAAAACCAGAAGTACGCTGCAGTCTGCTGTGGTCATCTCAGACCAGTGTGCAACACAAGCACCAACACTGTAAGACTCTGCTTTCACATCTCACCTCTGGCAGGTTCAAGACCTGTGCAAGGCAAGGGCATGCAACACCTCAAACTGCCTCACCTCCATTGTGGAACAGCTCCCTGATGCTGCAGCCAGACAGCAAAAATTGGGAGGAGGGGGGATATGGAGGTGAATTATTATTAAAAAATTAAAAATGTAAAAAAAAATAATAAGCAATACTAGTTTGCCCACCTGTTGTGGTTTTTAAGACCACAGCATCACCTTAAACTTGGTTTATTTCCATGAGAGCAGGAAAAACTACAAAGGAGATTCAGCTTTGAAAACATAATCATTATACCTTTTTGATAGGTGACTGCACATTAGCTATTTCACCTGGACAGATCTAGAAGGTTAACATTGTTACTGTTATTCAATACTTTTCTGCTTCAACATCACAGTTGCTATTTATCCCCTTTGTCATAATTCTCCCAGGTTTTTTCCTGTTTTCCTTCTCAAGTATCCCTTCTTCATCTCTCTTCTTTCCTTAGTATTACTGCCTTACTTCACAGCATCCTACCACTGTTATCTTCTCAGGCATTCTTTTTTTGCACTAGTCTTTGTATAAAATTCAGCTCTCAGACTTTTCTGAGACATCATTAAGACATGCAGTTAACTCCCAAAGACCTGAACTGGAAGAAAGAAAGAAAACAAAACCCCAGCAGATCTTCCCTGTGTTTGTTCATTTTCTTCACAATAACAACTCAAAAGCAAACCTTTTCATTACCAATCCTAGATGTCAGCTCCTTGCATTACAAAACCATTTGTTTAGAAAAGAGGCAAATAACTGAATCATGAGGCAAAAAGAAGGAGGAATAGGAGCAGTATTTCCCATTGCAAAACCTCTGTCAATAGCTATTGGAAATAACCTGGTTTATTTTACCAACCTTGTGATGTCAGGCTCACTTAGCACATGCCTTGTCAGCTCCGACTGAGGGGCATGCTAACTGCATGACTGACGCACACGGCCGCGACCAGGGAGCAAATGCACAGCTACTCGCTGCTTTTGTTTGCCTTCACATGAAGGATTTTTGAGAAATTGTATAATATTACAGTAGACTGGTCCTTGCCCTAGGTGCAGCAGGTTCTTCCTTTCTCATTGAATTTGGCAGAGCATATGAATTTCATCATCATCTAGAACAAAAAAAAAATAAGTAAGCGGCAAGCATTGAAAAGGAAAAAATGGACATTTAATTTTGAGGGAGAATAGAGGAACTGCTGTGACCAAGAGATTCTGCTCTAGAAACAAAAGCAAATTCTTGAGTGAAAAAGATAACGGAGATACTGCTGCTTTCGTAACTCTCAGTAATAGCCAAAATCAGGCTAGTGGGAAAGAGCACAGATTTCCCCAACAAAACCACAGTAGCATATCCATACCTTTTCATACCAGCATATAAAACTATGCAGATGGTTGATTTACAAATACAGATTGCAATATTTTTTTTTTTTTGCACTCATCTTAGTTACAGTGAAAGGTAGTTATAACAGGTCAATCCTAACACCACACAATCTTACAGAAAAAAGAATCACCATAGCAGTAACAAGAAAATGTAAACTAAAAAAGTAATGACAGAAAATTAAAAAAGCAGAGTGACCTGAATATGAAGCATAGAAAAGAACTTCACAGCATATTAGGTTTCATGGTTTAGTCTAGCAGAAAGGACAGGTTTGTAACAAGAATATTGGGCAAGCATTAGGTATCAGCAGTAGCAACAATCTCTTCACACTCTCAAGGGAGCAGGTGAAGCATTCTACTATCATTGGGGTTTTCCTCACATATCAAATTTCTTTGGTTTTAAGGTGCTTTGTCCCATCAGGAAAAAGATACTATGTGGGATAAAGATGCCAAATCTACACAAAATGTGAGTCAAAAGAATGTTAGCATCCTATCTTTGAATTAAATTATTATAGGGATCTATTAAGCCTAATTTAAAATAAGGCTTCCAGTCTGATTTCTACCTCTATTTTCTAGGTGCTCTCATGCTAGAGTTCACACCAAGCTCTGTCCAAGCAGGACCACATTCTGTTACTTTAGTTCAATGCTTCAGATAACCATTTTTTGTTCACAGCTCAGCACAAAGCAGTGACAAGTACTTCTCATTTTTCCCCCAAAGGAGGATGTTATGGAGGTAATCAGATCTTTGGTCTGGAAGAAAGCTGCTCGCCTGCTTGGAAAGATAGATATCCATTCTGGATCTACTAGACCAGAGAGATCTGGTTTGCCAGTCGGTGTCAAAGCATGGCTAGGAGAGGGAACTAAAAAAAATCCCACCCCCCCAAAGCCAAACACCCCCCAGCCCTCCCTGTCCTCCCCACAAAAAAAAAAAAAAAACAAAAAACACCACCAAACAAACCCAGACAAATGACGTTCACGAAGCACAGGCTAAGGGAGATCCCTGCTGGCAAGGTGATGAAATACATGTGCACCCCTCCCAAGCACATCATTCACCTGCCATCACAAATAGTTTCTTCCACACCCCAAAGCTGAAACCACTGCGCGTTTACCTTGCGCACAGCTCGGCACCAGCCCCGGGCTCCCGGCGACACAAGAGCAAGGCACAAGAGCAGCTGTTTGGTGGGGCAAACGGGGCAGCCTGCCTCCCCCTCACCATGTCTACCAAGGATAAAAATTCCCAGCATACTTGAATCATCATTCTGTTGAAGCAAGGCTGACAGACCCGTTTCTACGGCTTCTTCTATTGCAGAAGAGCAGGACAAAGGGACCCAGCTGGTCTCCCATTTATTGGTGTCAGCATTTTTTCTACCGCATGGCAGGCATTAGATACCATCTCAGTTAGGCAATCATTATACCAGGGAAACAATACATCTCACCTACTCATTGTAATTAGCGATACCACATTTAACAATCAGCCAGTATTTGTGTATTGGAAAGAAGGAACAAAGCAAAACAACAGATGTTGTCTCAGCTATTTTGTACATTACATTAGACAACTATTGCAAAATTTCAACAACTACCAACAAATTTCAAGAGACATATACCAGAAGTAATTCTTAACTATGTTGGACTACCATAAAGAAACTTAGGATACACCTGAGGACAAACTAAGCTCAGAAAAATGTTAACAGCTAGATGAGAGACACATTAACTTCTAGACCATAAAAATGACTAAGCAAAGAAAGCAAGAGAGAGTTAAAATGAATATCCAATGAAGGACAACATATTTTACAGGACATTGACATAATGAAGAGGTTCAATTTTCCTCTTACAAATTATGTACTTGAGAGTAACAGACATTTCCAGTGGCTCAGAAAACAAAATTGACACTAAGAATGAAGGAAAGTATACTGGGTTTTTTTAAAAAGAAACTTTATTACAAATCTGTAGGTTTAAGAAAATATCCAAAAACTGTCAAAGTAGTATGAAAAACGCTGTCATCCTATTCACAGGTACCAGGTTTTCTTCCAATAAACAGAGCATACAAAAGTTGATAGAAACCATGGCAATTCCTTATGGTGACACAAGTCAGATCTTTGTAATTCTAAATCCCCTGATGACAACCAAGATGCTCCTGGCAGCCCAAGGGAATGATTAAATCACACACTATTTCTGAAAACCAGAAGTTTGGATGAAAAGGCTATATACATAAACACATACTGTATTTTACCACATGTACAAGTAACTCGGGGCAAACAAAACATGGCCCAGCACAATACTTAAAGTCTATAAAAACCTGGAGAACCAGGGAATATGTATATATGATAATAAGTTATTCTCTATGCTCTGGTTCCCATTTTCTTTTACATCTCAAACCTAATAAAGGCCAATTGTTTTCCACTCTCATTCATAGAAACAATGAAGCTGATGTGTTGCTATACTGTCTTTCCAGACACAGAAAATGTTACCTGCACTGCATGCAGGCATGATCTAAAAATGCAATGCAGTTATAATATAAAAAAGTCGGATTTTTAGAAGACTATAGACTGAATTTACTGCAAGTGATCGAACACCTTAAGCCTCCCTGAAACAATGCGGCTAACATGGCATTTCTAATGTCATCCACAGATAATTCGTAAGACACGTGAATGAGGAAAGAACTGTCTGACAGGAGTGTAACATCTAACTGGAGTATAGACTGCTTTAAAAAAAGCAGAAAGTTTGCAAGTATGCCACAGATTAAATCCAAACTTGCCCTACAACTCTAACCCCAGCTAACTGGCTGCAATGGTTGGAAGCTGCAGCATAGACCACTGGTAACCATATTCTCAAATCCTTTTTGTGACCTAGATGCCACAATTGGGAGCTGCAGTGCAGAAGAGCCTTCAATGTAAGAAGTGTGAAGATTTTGAAGGAGCAGGATGAAACATTTCTGTTACATTACCTGCTCAAGGTACTGATATGATCTGAAAGAGAAAACAAACAAACAAACCAACCCAAACAACTCTGTGTAATTTACCTCTGTTTTTATCAGGTGCTTGAAGGTCGTTAGGCAGAGGACATCTGTGATTTCCTACTGATCAATCCTCCTTTTGCCAATTGCAACGTGGAAGAAACCAGCATCATGTTAAAATACTCAGTACATTTCATTTATTTTGCTGTTTCAACTTAAGTTGAAAAGCACAGAATCAAGAGTTATTCAAAGAACACTACACTGCAGAAGTGCAATTGGAAATCAACAATCTCTCGTCACCAGAGCCAACAGGATGGAAGATGCAGAACTGAATTTACAGTAATTTCCTTTCCCATGCAGACCAGATTAATCCTAGGTTATTCAGGGCTACCTGGAACATTTCTTAAAAGCCAGCTGTTGGTAAGGAGAATGCCTCATTCTCCTGCATTTACCAAAACCTTGATTTCTGAAACCCTGTAATGAAACAGTCAAAAAAATCTTCATTCCAAAGAAGGAAAATATTTCATCTACATTCTTAGGCGTGAACTTTCAGGCTTGGGAAACGTTTCTCTAGATTGTCAGCAAGTGTCTGATCAGCCTCGCGCAGAACTTCAAGGAAACTCTCCACCTGGAAATAAATTGCAAACACACACACACACACAAAAAGAAAAAAAAAAAAAAAACAAACTTGTATGGAACACGTAATTCCTACTCTTTGTATAAGGGGTCTTTCTACTTCTGTACCTTCCCACCAACAGCAGCTAGCAGGAGCCACTGCAAAGAATAAGGAAAATGCTCCACAGTAGATACTTTCCTCCTAAACCCCACAATTTCACTTGGTCTAAATTTTGAAACCTCACTGACTTCCCCAAACTCTTATTTTATTGTTTAAAGGTACACAAAGAAATGCTTCCTATGAAAAATATTTAGAATAATTATTCTACACAAATGTACAGGACAAGTTTTCAGCTAGCATAAATTTGCAGACATACTTTAATTTCAGCACAATCTGACCCCCATACCAGCTGTACAAAGCTCTGGCTGACATCAGCCAGAAGAGACAGAGGGTAAGACCATCTAGAATGGGCGATTACCTGTGCCTGAGCAATTCTGTCCTGCTTCTACCTCGGATTCTCAAAAGTCCTGCCACCCAAGTAGTATTCTTTCAGCTATGCTGAAGACCTTGTCATATACTCACCGATGTGAAATACAGAGGTAAGAGGTTCTGAAACGCACAGGAACATGTCTGTTCATTTAAGTGTCCCTGGTGTAGTCCTTCTAATGTATTTTCCTGGAAAATAAGATGAGAAATACAACTAGCATGTCATGAACAGTTGTCAAAAAAACAAACTCAAAATTGTGCACAGTGTCTACAGTATGTGCTTTGTTCCCAAAAATGGGTGAAACAACCAGAACTTACAGTTCTCAGAGAACACCAGGTGTAGCCAGTACAAAAAGATGTGGTATGTGAGCTTTCACAGGTCTCTTAATCTGAATGCTCCCATAATAAAAAAGTCCAGCTGAGAAGGTGAGTTTATATACTGATATTCTTCCCTTTTCTTAAATAAATTGGCTTTTATTCAAAAGAAACGGTGACATACACCTAATTACCATATAGAATCTTGGCCCTGAAGGCACACACCTCAGAAAACCTGTGTCCCTGCCATCTAACACACATGTTGCATCTCACCTGCTGATTGAGTCTCTAATGAATTTGCAGTATGCAACTTCACTTGTACAGAAAAACACCTACATTATTAGTAATGCCTTTTTTTGTACCTACTCTGCAGAAATCCCTCTTAGAATTTTGATTCTTACCTTTGTCAGTTCTTGAAGCATATTGGAAAGTAATTCACAGCAAATATCCTTCAAAATTTTTAAATGGAAATCTTCCTCATTTGTATTAGCCCTTCCAGTCTCTTCTTGTTCAGACTCCTTTGAGTTATCAACAGACCTCTTCCCACAGCCCTCCATGTATTGTAAGATACGAATCAAGCTGCCAATCAGGGGCATATCTAATATAAAGTAATAGGAAATTGAACACTGAAATTTCTCTCCCATCCTTTCAGGACATTAGAATTTTGAAACACACCACAAGATTTTGTACAAAAGCTATAGGAATGGATATTCTGACAGTCTTGTGTTTTGTCACTCAAAGACTGATTTAAAGAAGCAAGTGGAAATGTAGTAGAAAACCCAAACCACTTTTTCTGCAAGCTAACTTGTATCTATAAAAAGTACATTCCGGTGGTAAGGAATATGGGAAGGAAAATGTCTCTAGTGGTACACTCAGAGAGGCTAATATGTTAAATTTGCATCCAGATAAACCTATCTGATAAACCAAACTGACACAACATCCTTCTACTGCAGATGACACTGACTCACATTCCCAAGATAGGCTTTTAATTCTAAAGACTTCTCAATGGATTGAAAAGTATCAAGTGCTAAAGATTAATTTAGCTAAGTAGAGAATCTCCCTCTACTAAAAAAATATTATCAAGACCTTATATTTTAGCAAAGATGAATTCTGCAACTTTCACTAATGTACCCAAAGGAAAAGACTGAACAGAATCTGTAGATTCTATTGCTATAACTCTTCAGAGATATCCAGTAACTGAACTTTGAGATAGCTATGATTTTTACAGTCAGCAGTAAAGAGCCTTACTGTATTCAAACACATAACTGCATTCTGTGTTCTGAACTGATCTCTAGCAGACAGTATTAACCACCTTTCACCCCACATACATAAAGCCAATTGTTAAAATAACTTAAAAAAAAAAAAGAACAGAAAAAAGCATAACTTGCTTTTCCTCATCTTGGTGTATTCTTGTTCTGTCTGTGAAGCAAACATGGCAGACAGGACAGACAAAATAGAGGCCAATACAGTCTTCTGCTCCTGCACAATGATCGGTGGATCATCTGGCTGGCAAAGTTCATGGCAAATGAGGTCATAAAGCAAACTCCAAGTCTCTTTTCCTCCATCAGGAGCCTGCACTTGAGAAAGAAAGACAACCCACCAACTTTAATCCAGGTACATGAACTATTTTTCTTCCCGTTAAACATTTGATCTAGAAGTTACTGCCATTCTTGGTCCCATCATATGTAGCAGTTCAAGTGTCTTACCAATAGACTGAATACCTTCATCCACGGTGGTCAGGAGCTGCAAAATATGCATATAAACATCAAGTCCTTCTGGATTATCTGATCTATACAGAAAAAAACAGAACACAAAGACAAATTTAAGATCTGCTTACTGTGTTTCTATTGTGCGTTTTGGACACACAGAAGACTATCAGCAGTCACTGCCATTTTCTTTGCTAATAAACTACTTGACTCATTTCAAATTATAAGTACAGGAAAATGTATTCTAGTCATCTGTCAAACTATGCAGCTCTCACTGAAATCAGGATATTCAGACACAAGACTTAACAAGGTTATAAAGAGTCTTTCCAGCCATTAAACTGAAAAGATATCTCACATACCGGACTTGTTTGGCTGCTTCAAGTATACAAGGCACAATCTTAAAATCTGGAAGTTCTTCAGGAGAATCATCTACAGATGGTCCCACAGACCGACAACTGCCATTTTTAATCCAGTTTAACATTAGCTCTTCATCTAAATCAAAGAGTTTGTCCACCACTTCACCCACTTTTACCAGCAATTCAACTGCACAAGAGAAGATGCATACATTTCAACAAGACTAAAAACAAAGAGCAAAAATTAGCTCACAAAATGCTAGTATACAGAAGTATTCAGAATAAATTCAGTGCTGAAACATACTAGTTTCGTTAATGACCTACTAAGGGTTGTTATGTTTCATTTCTTTTCATGGCATAGATCAGGTGAAATAGGGATTGTCGGAAAGCCCAGACACGTTCTACCTCCTCATGCCATTTATGCAGCAGGGACTTCATTCTGCAAAGAGACTTCATATTCCTGAAAAGTTGTAACTTCTGCTTCTGAAGTAAAACTTTCCAAGATTTGTCCCTAAATATGCAGCTTTCTGATAACCTTACACCTGCCAATCTGCATTTTACCTAAGTAGGTCTGTGATTTCAATTGGAAGCAGCAGGATTTCTGAGCACTGTCATTAAAAAAAAAAAAAAACAAAAACAAAACCGAACAAATTGAAAAAGCTAAATTACGAGGATTCCCAGACAAACGATAACTGTTGTTACAACTGGGTTGGATGTGAAACATAAATGCTATTAAAAATATTTCCATTACTAGGTGCTTAGTGTGGTTTTTGATAAATTAGCGCTAAGAGAGATTTGTGACTGAACACCCAAAGCCTGTGCAGTATTCAGCTGCAATTCAGAGTAACCGAACCATTCCTCCAGTTCACACTGCACAAGTATGGTAGTTTTAAAAGCAGAAAATACATCTCTGATTTGAAAAAAAAAAAAAAAAATTAAATGAGGTCTTCTTTCAAGGATCAAAAATGACATATGTATATCCCTGAATGAGGACTATACCCTTTCCTTTACTGTGCCAAATATCAATTTCTTCTATTAGACTTATTTTGATTCACCCACAGAGCTTTCTTCTTCCTCTATGGTGCTTTTCTGGTTGGTTTTATACATATTTATAGACCTGCAAAGGCAGGACAAGTTTATTTTGGTGTCCTTTAAATTCATGAGGTTTACTTTATTTTAAAGAAATTCTGTACTCCCAATTGAAAATATCTGTCTTTGAAATTCTATACTTCAGTTCTTATTTTTTTTCTGCAAACACCTAATTCCCAGCTTGTTCTGGCAACTTACCATTCGTAGAGCTGGACATGATAAAGCAAACACAGTCATATACGGAAGGGTTTTCTCGGATTCTCTCAACCCAGACATTGGCCACCTCAGGCTGGGAGAGGCAAGTTAACAACAACCTAGACAAGAATTGTCCATTTAATGAATCAGAAGTTAATCATTCATTTCAGCTGTACAAGTGTAAAACCAAAATAATGAAAACGATGTGACAGAAATAGGAACCTAGCTTACAGCAAAATGATTCCAGAACAATGAAGAAATTATGAAGTGATAGGATGAGAGGATAATAAAATAGTGAGCCCACTCATCAATTTTCTTCCCAGGCCTCAGAACATACCAGAACTACACTAATGATGCATTAATTTCTGAGATGTCCTACCTGCTTGTTTCCAGAAGAGTTGGGGAGTCTGAATCGCACAAACGTTGCAATAACACTTGGCTTTAAGGAAAAAATGCAAGATAAGAGTTAATAAAAATCTATCTTTGTTTATGAAAAGGTTAATTTCACAGCTGTAGCCATGTTCTGAGATTAAAACCGGCTTTTCCTGACTGTCCATGCATCTCCAGTGTTTCAAGATTGCCAAACCATTAAATTAAAGATTCAAGAACTTGACTGGTGATTAAAAATAAAATACAAAAAAAAATAGTGGTCTGTATCCTTTTTTGCCTCCACTGAACACTTCCCACACAAATATGGTCAGCCAAAAAGGTGTGAATGAAGGTGAGGCATGGCAGGCAAACTTAGTTCCTTCTATAACATACATTTCATGATTGTGAATCCAGAAAAGGAGTATTCATGCACGTATAAAGCACATGTACACTTACCCAAGATTCTCATCTTTACTAATGGACATGCATATGTCTTGGAAACAGGCCATATTTCCTAATATTCCCACACAGATTTCCTGAAAAGTCAAAACATAGTGTAGTGAGGCAACTGCGACATAGTTCATGATTTTATTACCACAGCCATAGGCAAAAGAAACATTCAAAGATATCTTCCAGTTTGAATTCCGAGCTCTTATGACCCATCAATTTCAAGACAGAGATAGATTTTTCTATGGGATGCTATTAGACTAGCCTAAAATATGACTGGTACTGTTCAGATATTTAGGTGCTAAAGTTTTGCATAAAAGTAAATATATCTTGAAATCAACTTGGCTTGCATTTTCCATGTATACTGTTTCAAAACTAATCTGGCATCCCTATTATTAAAGTAATAAAAAGTCCTAAAACCAAAAATATCACCACGTAAGTACAACCCTCACAGATATTCACTTCCTTCCAAAAGAAATGGGTCTTAATACAAGCTACCAGCAAAATCCACTTTCTGATTGCAAAGATCTAAAAAAAATAAAAACCAAAACCAAAAGCAGTGTACCCCATTAGGATATTTATCCCTAGACAATTATTAAAAAGGATATACACTTCTATAAAGGGGACTGTGCAAGCTCAGAAATACCTGCAGGTGACTGGTGCTAACATTGAATATCCTGAGATTTTATCAGCACTGAATGTGCTGGGATTAAATCCAGCAATTCAAAGTTGGAAATCAACTCTCACCACTCAAGGTTATCTTCTTAATTACTAACAAGCTGTCACCTCTGCTAAATTACAGTAGACACTCTAACAGACACTATTTCAATGAAGTAGCTGGGATAGCAAATTTGCACTCACTTCCGAATTTTCATTCTACTTTCAAAGGACAAAGCAGTGAACTTTCAAAGCCCTACATGTCTCTACTTATCTCCTGAAGTAAAGCATCTTGTAACTACAGAGAAAGGGGAGTTATACCAACACTGAACACCTCTGAAAACCCTATATCGAACCCTATAGTGCACTGTGCAATACAAGCTGTGAAACAATGGCATCAAAATAAAGGGAGAAGAAAAAAAAAAAGGGTATTAAGTATTGGTGCCTAACAATTACAAACTGCCAAGATTACTTTTTGTACTAGGCTTGCATGGCAAGGGTTTGGTAGCAGGGGGCTGCAGGGATGGTTTCTGTGAGAAGCTGCTGGAAGCTTCCCCCATGTCCCATAGAGCCGATGCCAGCCGGCTCCAAGAGGGACCCACCGCTGGCCGAGGCCGAGCCCGTCAGCGACGGTGGTAGCGCCTCTGGGATAACGTGTGTAAGGAGGGGAAAAAGTTACTGGGCAACTGCAGCCAAAGAGAGGAGTGAGAATATGTGAGAGCAACAACTCTGCAGACACCCAGGTCAGTGGAGAAGAAGGGGCAGGAGCTGCTCCAGGCGCCGGAGCAGATTCCCCTGCAGCCCGTGGTGGGGACCGTGGGGAGGCAGGCTGTGCCCTGCACCCAGGGAGGTCCACGGGGGAGCAGGGGGATGCCCGAAGGAGGCTGTGACCCCGTGGGAAGCCCACGCTGGAGCAGGCTCCTGGCAGGACCTGTGGGCCTGTGGAGAAAGGAGGCCACGCTGGAGCAGGGCAAGAGTGTGAGGAGTCCTCCCCCTGAGGAGGAAGGAGCAGCAGAGACAACGGGTGATGAACTGACTGCAGCCCCCATCCCCATCCTCCTGTGCTGCTGTGGGGGAGGAGGTAGAGAAAAGTGAAAGTAAAGTTAAGCCTGGGAAGAAGGGGTGTGAGGAAGGTGTTTTAAGATTTTATTTTATTTCTCATTATCCTACTCTGAGTTGATTGGTAATAATTTAAACTAATTTCCACAAGTCAAGACTGTTTTGCCCATGACAATAATTGGCGAATGATCTCTCCCTGTCTTTATCCTGACGCATGAGAGTTCTGTCATATTTTTTGCCCCTGTCAGGTTGAGGAGGGGAGCGATAGAGTGGCTTTGGTGGGCACCCAGCACCCAGCCAAGGTCAACCCACTACGCTTTTGTAGGCCTGACTAAGCAAATTCATAACCATTTCTGTTCAGCAATCATGAAACAAGCCATGAGAAAAAAAGGCCAGTCTACTGGTTTTTATAAGAAGCCATATAACTAAGTTTGACAAACTTAGTCTTCATCCGTAATGACATATGTCAGCTTCAGCACCACTGAAATACTGATTAGACCATATTAAAAACACTGCAAAAAAGCATTTTAAAATTTTATTTTCCATTTTCTCCTTGTTCCCCTAATGTATTCAGACATACAATGGGAGGAGGAGGGAGATATGTAAAAATGCATGTACAGAGCTATCTACTACTGCTATTAATATGGGACAGCTTTTTGACAGCCCATACTTACAGTGAGGCGAGGGCATTTTGACTTGGCAAAAACTCCCATGAATATATCAGGGGCATTGAACTCCTGAAGAAATAAAGCGACATCCTGTGGAAAAAGTGAATGGAGAAGTAAATGGACTTCTACAATCTTCAGATACAAAATCACACCTTTTCTCACAGCACAATGACTGGATCAAAGAGACGTCAAACACTACAAAAGATCAGGTACTTCCCAACAGTTAATATCAATAATCCTTGCTTTTCAACAAGAGAAGATCAGCAAGCCCCTGTGGTGATTCAGGATGCCAGTGATTTACTGTACAATGAACCAAAAAAATAATGTTTAGTTTCTTTTGCTTTCTGTCTCAACAGAGAATCAGAGACGCTATGTCAGAATTCAGCAAATACCATGTTTTCAGACAGTGACACCAGTCAAATGTACAAAAAGAAAGAAGGGACTACCATTAGCACTTGATCAGATCATACAAAAGAGGAAATCTCCTCCTTAGTTTACCACGTTAAAACACAAGATTAGTTCTCTATTTAGGAGTAAAAAACACATCTTCCATGTTTATTTAAAATATCTAAACAAAGAGCCAAGGAATAAAATACTAACAGTCTTTTAAAAATATATCTCTTACTCGGGATTTCATTCCAGCATTTGTGAATGCTGAGAAAAATACCAAAAAGTTATGTTACATTGCCACTGTAAGTTTAAAGCTACACTTTAAAAGATTATCAGAGAAAACTACGCTTATCAGCAGGATGCATTACAATTGCGAGAGGAAAATATGCCTATTTAGAGATGGCACCCATATTATCTTAATAATCAAACATCTGAAGATACAGGCTATGCACCTGAGCTAACTTCAGCTACAGCTGTCTTCTAATTACTCTGAGCTTCGGTTCAGCTCCTGCACACAATGCAGAAAACTACCAGGTATGAACACAGCCCCATTTATGCCAGCTGACCTGCACAATCCATTGGACACCTGGAGCAAAGGTCGGACAGACCACCTTGTTTCTTTTACATTCAAACACAGTTCTGCTTTACACCCTTAAACAGCAGCATGTGGCCCAGCAGCTGGGGCCCATGGGAAGGCCTGCTTCTGCAAACTAGTGCTGGGCTTAAGAGTGCACACAATGTGCTTGCTCATCTTGAAAAACAACTTTTGTGATGAGCCTGCTTGATGTCAGTCCACCACACCTGCCCTGCCTAACGACTCGCTGCACGCTCAAACCAGAGAATAATCGGCGCCATCAGAATCAGAAAGCTGACCGGCACCCTGTCATTCTGTGCCTCCTCCTACTTCTCGAAGGATTCTGACTGAGCACACAGGGCAGAACCCACCCGTGGGGTCTGGCTCCCGCACACAGCTCCCACCTCGTCCATCGACATGTCCCACACTTTGCAAATGTCATTCTCCATCTCTTCATCCAGCTCCGTCTGGATTCCCTCGGGGCTCCCGCCGGGCTCCGTCTTCTCGGGGCTGATGACCTGACAAAACGGAGGGCGGGAGGAGGGGTGTGCGCGCGGGGGGCAGCGGGGCGTCAGCTGCGGCCCAGAAACGCCACCCAACTTCAACAACGACCCACCGCTTCGGTCACAGTTTTTTTTAAAAAAAAAAAAAAAAAAAAAAAAAGAAAAAAAAAACACACAACGAGGGAAGCGGCGCGGCGCGTGTCCCCCAGCCCCCGGAACGCTCGCGCCGCACCCGCGAGCCGTTACCAGGCCCGCCGGCCTCGACCCTCACGGCACGCACACCCGCCTCACCCCACCCCACCCCACACACCTCGATGAGGCGGGTGAGGATGCTGAACAGCCAGTGCTTGCTGTACACCGTGTTCCCCACCGCGTCACCCTCCTCCTCCGCCTCGCTGGAGGGCGGTGAGGGGTTACGGTCCATGGCGGCCCGCCGCCACCCTCCCACCAGCGCCAACGAGGCGGCGGCCACCAGAGCGGCGCCACGGCGACGCCCCACAGCGCCCCCTGGCGGGGCGGCGGGAGGTCCCCACCCCCGAAGGAGACCCCCCCCGAAGGAGACCGGGCCGCGTTTTTAGGAGAATTTCTTTATTCAGCTTCACAGAACAGTTGTAAGAGGGGAGCAGAGATGGCCTCCTGTGAGGCAGCGTTAGTATTTGCTGGGAAGGCCCGCAGGTCTGTAGCGGTTGGGGTCCCCGCCGTTCCTGCCCCACACGTTCGCCTCCTGGTCAGCGCGGGTGTCTTCGGCCCCTCGGCCGCTCACGTCGCTTTGCCATTTTTCCCGGGCGTTACTAGCAGGAAGCAAAAAGGCCGCCTGAACCAACCAGGATTTAACTCCACTTTGTGTTGATTTCCTCGCTCATGTAAAACTAGCTTTTCCACAGGACTTCTCAAAGCAAGCACATATTCGGTCCTCGTCTGAGAACCGCAGTGGAATCTGTAGCTATTATGCCAGGAAATGGACCATCAAGAAAAGAGAATTCCCTATCACCAGAAATGCAGAGGTAAGAAATTTGCTTTCTCGGGAGGACAGGAAAGGTTCATGTGGGAGGAGAGGCACTATTCCTGTAGAGACAGACTGTTCAGACATTAGCTGCTTTCCCTCCTTTTAGCTCAAAAGCTGAGTACAAGTCAAAAAGGACTTCACTCTAACTAGAATGCCTGTAGCCATCATAACTCACTGTTAGTAAGACAAATACGCTCCATTACCTGATCACTCTGGCTGCCCAAGCACCACCAGGTCCTCTTTGGGCAGCATCATAATTCCCACGAGCGTGGAAATACTTGTCGGCCCCTTTATAATTTGCCTCACGCATGTCCTGGTATGCTCTGTACATATCCCGTGCCCCTGAGGAAAGCAGAGAAACCGAGATGATGTTGACTTTAAAGAGTCATCCCAGAAATAGTTAAGTACCGTTTCAGCCAGGAGCTGAAAGGCCCAAGGAGCAGTAACCAGACAGGCACTTCTCCACACCCGCCCCTGCACAGGGCTGCGCCCACAGAAGGGGCCTGCAGGGGCTGATCGAGGTTCTCCTCCAGCCTCAGAAACCAGCGGGGTCCCTAATGTGGAGCTGCGGACCTCCCAGCTCTGAGTACTGAGTCCTGACAGGGTTCCTGAGAGAAAGGCCCGTGGTAACAGCGGCTTACCTCCCAGGGCATCCCAGACAAATCGTCCACCTTCGCGTATTCGTGACAGGTCAGCACTTGCACACACAATAAAGGAGAGCAACACAAAGCAGACACACAGCCTCATGGTTCCTGGCCCAAGCCTGGCACAGAGCTGTAAGACAGATGAGCAGTTCAGGAGCACCTTTGAGAGACACAGCATCCATCCCATCCACCGCTGTGCCCGGGCAGCTGCCCCAGCCGCTGGTGGCTAGCCCAGGATCCCACCGCTCCCCCAACAAGGAGGGATGCCCTCTGTGTGACCACAAGCTCAGCTACAGACTCTGCAACAGAGGCAGATGGACATGAGAAACTTGCATTTTAGCATTCCCTGCTGCTCCTATCATGAGTACAGAGAAGCCCCCACATGCTAAAGCATTAGTCCTGTTCCAGAATACCAGCTAAAAACATTGCATATAGCTGACAAATTTCGAGTATCACTCACCACTGCAGAAAGGCAAAGCCAAAGGAGATGGAGCTTGTCTTGTGTGCTCTGAGAGAGTATTTATAAGCAATTCAAACCCCTCAAAAGAGGAAATTGGAAAGGATACCCACTGGCTGGGAATTCCCCACCGTCACTCCACTTTCAACACAGAAATCATTACGGTAAGCCTGTCCCTGTCCTTACTGAAAGCTCATAGCTCCTGTTAACACAATTTTTTAGAAAGTATGTGGTGGTGATTCAGATGTCCACAGGAGTAGTTGCTCCTCAAAACAAGCAGGCTGAGAAACTGCCTCAAAGACTGAAGCGTTCTCTGTGCTTGAAGTGTTACTGTTGGCTTAAGGGTGACACTTTTGTTCTGTTCCTGTGGACAGAGCTCCGTGAAGGTGCCTCATTGTCTGCACTGTACATTGAAGCACAAGGTCAGATCTGTGTCTGTGCACAAGGAATGGTCAGCTGCGTGACCAGAACGGCTGCAGGCACTGCTAAGTGAAATGCCCATGTGTGCTGGGATGACAAGATAGATCCCAGAGTTGATAGAATAGAAGAGGAGAAGCAGTGCTCTTAACTCCATTGCAAAGCAAACTGCATACACCTGTGTCCCTGCTGATAATGCTTTAAGATGGCACACACCTCCCCCCGCCCTAAGGAAGGCCTGAATGGTTCATCCTGCCTTCGCTTGCTCTCACAGATCCTTCTTGAGGGACTTCCACTCATCCTGCTGCAACAGCAGCTCAGTGGGGCTCAAGAAGGCTGAACTAAGACTTTTTGATGCAGTAGAAAACATTTTACCTAAGGGGAAGTTCAGATCCATACAGCCACAACTCTGGTAGATTTTGAAATCGATGCATTAACTGTCAGGCCCTACAGGTGTGGTTCACGGTTTGAGTACCCACTGTGCTCTTTCTGCTTAGAAGCCTGCTTGCTTCCCTTGGTTAACAACTGACAGAACTGTTTCCCCTGCAGAAAACTCTGGGCTTGACTGCAGTTGCACTGCAGGAATGTGCAGAATGCCTCCCTGTTGTGGGATTAACATGATTACCAAATCCAAGAGAGGTTCTTTAAATTCTCTGCAGAAGAGGTTTGTGTGTTTGCCCCATTCACAACTCTCTCTTTGAACACTGGGACATGCCTAGCCACTGGACATGAAGGGCAGAGGTATCAGGTAAAAGAGGTGCAATAACAAACTTAGATAATAAAGTGCCAGCAGCTGAAATCCCTGGCCATTGCTGGACTTCAGACAAGAATTCAGTCTAAGGGAAGAAGAGACATTCCACAGACAGGCCTGGAGTGGCAGGACAGATACTCTCTAGTACATGGTATTTCTGAATGGAACAATTTGGGACGAGAATCTAAACCCTAACCCAATGGACAAGGAAATCTTGAAAAAAAGTAGGTGGCCAGACACGTAATTTTGTCCCCTGCAACCCATAAATTTGATACTTAACAGCGTAACAACTCAGTTACTGCAGAGACTGGAGTGCTGTGTTTTGCTGCAACTCTGTTCACATCCTAGTGATGACTTACACCCTGACATCAGCTCATGTGCCTTTGCTGCTGGCCACAAGTAGCCCTGCCTGTGACCTTTTTGGTTTTGATTTAAAGGAAAAAAAAAAAAAAAAAAAAGACTGGAACATTATTCCCGTAACTTGGGGTACAGGCTCACTAACCATGTGGTGTTTTGCCCAGGGACCTAGGACAGAGCATTACCTTCAAAACTGACTGAAGGAACTTTCCCCTACAAGAGCTCAGACATTTTGAACCATAGAGGGTATTTCCAAGTCTTCTGATGTGTTCCACATTCTCTTCAAACCAAAATTTTCTGAAAAGAGCAGAAACATGAGGATAATTGCAAGAAGGTAGGTGCTGGAGGGGATCTTTAGATCTCAGGTTGCACCCTCTTGAATTTTCCCCAACAAGGAAGGCAGCAGCAGCGACAACAATGCTGGTGCTCCCTACCATAACTGAGATAAAGTGCCAGCTTTGTGCTCCAGCAAGTAACAGCCCAAGCACTGCGTTCCCGTATCCTCTTGGCCTGCATTCCAGGTCACAGTCCGCAGAAACAAGCTGCTGCCAAAACCATTGCTTTTGCAACAGAAATAGGCAAGCTGCCTCCGAGCACGTAAAAGGGTTTGAATGGAATATTCATTTCTGGCACATGGGCATGCTGGATAAACATAACACATATAGGAGCACCTGGGATTTTTCTGGGTTTGTACACTCTGATATAGTTAAGATAAAAAGAAACCTCAAAGTGATTGCCCTTTAATTCTAAGTATCTATATATGCAAGCTACGTTCTGTAAACATTCTGCAATGTAGGCATTTTGCAATCTGTGCAAGTCTCACACTGATAAAGGGGATGAGGTGAATTCCCAGCTCAGGCACAATAATAGATGCAGTTACTCCTTATTCTGGGAAGTAATAGCACCTTAGCTAAATTTACATGGGCAATAATTCACTTCAGGAGTTTTGCCATGCTGCTGTATGGATCATTTACTAGCATTAGCCTCCCTGGTATGAGACTTTTATGGTTTTTTTTTGGAAAAAAACAACCAACCAACCAACAATAAAGCCAACACAACTTCTATTTAAAGTTGCTTCAGGCAAAGCCCCCTTTGTTCATCTCTGCTTTTCAAGGGTCCCCTCCACCAACAGTCAGTCACCAAAACCAAAGATGAGCTGCAGGTCACCTGCTCCAGTGCAGGCTGGCTTAAACTATCAGTAGGGTATGCTTAGCTGGCTGACAGGAGCTGGTAGGGGCTGTAGCTTTAGAGTGAGGGCATTGCTCTGTACAACTGTAATTTCTAAACAGAAGACCATTTCACAGTCCCTTCACCTTACCCATCTGAGATGAAAACAGACATATCAAGAATAGCAAACAGTGATTTTCCAACTTTTCTTCAGAGAGTGAATTCTTACTCTTTATTGACAGCCAAGTTAGTGGAAATCGTCAACACAAGCTCACTTTAGACACCAAATGTGAACAAAATGCTTTCCATTATGTTAGCTATATGACCATTCTGACACAAAATTTTAAAAAGCTCTGAAAGGAAAATTATGATTTGTTGTGAAAAAAACCCCAACAAAACCAACAAAAGCACCCCAGCCCTCACTCAGAATTATCCAAGCGTACAAAACTCCCACAGAAGTAAGGAGGAGACTTCCATATACACAAAATACACAGAGCAAATAAAGTGGAACTGTTACATCCACAGGTAAGCCAGGTACATTCTTTGAAAGCCAGCCAACTTCCTCCAAGGAGGGCAACACAAGTACTCAGCTAATGCTGTATGACATTCACACGTTGTATGAAATGGAATTAAATGCAACAGCCACGGAGGGAGCAGCACGCTCATTTGGCAGGTAAGAGAACAGACACCAACATCATCCAATTCGTGTAACCTCACCATACACTGCAGGTGCCAGGCTGCAACTCCAAATCTTACTGTAAGAGCATGGGGTGTTTTTGATAGAAGGATCTGTGCTGTTTCCAATGTCAAAATCTAAACCCCAAAAGATTTAGTTTTATTTTTTAGAAGTACTGTATTGGCTTTTCCACAATCCACACTATTAACAGATGAAAGCCTGCCACCAATTGTTTCACTGTAACTTCATTTCCTCTAGGGAAGTAACCAACCCTCCACAATCAAGTCTTTTGCAGTTGAGATGAAACAGACTGCATGTCTCAAAAGTCTGAAAGTTGTATTACTAAGTCCTATTTTGATGAAAATAAAAGCATTATTTTGCAGCACAACTGATGCAAGACTACATAAAAAGATGCTTTATAAAGAAATATTTTCAAGGAATTTAATGACAAATTTACATATTTTAATAAAGTTTAGTTCCAATGCATGCTTTTTTTTGTTTAAATGACATTTGAGAAAAGAAAATACTGACCACACACTGTAACCTTCTGCTAAAAAACGTGATAGCCTGACAGTGAAGATGGCCAAAACTAGAAGCCTAGAAACAAACCTGTTCAAAAATGTATTAACTGCAGAAGGAGTGCTTGTAGAAAGCATAGTTCTGTAAATGAGAAAAACCAAGTGAATTTATGAATCTTCATATTCTAGCAGATATTTTAAAAGACTTATTTTTTGACAGCATCTGTCTGAAAATACTTATTTAAACCTTCAGCTTTTAAAAATATTGTTTTAATAAGACGTGGTCTTCTCACTTTCCAAAATGTTAAAATTCATTGTGGCATTACCAAAGTTTACCTGGACATTAGTAAAGCCTTTGACAGACACCATTTCCCACGGCATTTTGGAGACAGTGGCTGCTCATGGCTCGGATGGGTATACTCTTCACTGGGTAAAACACTGGCTGGGTGGCTGGGCCTAAAGAGTGGTGCTGAATGGAGTTAAATCCAGTTGGTGGTTGGTCACAAGTGGTGTTCCCCAGGGCTCAGTACTGGGGACAGTTCTAACATCTTTATCAGTGGTCTGGATGAGGGGATCAAGTGCACCCTCAGTAAGTTTGCAGATGACACCAAGTTGCACAGGAGTGTCGATCTGCTGGAGGGCAGGAAGGCTCTACAGAGGAGTCAGGACAGGCTGGAGCAACAGGCCAAGGCCAGTTCTGTGAGGTTCAACAAGGTCAGGTGCCAAGTCCTGCACCTAGGTCACAACAACCCCCCACAAGGCTACAGGCTTAGGGAAGAGTGGCTGGAAAGCTGCCTGGTGGAAAAGGAATATGAGCCAGAAGTGTGCCCAGGTGGCCAAGAAGGCCAATGGCATCCTGGCTTGTGTCAGAAATAGTTCAGCCAGCAGGACTAGGGAAGTGCTCATCCCCCTGTACCTGGCATTGCTGAGGCTGCACCTCAAATACTGTGTTCAGTTTTGGGCCCCTCACTACAAGAAAGACACTGAGGTGCTGGAGCATGTCCAAAGAACATGGGCAACAAAGCTGGTGAAGGGTGTGGAGCACAAGACTTATGAGAAACAGTTGAGGGAACTGGGGTTGCTTAGAAAAGGAGGCTGAGGGGAGACCTTATTGCTCCCTCCAAATACCTGAAAGGAGGCTGTAGCGAAGTGAGGGTCCATCTCCCAAGTAACAAGCAACAGAACAAGAGGAAGTGGCCTCAAGTTGCACCAGGGGAGGTTTAGATTGGGTAGTAGGAAAAATTTCTTCATGAAGAGGGTTGTCAAGCACCAAAACAGGCTGCCCAGGGGAGTGGCTGAGTCACCATCCCTGGGGGGGATTTAAAAGATGTGTAGATGTGGCATTTAGGGACACGGTTTGGTGCTGGACTTGGCGATGAGAAGTTTAGCATGGACTCGATGATCTTAAGTGTCTTTTCCAACCTAAAGGATTCTGTGAGTCTAATTCCACTGTCCTGAGGTTTGTTGAAATGCCACAACTGATGTCTATAGTCATGTTGCACAAAGATAGGGGCAATTTAGAAATATCTTGCTCATAGTTTAACAGTGAGTTCATTTAGCAAGTTCTTCTGTTAACCAGCATTCTGAACCATTAATCCACTTCTGAAAAATTATTTCCCTCCCATTTTGAGACTTCGCTCAATTAATGCATTTCAAAGGGGCAAGACCAGTCCATATAATTTAAGAGGAAAAAAAAAAAAAAGTATCATAACAAGCACTTCTACAGTAACTTGAAAAAGTCAGTGTAGTTTACAGGAAAATTAAACAAGTATGACCTTAGATATTTCTGAGGAATGGCTTCTCACATTTGCAAACAAACAAAAAAATTTTTACACTATTATTTAATACTTAGAAGCTCATATCCTTAACACTTAAGTCATACAGACTTAGAAAATAAATGCAGGAATTTTCATCTCAGAAATCTGAGAGCTTTTTTTAATTTCAAGATAAATACTGAATTGTTTTGTTTTAGGTTCCACTGTTCAAAACTCATCTCCAAAGGTGTAAGGAAGAACTGTCAACAGTAGTCAGGCAGACACCTGCCAGATGGAAACTGGATCAAGATAATTGAACTTTTAGACAGGAGTTGATTTCTTTAAGAGCCTATTAGGTTTAAGAGGCACTTTAATATACAGTCATTACAGTAAAAAATGTTCCCAAATTTTTCGAAGTTCTTTTCTATGCTTGCTGAGACCACAAAAACCGATCACACCTTTCCAACATGGACTGAACCAGCGCTCTGCAATTAAAGCAAAGGGGGGAAAAAAAAAAAAAAAAAAAAAGGTCAAACAGTAAAAAAAGCTACCAGCAGAACAACAGAGTTTTGGTTTGCATTTTAAAGAAAAGTTTGTCAAAAACATGATTGTATTTCAGAAGTAACATCACCATGCATGCCCCCTCTGAAAGGGATAGGTGAGCTCAGCATCTCTGCAGGGCTCCGCAATACAGCTATCTCCTTCAGAGAACCTCCCTCACATACATCATTAATGTACGATTTCATGTTTCCTCATTTTCCATTTTAAAATGCCTGTATTGCACAATACACAGCTCTTATAGAAAAACTTTCAGCTGAGCTTAAAACCAGGGGTAAAATGTGAAATATTTTTTCTCTTTTGTTCATGGAAAAGAAAAGTTTCTAGCACCAAAATGATCCCTAATGAATAGTGTGGATCTTCTGTTGACATGTCATCTTACCTTTGCCTTTTCTCAGCAATTCTCAGTATCTCACAGACACTAGTAAATCTCTCAGAAAATTCTAGTGTCAAGCCACACTCCTGCAAGAGAGGCAAGGCACGATTTGGGCCAATGGCCTTTGCCAGTAAGAGAGCTATGTTTTCCACAGTGATGCAGTCTGGGCAGCTCAGGCTACCGTTGCTGACAGCACTCCCGTTCTGTGGGCCATCGTGGTGGAGGGTTGTGCTGTGATTCTGTGCAAGATGCAGAAGAAACTTCCATTCTTCTATTGTCTCTGGAATGGAACCTAGATGTAAAATGTGTTTGTTACATTATATGTAGAAGGATTACTCTAAGCTTACTACATTAAATATATCTGTACTTAAAAGGAAAGCTAGCTATTTTGTTTTTCCTCTGTGAAGATTTAAGAAAACCAAGCGTTATCAAACAAGCAAATTGTGTACAGAGTGTACTGCCTTGACTGACTCAGTGTAAAGATTCTGTGAACTACACACAAAGCTTCACAACAGTTCAGTATTTAAGGCTTTGGATTAAGTCAAGAGACAAAGAATTGTTTTGTCTCTTTCAGGGCTGCTAGGAATTTTCTTCTAAGTTCTGCCATGTGATACAATGCTTCGCTCGCTATCACTTTGTGTGTGTGCACATGTAGTGGGGGCAGTTTTGTGCTGTGCAGGGAGGCCAATTGTTCCTCTGTCTACAACACCAAGTTTAGCTTTTACTACCAACTGATAAACAACTCTACATTCTTGAACTTTTAAGCATTTTCTAACACAACTGATTTCACAACGTACAGTGTGAAGATATAAGACTGTGACACCCATTTACGTGTTTCAAATATTCTGTGCTACACACAGTTAGTGCTACCAAAACACTTAAAAAAACCTAAAAGTTCAACTCAACTTTGGACAAATCAGTATATAATAAGGGCAGTTCCTATGTTACAGATGTATGTTTACACGACTTAAGACTCACTAACCATCTTCTCCATTCAAAAGGCTCAAATCATCCAAACGAGCAATATTAGTAAAGGCTTCTATTCTTCTATCCAGCTCCAGACAGAGAAAAAGATATCCAGGCCAAAATCTTGAATAAGAGAGTAAAGATTTCCAGGAATCAAATACTCAGTCTAAACTGAAGTCACCAATAATTAAATGTTCATTTAAATATCACTGAAGACAGAAGCAACAATTTCTTGAACACCAGAAATCACTGCAGAATAGGGACACAGAGAATACCCCTCAACCAAAAGAGGTATTTTGTACATTAAATTGGACACTCAGTATTCATCCTCAAAACAAGAAAGTTTTTTAAATAAAGCTTGTCCCAGTAAGGTGCAGAGGGGTTGTTTTAATTTGTATCTTTTGGGGATCAGAATATCAACTATCCAAGTACCAAGAATTACAAAGTTTTCTTCTTACCCATGTGATTTACAGATGTCAGCCATCTTCTCTTTCATAACAAAATCAGCTGGGAGTTTAACCAAAAGCAGAATGAGCTGGCTATAGCCCCAAGTAAACAAATGTGATCGTGGCCTAGAAGATGAGAAATTAAGTTTTAAAGCACTGATTTTCCTCAGAACGTTGTGTCCTCTCTACAGGAAACGCAGATATATGAAGAAAGAGAAGGAAAACCAAATGAAACACTGTGTGAAGTCTCAGCAGAGCAGTCACTGAAAAGCATTACAGGTGAAGTTATTTAACCCTTTGGTTGCCTCTGCTGAACTCTGCAAGAGCTGTTAAAGCTTTTTGCTGCACTCAGAATCTTGGGTGAACTCTACTTTACCTGGGATTTCCTTCTGCATCCACAGTATTTGCTCTTTGTGGTGCATCCTGAGAAACTGCCAAGCATAACCAATCCAGTCGTACAGATTCGGGCTGCAGAAGAGATCTAAGAAGAGATGACCTAGAAAACAAAACACACAGATAAAAGCCTACCAGTTTCACATATACCAGATTCGGAGAAGTAGAGATTGTGTGCGGACTAAAAATTAAAAAGGATGTAAAATTAAATATGGAAAAGTGTAGAATGACTTATGTTTCTAGAAACTGTGGAGACCACAGAAAACCATCAAATTTGCAGGTTGGGTTCCCCCAGGCATTTGTTTTGTTTTAGTTTTGTTTCGGGTTGGGTTTTTTTTGTTGTTGTTGTTTTTTGGTTGTTTTTTTTTTTTTTTTTTTTTTAAATGCTGCCTAACCTTGGTGTACTGAACTGCAGGCACAGAACAAAAACAGTCAGTTCCGTTGAAAGTATTACTTAGAAAAACCTTTTCAAAACTAGCATCTAATCTAACAAAAAACCCAGTCTGAGAGTAACTAAAACTGTCAGAATGACTCTGAACCTAGTGCTAAAGAACACCAATCAGATATATGCAGAAACAGTACAAAAAAGCCCCCAAAAGCCAAAATCAGTAAAACCCCCACACAGCTACATGATGAAGAGAACAGACAGATGAAAACAATTCTATATTCCCTTTACCTTTTCTCCTCTGGCTTTGATTTCACCAGACTATCTAAATAAACTAAAAAGTGAGCTGGATTGTTCCTGCAAAGCTGTTTGATATCAGAAGGCAAAATAGAAGGATAGAACTTGATCAGGGGCCGAAGAGCTATTTCCCCAAATTTTTCATAAAGCCTGGAAAGAGAGGATAAAAACTGTTTTCAGTACCAAACACAAAAATTATAATTTTTCCAAGACCTCTTGAAAGTTTGAGATAGTACTAAAAGGTGATGTCTTTAAAAGATTGCCAGAAGGCTTCATGGAATGTGAAGTGTACCAATTCCTGCTAGAAAGTTAAGAACACTGAAGAGAAAAGAAAGGACTTGGCTACAAACCTTTGAGCATGTACCAGTAACAGTGGGCTATCATCCCAAGGCCCCAGGTCATGCAGCTGTTTCAGTATTTTCAACATATCTTCATTTTCCATTGCTAAAGCCACTGGACTGTGACAAGTTAGTTCTGAAAAAAATCAGCACTCAAGTTACAGGATATGGGCAAGTGTTTTTTACTCACCATGCTCACAGCTGTTATTAAGTGTAAGAACAAAAGTTATCACTACTTTCATGGAACTCTCTATCTAACAGTAGTAACAAGTGAACAGATCCTACTTGTTCGTTTTATAGGAATTAACATCACTGATCTGCATTTACAGCAAATCACAGTTATAAAATGATACAATTAAGGCTTGGAATAATATTCTTGATATATTTTCCTTTTCTTTAGTCTTCTGAGGAGGTAAATTTTTCTCTCATGTGAAAAAAGCCCACAGCAGAACATATGGCTTGCTGAATATAATGCAGGTGCGCATCAGTTTTCATGTATTACAATTCGCTTATATTAATAAACAAAAACTTCAGCAGCTTGGACACTAACTTCACAGAATGCAGAACTCAAGCACAAACCTTGATCCTGATGAAATGCAAATATTAACCCATGGGCACAAGCACAGTCCAACTGAGGACAAACTGGGAATGCATACATTACACTTCCACTTCTAAGGCTCTCAGAATCCCAATAGTGAACAGATTCTCAGAATCGCAAATACCAGTTACCAATCCTCAAAGCAAAATTCTGTTGTCTGACTACTCTCTGTGGCATTAAACCAATGCTAAGACTTCAGTTCACTTTTAAAAGAAGAAATGCGCAAAGCAGAGGCTGAATGCAGAGAACCAATGAAGTTCTGTTTTCCAATATAATCAGGAAGCTTTGGTTCAATAAGGCCAAAGAGGTATCAAAAAGATCAGAAAGGATTTCTGTGGAAAAATGAAGTCTAAAGTGCTCACAAGCTGCTCATTTGCATGGCACCACCTACTCCATTCAGTTTTGTTTCACATTACTGCAAGTCAAATCTTCTGTTTTCAGTGCAAGTACCGAAGCTCCTCCCTTAGCTTTTGCTTTGTTTCTAGACAGACTAATCTAAAATGCTTTTGCTCTTTGAAACACTCCCCTGCTACCAAAAAACTCCACCACTCACTCAAACCCAGGACAAACACATATATTTGTTTTTAAATAAATCTTTTCTGTAATCACTACAGTGCTCAACCAACAAGGTCCACATAAATACAAAGGTTGAGGATTGAAAAGTGGGGGGAGTAACAGTCTCTCCAAGGAGCCAGCAGTTCTCCATAAGTTAGCCACTGGAGGAAAAAACAACCAACCAACCAATCCAAAAATGGCAAAAAACCTCCCACACACCGACCACCCATCCCCCTCCCACGCTACCCCCGCAGGAGGAAATTCTGCAGACACAAACAGGAGTGTCTTGAAGCTTTTTTCTTTTTTCCTCCCGGTCTTACTTTCAGTTTACTAGTAACAAATTTTTCATTAGTTACCTTTCAATCCTGCGATGTATGTTTCCCACACATTAGGACTGGTTGCATACATGGTTATAATACACTGCTTTAGTCTTTTTAAATCCAAAAGAAAGAAGTAGTTTCGCATAAACCTACACGCCAAGGTCCACGAAGCCGCTAGTGGCAGGCTTCCATCAGAACCTCCCTGTGTGTCACCATTTCCACAAGAAAGTACACGTAGCTCAAAACACAGCGTCGTCAACTCAACGAGATCTTTCTGAACATCCGGCTCTATGACACATGGAGGAGACACCTGAAAGCTGCAGAACAAAGGTCCCTTCACATCAGTACTATTTTCACACGTGCTTCTGCTTACACAGGTTTCATCAGTGTTTTCCTTTTCAGAGCAGTCTTCCAAGATACTACTCTGTTCTTTGTCTACTGGGTCTCCAGCAGTTGGAGCCGGTTGCAAGTTTTCCTCCAGTACTGCCCTCTGCTCTTCAGCACACACAGTCTTGGTTTTCTTAAAAGAGGAAGCAGAATGCCCTTTGCTGCCAAACTTTTCTTCTAGATAGACAAGCCATTCCTGTAAAACCCTTCTCATACACTGTGGTTCTAACAAAACCAAGGGATCCTGGAGTTTGGCTCTGCAGCACAAAAAAGAAGTTTGCTTATCAGTTATAAGATGCCACAAGTGAAGTATTATGTATGTTTTGTGTAACTCAAAGTATACTCCTAAGCTTGACTTGGTCAGTTGTTTTTTTGTGGTTTTGAGCGCATCAAACATAATTTAGGCTACTTACACTGCCTAAATTTGATACTAGCACATTCTGAGTTCCCCAAGGTTTCTTTCAGAATGGACTTTTGTTTGTTGGGTGGTTTTGGTTTTGATTTTAAACTATGCTTGTAGTTAGGACAAAAGGATAATGCTAGAGTACCTAAAAAAGCTTTTAGTGGGTTTTGCTTGGTTTTAAATAGGGAAAAACAAGTCATTAACCAAATGAGATCCTTTCAGATCATGTTAACAGACATTCGGAGCATTACTCTTAAATGTATGTAATGAATAAGAAAAACAAATTTAAAAATCAAACATTTTTCTAGCAAAGCCTAATAAATCTGTACATTAAAAAGCTTCTCCGCTTACATAGCTTCTGCTGTTGCAACCTTGAGATCTCTTAGATGGTCCTCCTCTGGAAGCTGGCAGCCCTGTGGTTCTAACCTAGAAAAACACATTAATTTCAGTCTTATCTGAAGTACTATGTTTAGTAATTTAAGTGAGGATTTGCTCACAAAATTTCCTCAAATTTGTGAGGAAACAATATTCATTCCTTTATTAATAAAATAAAAACAAAAACTAAGGTTTAATTTATAAAGAAGGAACAGGTGAACATAAATTATGACAAATCAGGCATGAAGAACAACTGATAATACTATTTTTGTGGCCTTCTATAATGGCTTCTACTCCCACTACAATAGATTTCTGCAGGTATTGAATAAAAATCAGTCGCATGCCACTAGATGAGAGTTAGTCCAAAATGGTAAACTAGCAAATCATTGGAATATGAAATAACTTAGCTCTGTATTCACTGGACAACCACTAAGGAAGCTCAATGTTTTACAGCTACCTTTATTATAAAAAAAAAACACAAACAAACAAACAAAAAACCCAACAACCAACTAACAAACCAACCCCCAAACCCAACCACACAAATTAAAAACAAAAAAGAAAGAAGTTTTTAGGGAGATAAAGTGTTTCCTCCCCATTCAAACAAGACAGGAAATGAACTGTTGGACTCATGTCCATAACTATAACGAGCATCACAGATACACTACACGAGAATTGCTGAATACACTGTGTTCTTGCCCTTTAGTTGTCACAGCGCTGTGGAGACTGCATGCTCCACCACCCACAAGTGTTCACTGCCTAATCAGCTTCTAGGAACGCAGTCAGGGCAAAGCAGTGAAACCCACCATAGTAACGAAGACAGATGGAAAAACCCAATGCTGAGCACCTTGTTTTACTTGAAACAGTAGTTTTTCTTTAGGTTGCTATCTCCAGAACATTCAGCAAATGCAACTGCTAAGTAAACGTGATTTCGCACTCACTCTTTCTCTTCCTGGGGAGATGCTACCAGATGAACAGTCAACTCCTGCAGCTGCTCGTCATCCTTTGCTTCTTGCCTCCCTCTAGTGTCAGGACTTATATGAAGTGTGCCAATCTTTTCAGTAGTTTTGCGTACAAAGCTGGAAACACTAGGAGTCAGAAGTTCAAACATTTAAAATTGGAAGTTCAAAACCAAAGAAATCAAGCACTTTCTTTCCACTCAAACTATGATTTCAGAAAACTTTATAATCTGAAGAACTCTTGAGAAAAGGATGACAGCAGCGACAACCAACAAGAACAAAAGAAAGAAGCTGCTCAAAATTCATGCTTCAGTCATGGTCCATACTTTCAGCACAGAATAAAAACCTGAAGTATTTAAGACTTGGGCTTTTTGCTGCTGGAGAAACAGGATCACATACTAACACTGGTGCATAGATTTTGACATGTATTTGTGTGGAAATAGAAGCAGATTAGTTACATTGCATTTTAAAGCTTGTAAATAGACAGCATCATTAGGAAGTTATGTCCTTCTTGGTAGTAAGAAACAGTTTTACAATACTCCAGATTATTTTTTCACATTACAAAGCTCATCAAAATGTCCTTCTCATGTCATCAGTCCCTATCCCTTCAGATATTTTATTCAAGAGAAAGCCCAGTGAACATACCAAAACTCAATTATTTCTACCACTGCCATGAAGAGAACTATGTCATCAAGAGTTGAACAGACAAATCAGCTTCTTACTTTCTGGCCAAGTACTAGTTTAAAAGCATCAAGAAAAAAGAAACAAGCAAGCCTTTTACTTGTTTGAGAGAGAATATGGCATCTTTTACTATACTGAGGTATAGCAGAAGTCAAAGGTTGGTGCAGGACAAAGGATTCAAATGCAGCAAAACAACTGGACTTAATGTATAGAAGGATTAAAGGCAAACTTTTAAAAATTAACCGTGAATAGATAGTATTTAATTTAATTATAAGTTGAATATAGTGAATACTTGAAAATTTAGTTCTCATTATTAGTAGAAACACTTATAACTAGGAAAGTCCTAAAAACTTGTTTATGGTTTAGAAAGAATTCAAAACATTGCATATACTTCTGAAGGTTATTCTGGGATCTTCACACTATTGATATGAGCTACAGTTTTTTGTTGTAGGACATAATTGACATACCTAAGTGATCAAGGGAGAGCTACACAATTTTTCAGACCATCGTTATGGACCAGCAACACTGTAGCTAAGAAACTAACATATAGATTTTTTTTTTCAAATTTTTAAGTTATGTATTTAACACCGTTTCCTTTATATTTCTCCCCTATTGCTTTTTATAAAAAGTTTTAAAATAGCAGTTTGATTTCTGCATAAAACAGACACTACAATATTGACTTGCACCAGGTATAAGCTACCATTATTCCATAAAAACTTGGGGAATTGATTATCCCCAAGCAACACAGGAAGCCTTCACTCATTCATCTAGGTACCAGAAAAGCAAAATCCCAAAACAGTATTCAGTAAATTTGCTTTGGATACAAGCCACAACCACAGTTTATAGGGGAATGTTAAACATTCTTACACATTTAAACGTTCTAAGCCATTTAAAAACTGAGGTTGAAATCTTGGCTCCACTGAAGTTAACAGCAGCTCTTCATATCTTCATTAGAGTCAAGATGGAAGCTTTCAATTGTCTAGCAAATTTGACTGTATCTCCGGTGTTTCAGTTCAGATGTTGCCTTTTTGCAGAACAGAGTATACACTAAACCAGACAATGCTACAAATTCAGAGACAGAAAAGGGAAAGATGTAATGGATGAGTGACCCTGCTGCAAGTTTTACCTTTCTTTGACAGCTTGGAGAGAGACGAGAGGAGATGGGGAACGAAATGACAAAGGAATACTGAATGGGAGAAATGTCTCATTCCGGTCAGCCTCAACCGTCACAGATGCATGAGATACGTTGTCTAACAAATGGAATTGAAATAAAGAGTCATGAAACAGTGGCTGGGCAAAAATGGAACAGTGAAACAAACTGCAAGTCACTAATTCATTAATGGATAATCTGCATGCACTATTTTCCTACTTAATATTCAAGAACACGGGGCACCAGAAAAGTGCCATTTTATTACCGACTTTGAACCTAGTAGGTCTGCTTTGTTAATAGTCTTTCGGCTCTGTGACAAGGCAAATGATGATCAACAATGGTATGAAAACTATCTTCTAAAAGTAGATTTACAGTCCATTTAAGGGACAAAAATTTTGATTTAATCCACTGACTGTTATTTAAACATCTAGGAAAAATAAGTATTGTGGCATACATCACCAATTTACATTGAATGATTTCCTAAAACTTGAATCACCTATGAGCATACAGAAACATAAGCCATGGTTAAGGTCTATGTCATCCTTTTATTTGAATGGACTTAAAAATGTAATTGAGCCCATATCTCTCTGGCTTTTGATAAGAATCACAGGAAATATAGAATCATTGACCATTTCCTTCTCACTGTTATATCCCTAACAGTATCTGCAATGTGTCTTGATTATTCATTTCCTGGTACAAACACACACCGTATCTTTAAGTGATGTGAATAAGAAAAAAAAGCATCCTTTTAAGTAAGGATGACACCGCATTTTGCAACAGTCAGCGCTATCTGCACTGTTGAGAGGAAAAGATGCTATGCTGTTACAGAAATTCCACCATCAGAATCCGCAGTCTCTCTAGATAGTGCCTAAAGGTCACAACTGATCTTACGACTGCTTGTAAATAAGGCTGCTTTTGTTCATTATGCAGATTAGAAACTTAAAAACTTATGACATCTTACGTAAATGTGAGCAGGGAAACACTAGGTCCATTTCTCTTAAATACCAAATTAAGTACACATGCTTCAAGAACTTCTCTAGTCTGAAAAGATCAGTAGATTTGTTATCTTGTTATACAGATTGAACTTTATCTTCTGACATTCAAAATCTACACCCCTTCATTTTAGAGTTTTACTAACTAACTAGAGTTTTGCTAACAGAAATTATATACTTCCTTACAAGTTTTCTCACTTGTTTTTACGTTGATGTAGGTAAAGAGGCACATGTGAATGTAAGTGCCACAAATAGCATGTAGCTTAGTAGCTACTGACAAGCAGAGGATTAAATACTAATTTCTATACACTCCCTTGCCACTGTGGTTTTCCCCAGCAAAGCATCCAAATTCTCTCCATCCTCAATTGTTATCTACTCTCTGCAAAAGCTAAAAAGCACCCTTTTTATTGGAACGCCTCTCTACCATACCTAGAACTAACTCAGCTCCTCATCATCCTGGGTTTCTACATCTCCTCCCAATCTCAACCAGAGCACTGAACAAGACTTATTACTGTCTCACTCTAGCTTTCGTCCAGTGACAGATATTTCATAAGAAATATAAAAAGCTCCCTGGATGACCTAAATGTTAGTTATTAACAAATCTATCACCCCTATCCTAATGTTTACACATGTAAGAGATGATCCCCCTTACAAATGAAACCCTGCAAGAAAGTTAAGAACACTTATTATAAGCCTACTGTTTTCCCTGAAGAAATATAAAGCCAGAACCAAGACTAAGAAATTCTTTCCTGAAACCAGTATGACTGGATGGACAGCAGCAGCAAACCAATCTCATTTGAAGCTCAATTAACACTGGCATAGTCACCTGAGAGAATCTTAGCATTAATGCTGAACTGCACAGGGTGAGGGACAGAATTGAGTGAAATCCTAGATTGGTAAAAGCCCTCTTGACCTTTTATTTTCCTTCTCTGAGTTTTCCTTGCTTTTAAACTTGAATTTGTGGAGCCAGCATTTCACCTCAATGTTTCAAGGAGTTTGACTGGAAGGTGGGATAACTCTGCTCCCACTGGTCAAATTAGAGGATTTAATCATGGATAACTTGATAGTGGAAAATAAGAGCTCAGAGCCAGCCCAATCGAATTCTTGTAGAATAAATAAAAATTGCATTCTGATAACATGCTTTCGTTAAGAAACATTACCAAGTTCTACTTGCTCATCTTCCTGGTGTGCAGGAAATTCTTTAAGTCGCTCATCTTCTGAGAACGTTTGGCTGTGGAGAGAACATGAATCTTCATCTGACTGACTGCCTCTTCGACTGATAACACGATATATTCCAGAGTCTAAGACACTGAAGCTTTCCTGTCAGACAAGGGAGAGGAGTTAGATATTGTGCAAGTTGTACTTCCTTGTTGAACTTCCTGCAAGGAACTCAAACAACCATACTCACACAAATAACCTCACAGCACTTCATAATTCACTGTCTGGAAAAGCCCTAAATAACAGCGTATTTTTGACATATTTAGAATGGAGAGGTACACAGATGCCAGTAAGTGTGCAGTCCAGTGACTTTATAAAGATGTATATGCTGCAACTGCTTTTAGGAAAGCAGCCTGCAGAACCACTGGTTTACTTCTTACAAGACCAAAACCATCTCTGCTTTATTCCTGCATCTGAGACTGTTACTTCACCCCCTTGTACCTATGATGCATACTCTTTTTGCTGGTTAACTGTACCTAGCTAACACAATTATGGACCCTGCAAAACTATTTAGTTCCAGGGCACACATACATTTTTTTGCTCATGGTCAGTCTGTGTAGTTTATTTTTCCCATCATCTGCTAATAAAAAAAACTTGTCTACCGCATCAAGATGAAATTTATGTTACTTGGTTTTTTAAATTTTACTTTTAAAATGTTGTGAGTGAAAGCAGCAACTGATATTGCATTAACTATGAAATATTTTCCCTTTCTTGAAAGGCTGCTGGGAAACCAAGATGATACCTAGCAGCTGTATATGCAAAAGAATATGAGAAACATGCTTTGATTTTTTTTTCTTTAGAGTTTTCTGCTTAAGCTCCATAGACTGAGGCAATTTTTTAAATAGGGCTAGGATAGTTCTGAGCATTTAGACATTCAGTTTTCACCACACAAAACTACAGTTACAATCAAGACAACCTATACTGAAGCATGTTAAGACACTATGCTCAGCTGTGGAAGGAGCCTTCTTCATCTCAATCTTTGAGCACATCTCAAATATTAGCTGGAAAGTAATACAGAAAAAAGGCAGAGGCCCAAGAGCTTAAAGAATACAAGTAGTAGTACTTCATACCTCTCCACCCCACCTAGTTTTAGAAAGTGGCATTATCAACTATAGTAAACATACTAAAAATGAAAACCTCATCTTCAAAGCAAGCAATGAGGTGATTTTAAGTCACAAAGATAAAATCTGCAGGTAGCGTTTTTGGCACTACCAGTACACGTACATGAGATGAAATACTGCTCCTTCTACTGCTGCAGGCAGAATCTAGAGGTTCCAACTTTGAAATTAGTTCTTCTAGTTGCGTAATGAGATCTTGTTGGGTTGAGGCATCCAGCTGAGACTTCAAGTGTTCCAGCTTGTCTAGAGGCAAATTTTTTCTTGCCTAAAAGTATACAGTGAAACAGAAGCATTATTATTTCTAATGCAAGTGTGAAAAACAAAAGATACCATACACATGGGCTAATTTTCATCCTAAAAGTACAATGTTTAGAAGGCTTTTTAAAAAAACTCCAAAAATATGAATCTCAGAAACATATAGAACTTAATGGAAAAGGGGGACAGGAAACAGAGTGAAGTTGCATTGCACATTTACAAAGAAGTATTTACTTACTCTGCAAGAAATAATTGAATTCTGGAAGAGACAACAGACCCTGGCAGCAAGTGTCCAGAACCCTCTTCTTATCAGACGCTCTATGCAGCGGTCTACCAGCAGGAGGGAGAGGTGCACGACTTTTCCATTTGTATGCAGACAGAACAACTCACTCTTGTAAACTGCAATATCCTGAATATCTGCAAAACCAGATGCACAAAAATATCAAAAGGACCAAAATTGTTAGTCAGCATTCCTTCCTGTTCCTGAGAGAAGGTGAAAACTTATTTCCCATCTGACTGCAAATGCGTGCAACAGTCTAATACACTGTAGCACAAATGGCACAGGAGAAAACACTGAAGAGTACTAAGCTAGCATCTAAGAACTATAAAGTACAGTTAAAGTATCAAAACTTTACAGAGTTGCATTTCTAGAAAGCATTCAAAAATTACACAAAAGTTACTGAAAAGTTTCCTTTTCCTCTGAAGGGGGATGAAAAATTAAAGACTGATAAAGATGAGAAATACATAATTATTAGCTTTCTAACAGAAGGAAAACATTTGCCAGTAGAAAACCACTTTGATCTTTCAGCAGTTTTCAAATGAAATAGTTATGCTATACACAAACACTCCATGACATATGCATTGGAAACTTAATACCAAAAGCGGGGGAGAGAAGGGGAAGGAAAAGACTGACTGACAATGACTAACCACTCCAGGACTACGCCTATAACCATACGCACAAAACTGTTTATGAGGGTTCTCACCTGCCAAATACATTCCCTGTCTCCAATTTAGACAGGTGTTCGAAAATTAAGCTTTTGGCAGCCAGATTATTTTTCACAGGACACCTGACAATAAACCTGAACAACCCAAAGTGAGGAGGGGATACTGCAGGTTATTACCTCTCACTATCCGATTACTGTATTTAAGGTTCACTCTATACCACGTGCTGTTTCTCAAGCATGTTTTGAGAAATACAGAGGGAGGGGTTGGCTGGAGGAGACAGGTAGAGGGTTAATATTCAAGGATATACCCGACAGATGACAAGGAAAGAGTTTTCTGATCTGTTCTGCAATCCAGCTGCACAAATTAAGCTTTAAAAGGTGCCACGTTAGCCAAGGACATCAGAAACGACAAACCTAATAGACAGTATTGCAAAATAAACATTCTTCAAGTTTACCTTTTACTTCACTCCAGAGTAAGACTTGAACACTTTGAGGAAGAAAAATATAAATGCCTCTTTCTGTCCAGGTCATCACACAGTGCTCACTGCAAGCAAAGCAAACGTTAACAGTGCAACAGTTAATTGTGGTAGTCACTGCAAAATATGCAGGGATGGCACTGGCTTAAGTACAGCAAGTGAGAAGTGAGACAGTTGTTTAGCACAATACTTGGAAAATTCTTATGCAAACAGATGAAGTTGGTAATATAAACTAGGAGAATATACAACTTCTTTATTTTTGGGTCTACTTTATCAAGAGGAACTATGCGGACAAATACTCACGTCAAATACAGTAGCTTGGGAAAAGATAAAGATTGTGGAGAGCAGCTGGAATTAGTATAATGAGGATCCATCCTGCAAAGTAAAAATTAGTATCCATTACAAGCATAACTACCTCAATATAATTTTCTTAACCCTGTAAATTCAAGGCTGGCTTATATAGTCTTATAACAGCAGCACTCATTGTGGTAGTCACACAGACATACCTACAGAATCAAGATTTTGGCATTTTAGATGTCAACTACTGGCTTCTGTTATTAGAGAAGAACGTATTAAGATGACAACTAGGATTAACGTTTGACTGCACTAGGAGTTTCTTTAGTCTTCTCAGCATTAATGCAGTTCTTTTCAGCTAGGTTAGAAGTCCCAAGGAAGTTTATCACCAATAACACTCATGCTTCTACCTGAGAGTAATAACAGGGAGAGGCGGTGATGAGAGCAGCTGCTTGAACTGATGTGTGCTTTGCACTTCCCCGTCAAAGTTCACCTCCCACATCCTTGAGCCAGGTCGAGCACAATATATTAATGGCTGCTGATTCCCACTGTTTTTTCCAACAGGGAAGAAACATGCTCCAAATTCTCCATCTCTCTCTTTATTACCAATTTTCCAGAACTTCTCTCTAGTGGAAAAAAAATGTACTTGTTAAGGCAGCATTAATAAAGCCTCTAATTAATTTTAGGTTTTCCTTGAAGAATAAAAGTACTAAATCCTAGTTGCTGAATTGGTTTTGGTGCTTAAAAAAAAAAATCTGTAATGAATATTATAAAGCCTGCATAAAATTTATAAGAGAGAGTGCAGAAATACTCATTAATTTCAACGAATGCTCAGATCATTCAGGTGTCTTTTTCAGCAGAATCAGACAATCAACCTGGTGATGGGACAAATGATCCCAGAAAACATTTCCAATCACATGAAAGATAAGACAGTGATTATGAACAGTCCACACGGATTTATGAAGGGGAAATCATGTTAATAGCCCTCTACAACAAAATGACTGGCTTGACAGATGAGAGGAGAATAGTGGATGTTGTTATCCTGACTTCAGTACAGCTTTTGACACTGCCCCTGCTAACATGTCTGGAGACAAACTGAGGAACCGTGGGCTAGAGAAACAGACTGATAAATGCAAAGCCCTGCACTGGAGGAGGAATAACCCCAGGCACCAGTACGGCCAACTGGCTGGAAAGCAGCTTTGCAGGGAAGAGCCTGGGGGTCCTGGTGAACAACAGGCTGACTATGAGCCAGCAACACACCCTCCAGGCAAAGGCGGCCAACAGCCTCCCGGGCTGCATTAGGAAGAGTGTTGCCAGCAGGTCAAAGAAGGCATCTTTCCCCTCTTCTCAGCATTGGTGAGATGTATCTGGAGTGCTGGGTCCAGTTCTGGGCTCCTCAGTACAAGAGAGACAGGGACATGCTAGAGCAAGTCCAGCAACAGGCCACAAAGATGAGTTAGGGATTGCAGTGCCTGTCTTACAAGAAGAGGCTGAGAGAGCTGGGCTGGTCAGCCTAGAACAGGGAAGTGGGGGAACTCATCTGATCCCATGGGTATAAACACCTGATGGGGGAGTAAAGAAGACAGCCAAACTACTCTCAGTGGTGCCCAGTGAAAGGGCAAGAGGCAATGGGCACAAATGGAAATACAGGAAATTCCATTTCAAGAGAAGAAAAGGCTTGGTTATTGTGAGGGTGGTGAATCACTGGCAGAGGCTGCCCAGAGACCTTGTGGAGTCTCCATCCTTGGAGATGCTCAAAACCTAACTGAACACAGTCCCACACAACTTACTCTACCTGACTCTGCTTTCAGCAGGAAAATTGGACTAGATAATCTCCAGAGGTCACTTCAGAAACTCTGTATGACTCTGTAAAGTCCAGTATTTCACAAGTAAAATATAACTTGCCTCTCGGTATCACACAAGTACGTGCGTGTAAGTGAAGATATGAGCAGTCTTCCATCCAAATAATCAAGCTGAACAACCCGAGAATCTACGGTGGTTATAATCTGAACAGGAAACATCACAAAAGAAGCAGCAGCCTACAATTAGAAAGAAAAAAAAAGAAAGAAAACATACTGGTCATCAGTTCAAAGTAAAGACTGTTTTATTAAGTTAAAATTGCAAAATTCAGAAGAGACTCACGTACACAACGAATACACAGCATAAGACAGAGCAGGACATTTCTTCTCTCTCCTTTATAAAACAAGGCTTCAATGCTTAGAGGCATAAAAGTCTAAATCTTCCTTTTCCCAAAACCATTATTGAAGGTTTAAGAAAAAAAAAAATCATATCCCTGTAGAATCCTGACATTTCTTTAAAGAATAACATTAAGAGGGTTTTTTATTCTTGCTTTTGTAAGCTTTGTGCTTTTGTCAGTTCTCTCAATTCTCCCTACAGGTACTTTCAGCCAGCAAACAGTTTTATGGAGATAGACCTGACAGATTACTCAATACAAAAAAACATTCCATTGGACTTAGGTGGTTTACATAAACTCACTTTATTACACTACAGCATATTACCCCAAAATTATTTATTACGTAAGTTTCTCAGTTTGCACGGGGTGGCAGAACAAAGTCACAGGAATACTTCTTACTCATAAGAAACTACTGGGAACTGCACTCAAATTTTCTAGCAGTCACCATTTCTGACAGCTTAAAGCTGTTTCCTTTGTTAGGAATGTTACATGAGATAATCAACAGTCTAATTCCTCTAACAGGCATGAGCAGACACATATTCCATGGGCCTTGCCCTGCTCTCCTCTCCTTCTCTTTCCACAGTTGAATTTTTTGCTCTTTCCTTAAATGCAACAGTCTTGTTACTTTTAAGGTAATTTTCAAATTCTTTCATGACAGCTAAAAATGACCTGGAGGAACTCACCTATTTCCAGGTCATGCTCCTTCTTACAGATTAAAAGGACCTAGTGACAGTAAAACTTAAACAACATTCAAGAGCTAGAAATCAGGCTGGTATCATTAATTTGTGTGTCCTCTGCACAAAATGTAATAAATGTAACTTGACGTCCACCTACCATTTATTTTAACTAATTAACATCTTTAAGAATAAGAGTATCCAGAGACAAGCAAAATTAGAGTCTGGGATCACCCTTTCTCAGACCAACAGCTGAGCTGAGGACTAAAACACACAGCTGAACCCATAGCAGGAATCTAAGGAATCCAACAGGCTCAGAAACACCAAGATCCTGGACTTGGATACTTATAATTCCAAGAGGAAGAAGCTCAGCCAGTTTTTAATTCTGTACCTTTGAAAGCATTATTTTGCATTACTAAAATAGCTAAGAGAGGGTCAGGGAAGTTCATGAGTTAGGATTCCTACTGTTGTCTCAAGAGACTGATTCTTCATCCTAACAGTCAAAGCTACCAGAACTTCATCAGCTGGCAAGCCTTCCTCTGTTCTACTTTACTAAAATAAACAAAGATTCCACACGTCATCCCTTGTGAACCTCTTCATCTCAAACAAAGTATGTGACATTTACCTTCCCTTGTTTCGATGTGTTAATCTTGATGGCTGATACTTTTCCCACATGATCTCCCACAAAAACACGAAGGGCAGCTGTATCCCAACATAGAGCTGTGACTTTTCTGTCCTTATGCTCAGAGGAAACATAAATCCGTTCTGGCTTCCCACGACGTTCCTGATTCAGCTCCCAGACTACTACAAGACCTTGGCTACAACGAAAGAAAAAAATACCATTTGAGAATAAGTCCTCTTAACATTTTATCGGTGATAAAGATGCATTATTCCAAAAGAAACAGAAAATCTATGCAAAGTAGTACATCTCAGAGCTGGTTGTGCTTGAGGCTGCATGCTTTCAAGAAGTGTCACATTCTTAATTCTGAAGAAGTGTCCTTCCTAGCATTACAATGCATCAGCAGCTTTGTTTGGAAGGTTACTCTCACATTTACTGTAATTGTCAGTGAGGATGTAGAAAATAAGCATTTAAATAGATTTTAAACAATGTAAGTGGTACTAAATACCAATCTCACTCTGCCAAATCAAGGAAGATATTTCTTTTGATGCTGAAAGGTCTCAGAAATGCATTTATCATCATAACTTCCCATGCACTGGCTCTCCCCCAGATGTTCTGTTACAGAAGTAATACTTATTCTGGAACAATTATTCCAGAAAAAAAAAATAAGCAAACCTTGCAGAGAATTATTCTGTAGGGACCTCTACCACTTAGTTCCCTGCCCTCTCCAAGTTCTCAGCAGATGCCGAAGTCTGAAACTTAGAAGTTACTTAAAAATAAATATTCAGCACTCAGGTTTATGAGTACATCACTCACCTGGTGGCCACAGCAACATAGTCTTCATCATGCAAACAACAGGCAACCCGGGATATGGCACCTTCCTAAAAGCGAGTATGGTATGGGAGTAAGTACAGGTAAAAATTGTTTTTGTACTGCCTTTGCCACTACATAGAGTTTATCTTTAAGACATAAACCAGATTCATGTCAACAGCTACTACCGCTTTGTTGTGATGCAGATGTTGGGGTGGGTTTTGTCATCGTTTGGGTTTTGTCTGCAAACACTGAGCTTACTCTAAAAAGACACAGCTGACAACAACATGACAACAAGAGAAATTAGTGACTCCCAGGAAATAGCGTCTGGCTGTAGAAACAGCAATCCCTGTTCCATGACCTCTTTCAGCAAAAGCAAGCCAGCCTATTTTTTCTTTGCTTATCCAGGTAGTTCATCGTTTGGGCATCCAAACATTGGTAGTTATCTACATGAGTTGATCTGGTTTCATATTCAAAGTTTTCTTCCAATTCTTAAACACTCAGGTGACTGTTGTTGCTGTTAAAAGTAAGAATCTGAAAAACCAAGGTCTGACCCTCTCAATTTCTTTTACCCCTCATGAAATCTATTATACCACACACCCTGGGGATACACTCCAGTACCACAAACTTTTTTTAAATGAAGCAGTCCAAAACTTCACCTATTTGGACAATTCAGCAAACTGAAAATGCTCATTGACTCAATAAAAATTAACTTGAAACAATGTCTCTTTCCCGGTCCCATTTTCCACGGAAAATTTTGTATAGAATTCTTTACCCTTACCTTATGAGTGAGAAAGAGTCTTTGCTTCCAACCATCTTTCTGTATAAGGTTCAGTCCTCCTCCTGAACTGCCTAGAGCTAGCCATCTCTTCGACACATCTATACACGTGCACTGAAGGAATAAAAATTGCAATGCACAACATGCTGCTAGTAAGTACTAATAACGTTATCTGTTTTTTGCATTATTAGGTTGTTTTTTAAAGGCTTCATTATTTGCTGGCTGTGCATACCACTCCTGAAACACTGACAGTACAGTTGTCCTAGATATTAGGATAGCACTCTCTGTGATGGAGCAAACAACGTAGAAGACAACAACTGTGTAAGGCTGTATTATTTACCCCACAGTGTCACTAAGAAAACACAAAGAGAGACTAATATGATCCTCTGTCTTCACTACTACTTCTTCCCAAAGTGCTCCGCCCATAAGCTAGCATGGACACAGCCAAAATGAATAAGATGAATCCTGGGGGTTAATCTGGTTATAAACCAAATAAAGTCATTATTTTCATTTTAAAAACCCCACCCAAACTCCACAAACTCACTTTCAGACGACTAGAATCCAGCCTGAGTGCAGAAAGCAATGGATCCAAACATTCAAACTCTGCCAACACATGGTTGTAAGAGTCTGGAATTGTTGGCACAGAGGCCATTGATGCGCACGGCTAGTGCTACTCACTCATGGGTGCATTACAGCTCCAGCTTTTAGCTGTACCTGCCAAAAACAAATAAGTTCTCGATTAGTTCACTTTTTTGTACTACATCTGTTTTTCTGTGTTTAAAGAAACAATAAATGTCTTCCCGTTCAAAAACCATCAGATTTCAGTTTGTCAAAAAGGCCCAAGGGCTACAAAATTAGACCAGTGATTCATTTATGAAAAGTTTTTGTTGAAGTTAACTTCAGAAAACTTAACCTATCAAGTATCAACTTTGGAAATACTTAAGTTGTAGCAATAAGATATATTTATATCCACCTGTGAAATGAGTTCTGCCTACCTATAGAAAAAGCCTTGTTTTATGGTAAAATGGACTTTTCCCCACAATATGCACTCTTGATTTAAAACTAATTTTCTCAAGAAAAACTTTTAGCATTAGTATTTTATACCTACATCATCTTCTTCTCTAAATCTAAATTTAAGGAGTATTATCTTCAACAAGTAACAATTTAGAATTACCTGCATTTGTGCATTTTTAATACAACTATAGATAAGCATGTATAAACTAACCTTTCAACAGTATCTCCTTTCCAGTCTACAGGCTAGATAACAGAGTGAAAGTTAATAATTAGTTATTGAAGCTACAACCTCATATATTTTTCCTAAACAGCACATACTTTAAAAGAATCTTTTGTTGAGAAATTTTTAAGGTCTAGGTGTATATGTTGCTTTAAAAAAACCCGCTTATTACACTTCATACTCAAGCCTCCAATTTCTAAATAATGTTTAGCATGCAATCCCATAAATTAAATAACTCTCTCCCAGAAATACTATTATGTGAAACCTTACACTTCCTCACAAGTAAACGCCTACCCTCACCAAGGAGTAGGAAAAGGGAAGACACGCATTTAGCCAGAGAGACTATAAATTATTTATTAAAAATTTTCAAAAACATCTTTAAAATCTTAAATCATGGGATTTAAGAATGAGTCTACTCCAGAGATAAAGACCAGACCATCTCTGATGACTAAAGAAGGACTAGTTTTGTTCTGGATTACAGTATTTGGTCCAGAAAGACACCCTACACTCCGTCGTAAGGAAGCTCGCAGATAACCTCGATCAAACAAAACCAGCTTGACATTTTAAACGTTTCCTCGGAACTCTGCTCTCGGAAACCAGCAACCGCCTCGGCATCTGACCTACCTCTGAACCGCCGCTGCCCGTTCGCCAGCCTCCAGCCTGCGGAAAGAGCTACAAACCCCTCTCATTTCCCCTCAGATACGGGGAGTAAAGGGGAGTAAAGCAAAGTACTGCAAAACCTCCGAAGAAGCCCCGGACTCCGCCAAAACCCACTCTCCGCGGGAGCGGGCGGGCGAGGCCGCTGGCCCACCCGCGTCCCACAGCCCCGGCCCCCGCGGGGCGCGGAGCGGCACAGCCGGCACAGGGAAGTAAAACTTCCCGCCGCGGCGTGAGGAAGCGCCGGCTGAGAAAGCAAAAAGCCGCCGCTGGCGGGGAAGCGGGACGCCGATTGCGGCGGGGCGGAGGCGGCCGCGGCCTGGCCGGGCCCCCCCCTCCCGCCGAGCGCCGCCGCCCCCCGCGCGCTCCCTCACAGCGGCCCCACCCCCAAACAGGGTGGCACGTGACCCGCGGGAGGGGAGGGGGCGCGCGCGTCCGCTCCGCGCTGCGTCACGCCGAGCGCGCCCGTTACGCGGGGAGGAAGCTGCGTCACGCGCGTCCGCCTGCTCCGGCCACGTGACGCTGACGCGCGGCTCCCCCTCCCGCCGCCGGTCGCGGCCGAGGGGACGCCCCTCCCCCGCGGCGCGGTGGCGGCGGCGCCGCCGACCTGGGAGCGGAGCAGCCGGGGCCGATGGCGGGGGACGAGCGGGGCCGGCGTGCCGCGGGGGCCGGGTGACGGCGGCGGGGGGCGGGGAGCGGGCGGGCGCGGAGGGGAGGGGGGTGGCGGCGGCGGCGGCTCCGTCTGCTGCCCCGTCGCTCCCCCCCCCCCCCCCCCTCCGCCCGCCAGTGTCATGGCGACGGGCGGGGGGGGGGGGGGGGCGGCACACGCCACGTGACGGCGGGGAGCGCGCCGCGCCGGCCCGCTCCCCTATCACGTGAGGCGGGCTGCCTTCTCCCTCCCTCGCCTTCCCAGCGCCCCGCAGCTTGTTCCGGTCACGTGCCCGCCCGCTGCCCGCCCCATGGCCCCGGCGGTGGCGGCGGCGGCCCGACCCCCGTAGCGCCCGCTCCCGTCCCGGGCCCGCCCCGCGCTGCCCCTCGGCACCAGCCAGCGCACCGGCCCGGAGCAGCGCCCCGCCGCCGCCCGCACGGTAAGGAGCCCGCCGGCGCGGGGGACGGGGAGGTGGCGCCGGGCGCTCCGCCCGTGTCTGTGTCTGTGAGGGGTGGCGGGGCCCGATCCGCCCCCCCCCCGGCCGCGCTGCCCCGGTGCTTCTCTCCCCGGCGGCGGCGGGGGGGGCGCCGGCTCGGTGGGGCGCGCTGCGGCGGCGGCCTTTGGCCTCCCGCTCTTCCTCCCTGTCCGCTCCCCGCCGAGGCGCCGGCCGCGGGCCCCGCGAGGGACGGGACCGAGCGGCGCGGCGGCAGCCGGCGGGCACCGGGCTTCACCCGGGTGCGGGCGGTAGACAAAGAGCCGCCCTCGCACCGCCGTCCCGGGCCGCGGCCGCCAGCAGCCGGACAGAGCCCAGGCGGTGCCGCGCGGGGTGTCCGCCGGCCACTTCGGCTCCGCGGCGCTCCCCGCGATGCGGGTGGCGGTGGGAGGCCGGACTGACCCTTCGGGTGGGCTCAGGGGCGCAAGCTGTGGATTCCCTGGGCTGACCGCCGTGCCCACCCGTGTCCCGAGGCAAGCGGCGCTTGGCACGCCGGTGCTGCTCTGCCATCCCCCGGCCCCACCCGCGGCTTCCTGGGCTGTGTGGCACAACCGTCGGGGCCTGGCTGCATCCCCGTGCCACTGCGGTTCCGTCTGGGCCATTGGCGTGGATATTTTGCTGTTCCCTGTGGGGAGTGGAAACCTAGCAGCAAGGCCCTCGTGAAATCCATCGGAGCTTACCTGTCAGCCTGTGCCTACCCTGACCAGGTCAGGATTATTAAAACGTGTAAAGGTTCCCTTTCTTTCTGCTCAGAGCTTGGCAAAAGCATGCGGGAAGGGACTGGAATGAAATGCTGGTATGGGAGAGCGTTCAGAGCAGGTGTTGTAAGGAACAGAGAAGACAGGTACCTGGTTTTAAAAGTGGTTAGGAAGAGCTGCTGCATTGGAGGAAGGGTAGCTGTTGGAATTTGATGGTTTTTCGAGAAGCTGCATTTGCTCCTACAGAGCTAGGAAGGGAGGGGTTATAGGTGGATAAGCAAACAGGATCTTCTCTTTTTTTTGTTGTATTATGCTGACACTGAAGCTGCCGGATAGACCTTGCCAGTTGTAAAAAAGCAGCTGAAATTAACATCCTCAGGGCAGGCTTGATGAGGAGTCATACCCCATGGGTTAGGGCTGCTGATTGATCCAAGTGCTTTTCAGAAGTATTAACCATGACTTCAAAAGCTCTACTTCTGGAGAATTTAAAATAAAAAATGACCTTCCTATTCTGGAAGATACTTAAACCAGAGAAAGGTCTGTCTTCCAAAATCTGCAGCTGATGAATGCTAATGCTGCTCCTTTTAGCAGCAAATTAAATTTACCACTTAAAGCTGTAAAATAACAGAATTTCTCTGTATGCATGTTGCAGTTCTTGCCCCTTTGAGCAGCAGTGTCATCATCCACAGTGCTGATTCCTGGAAACTTCAGTTGTTAAATACAGAGGTTATGAGATTTGGGCAGGCATGAATAGATCATTGATGGCTCTCGCCTTTCTGCATAGTAAGCCTTAAGTGTCCAAAAAGAAAAGAAAATGACTGGTGTACTGTGTGTGCGTAGGGAGGACGTAGCCTTCCCCTCTGCAGTGGGTAGGAGACCATCCTCATTCTTCTCTAGCAGCTGGCCGAGATTTCTATTTTAGAATTTTTCCTGTACTACTTGTGACAAGAAGCCATCTTGTTTTCATTAGTGAAAGATGGTACCTTTGCTAAATCCTGATTATTAGTATTACTTAATTCTTTCTGACATACTGTTCAAAAGACAGTTTGGGGTTTTCTCCATTTTGGGTAATGCTTACTGTGCTTGTGAGTTGTATCATCCTACTGCTGCCGTAAATTACTGCATGAAAAAGGAAGCACGGCAATGACATAAATAAGAACAGCAGTGAGTGTGTTCACCCTCCCAGAAGGTAGAATGAGCCACTTGTGGGATAACTGTGAGTTCACAAATTGCACACTGCAGGGTACTGGGCTAGAAGCACCGTGGATGTAAAGGAGAAGTTGCTAGCTGCTGGTCGTTTTCTTCCATAGTTGAAAGACTGGTTGTAGGTGGGTGAAATAGCATGGTAGAAAAGCAAAGCAACTTGCATCAGAATGAGCCTAACTATGGAAATGCTTTCATTTTTTCTTTCTGTTCAGAACAGGTTTAAGTCCTTTGCATTCTGTGACTTTGTCTCTACTGCAATGGATAATAATGACCTTAAAGGACTGTAAAGTAACAAAGGGAGAAAAAAGTCAAAATCCTATCCTCAGTCTTGCATATCTTGAGGTTTCCAGTCTCATTAGGGTCTGTGGCCAGCTGCCTTTTTCCAGTAAGGATAAGGTGCTGATGAGACACTACAGACCTTCAACAAGAAACTCTACATAAAATGGTAGTGCGAATAGCACCGAAAGAGAATAATGCTGCTGGGGAGACTGTAATGGATTATGCTAGGAAACAGTCCTGAAATCACGCCATGCAGTTTTCTTTGAGAGAGAAGTATTAGCAGGGCTGCTCTGAAATGTGGCACAGCGTGTTCTAGTGACTGCTGCAGTGGTGCTGATGTGAAACCCCACGTTCAGCTCAGCATCACTGAAATCTTTGGCAAAGCTTTGGATGACTGAAATGACAAAAGAGCGGACGCTTAAGTGCAGAGCCCTTTTGCTGTTAAGTCTTTCTGGTTAGTATTTACTTCAGTCATCTTGGAGATGGGCTTGTAAGACTTTTGCTGAGGGGAATGCTATGCCAATGTCCAGATTGTCAGAGTGTCAGAGTAAAATATCCTATTTTATTACTGCTTTTATAAATAAATAAATAAATAAATAAATAAGCATTTAAATGCTTAGAGTTACCATTTTGTGATACCTACTAGTATTGCAATAGCTGATGCAGGTTGCTGTCTGAAGTTTGAGGTGGGCCCCAGCCAATATTACAGGTATTCTAAAGCACATGAACCATGCACGTCAGCATTTGAAAATACTATTTTACATATCAATAGTAAAGTTTATGATGTAAAAAATACAGCAGTTGGACAGACTAAACATGTACAGCAAACATACCGAAGATGTAGTTTTTTGATAGGTGTACAACAGTACTTTAGTAGAATGTAGTCGTACTTGCAGTGTCCTTAATCTCTTGAGAAATTTAAGGCTGTAGGGTTAACCTGTAAAGAGGAATGACAGTGACTGCTGGGGAAAAAAATGCAGCAAGTATCAAAAGGCGATTGGTGACAAAATGAGATTGGTGACAGAATCACCGTCATGTTGAAGTAGGTATAACATTAGTCCCTCAGACTTTGGGGGAGAGGGGTAGGAAACCAGCCAGCTGGAATCAAGTGAATCATTGTTCAAGTCTTGGGCAAAAAACAGTAAGAACAGGAGTGCAACTGGGCTACCTTATCTTTAGCACAGATAACTGAAAATCCATGATTTTTCACATACCTTATATCCTTCCCTTTTCTGAAATGACTTAACATCTACCATTCACACTGAAGAACAGAATTGCTGCCAAATGCCAGAGGAGATTTGGAATTTATGTCATTGCTTAGCTTCAATATTCTTCTGAACTTGAAAAACCAGTGAAGAACATTAAAACAGGAATATTTGGTTATCAGTTTAAATGGAAGATTTGCAGGTCTTTTATTGGAGCAAAAGCAGTATCAACAATATAATTAGATGAATTATTTAGGGACCTGGAAATATTTTGTTGAAATAAATTTGCTGATTGCACTGACGGGGGAGCACGTTTATCTGGAACGTTTCAAAAATTAGGTAGGCAGTAACAAGTAAATACAGGTTGTAATATTTTGATATAGATAGGAGTAGCGAAAGAGTTACAGCAAAAATAATTATACTAATCAGCTCAACTGTGTGTTTCTAACAGCTCCTCATAGCCATAATGGCAACGTCATCTGAAGAAGTGTTACTGATTGTAAAGAAGGTGCGTCAGAAGAAGCAGGATGGAGCTCTGTACCTCATGGCTGAAAGGATAGCATGGGCACCTGAAGGCAAAGACCGATTCACTGTCAGCCATATGTATGCAGACATAAAATGTAAGTGAACGCTTTTCCTATTCCAGCTTCAGCAGTCAGTATTTCAATGAACATTTAAGTACAGCCCAAAGCTGATTTTCCATGAAACACTAGTGGGGAAGTGAGGAAGGTTGCAAGGGTCTGGAGCTCTGACTGTATGTAGCAGCAGAGATCAGGACCATGGTGAAGTATCACTGGTTTATTAAGAATGCTGAAGACTGCAGAACTTCTGTAATCTTTTGATATTTAAGTTATACTGCATTTACTATTAGCTTTGTACAAACTTCTGCAATAAATTGAACAGAAAAATAATCTATGCCATATGCTTGTGGAGGGAAGGGTGGGAGGAGGCTTGAGGAAGAGTATAGGATTTTCAGGGTCTAACACAGAAACTATCTGGCATGTCATCTGTTAAACTGTTCATCTAAAGCTGTTGCAGTTTTCACATAAAATGAACCTCGCTGTTTTATTTTCATCCAACAGACCAGAGCTTCAGCAGTGCTAGCTTCTGTAGTTTGGCCGAACTTGGGTAACATTCCGAATAAGCATTTGCTGTTGCAATAGCAGGGTACTTGCAAGTCAAAACTGAACAATAAATGTCTATAGCGTGCTGCCTTCCTGGCTCCAATTAGTGCTCATATTCCATGTGCTGTAATGCCAAAGAAGGAATAAAAAGAAAGTTGTATGCGTCACTTAGTAAAGGTTTAGTGATTACTGCTGTTTAAAGTCACATGCAAGTACTGCAGCATGATCAAAAGTGTGTGTGATGAATTAGAACTAATATGCAGTTTTCTTAAATATGAATGTGATAAGGAGTTTAAAAGCTCTGTTCACCTATAATAATCAACTTTGTGAAGGTTTTATTTAGCTACTTACTTACATTTAAACAGCTTATGTTTAAAATGTTTACATGTATAGACATTGAAGTCTTTTTAACTTAGATGAAAGATGCTCTTTTTCGTCATCTAAAATAAAAAAATGGGGAGATGTTTGTAAATTTGTAATAGAGATTGAGATTTAGTGGTGACATCTGGGTTCTGTCTCCTACTTGCACTGGAGAAAAGGCTAAGATTCAAAGGTAGGTTAGTGCCATTCACAGTGCTACGCTGAAGTCAGTGTAGCAAAACAGTCCATAAATGTAGTTGTTCTCGCCTCTGCTCCCTCTGGTTATGAGAAAGGAAGCAGGAGTTAGGTTTTCCTTATGAGTCATGGGAGTGTAATAGCACCTTGGAGGCATTGGTGATCAACTTTGGGAGTACCAGTGGCTGAGCGCGCTTACCACGCCACTGGGAACCGGCGTACCTTTGCTGTCAACAGACGTGCTGTTACCCCACCCTGCATCTGCTTTCTTAACGCTTTTTCTGTGGGAACTGGTCCAGCTGGAAAAAACAAAAGGGGATTGCTTTTCATTTGGATCAGTTCCCCTGTTCGACTTGCTGCAGGAACGCTAACACGCCTACAAGAAAGGCATCAGGAAGAAGTGGAAAGATGGAATGAGGTTGTCACCTTTCACCAGCAGCCTGGATTGGTATCAGGTTAAAGTGTCCAGGTGATGACAATCTCATTTGCAGCAGTTTTCTAATGGAGGATGTGGGGGATGCAAAGGTGAGTCAGGGCTCCTGAGCAGCAGCTGAAGGATACCGAGCCATAGGCTACAGGTGTCAGTGCCTTGTGTTTTAGAAAGAACAAGGTGCAGGGTTCAAACTAATTTAAGGGGAGGATTGTCTGTTCCACTTTCACGGCTGGAATTCACACACAGGATAATGGTGTTTAATTGGATGATGAGGTTAACTGCTTATAAGCAAATACTCTAGGGAAGAGAGTTTCTTGTATAAGCTTACTGTCTGTTGCTAATTAATACTCTCTGTATTATCTAGGCCAGAAAATCAGTCCAGAAGGTAAAGCTAAAATTCAGCTTCAGCTAGTATTGCATGCAGGAGACACAACCAATTTTCACTTCTCCAATGAAAGCACAGCAGTGAAGGAGCGAGATGCAGTAAAGGATCTTCTTCAACAACTGTTGCCCAAGTTCAAAAGGAAAGCTAATAAAGAACTTGAGGAGAAGAACAGGTAAAGAGAAAGAAGCCTGAAAGCTTTTCTGGTGTTTTTTTAATTGTTACCTAACTGTAGTATATTTCTGCTAACCATTGTTGTTATTGCAACGTTGTTAGTGATACAGCATTTGTTTCCCTAGTAAAAATCTCTCGGTGTTCGATTTAGAGGCAGTTCCTTGAGACTTACAGAATTGTAACATGTTGAGATTTAACTTGTGTTCTCAGTGACACGTTCTTGAGGTGTAAAGGCTGCCACCCAGTCTTTGCTCTCTGTGGCTATGAGATGAAAGCATCCAACTGGCAGTCTGTCTCTTCAGTCTTCTTAAGTGTATATGTATCAGTTAGAAAAGCTGCTTGAAAGTTTTTTTTTGTTTTCTTTTGTTTTTTTTTTTTTCCTAGAAGTTCTCACCTTCCTTGATTTGTGATATTTTTAATTTTTTTTTTTCTCCCTGTATAACTTCTTCCCCCTCAGATCTTCTTTCCTGGTGTTTATTGCTAGGTATTTTAATGCATCTTGCTTGAGGTCCAGTAATTTGTTATTTGGCATACAGGATGTTTATTCTAAAGATTGTTTTGAGAAGACATTCAGGACCTAAATACTTTTCCCAAAAGGGCTTTTAAGACATTCTTCCGTTCCTTTAGAATGTTTATGTTAAAGCAGTCCTTGTGGCCATGGAGGATGCTTCTCTGCATCTCCCCAGATGAGTTTCACTTCATTCTAGCATCTGCTGTGATCCGGTATCTAATGGCTTCTGTTTCAAAGACTGTTCTAGCTTTGAACTTAGGTAATTTGAAGCTAGGTTTTTCAAAACATAGGAGTATTGCCTCATTGGGCAGATTGGATCTTTACAAGGAGATTTCCCAGCAGAAGTGCAAGAGCTCTTGTGCTGAAGCTCTGCCACATCCAGGATTAACTGGTTCCAGTACTGCAGCAACCTCTGGGGTCTACAGCAGTGCAGACTGCTTTGGCACTATTACTATACTGGTTCCTTAATGCTACATGCCCTATTTCTAACAGTATTAATACTGAGTACGTAGGCAGACTTAACTCTGAATCCTTGTACCCTTAAATGGAGTTTTACAGCATTATGCCACGTGGCATTAAGAGCTTTTCTAGTTACAGAAAACCAGAATCTGTGCACATACACAGTCACAGGTTCTTTTGATGATGAGAAGTCCAAGTCTAGTGATGGGGCTTCATCAGCTTAATTTGCAACAGATGAGGCAAAAAAGTTTCAACCCATGCTGGAAGGGTACTACATTCAGAGTCCCTGTAGTACTTCCTCCATTTGTTGATACGTGAGGGTCTGGTGTGTACCAAAATTCCAAGTTTTAATGAAGTAATTAGAAAAACAGACTCCTTCCTGATGCACTAATTTGTAAGAATTGCCACTAATCCATATTTATACCAACAAGAAAAACTGGAAAAACCTTGGTGGTTAAAATATAATAGGGATGTCCTGCCACAGAGTTTTCACTTCTACCTCATCCTACTTCATCCTTAGAACAGCTACAGATTTTCATTCAGTCCAGACTATGTACTAGGTGTTCGTAAGATTCCTTTGTTTTGTTTGCAAATGATCAGGACCCTGAGGTACATGTTAAAGATTGCTGAGGTTATTGACAGATTGTGAACACGCATGTACATTTCCCTGAAAACAGCCTACTGGGTTTCAAATTAGGTACACAGCTGTATGAAAAGCTGCTTGGACATGAATTAACTGAAGATTCAGGTCCATACATTCTTTGCATTTTGGACAGTAAGGGTGATACTTGAATTTGGATGATAACTTTTGTAAATATTATTCCCTGGTGGAAGTATTGATCCTGAATGTTTCTGTAGCACTTGTGCTGCGTATGATAGGAGATGGAGATCCTGCTGTCACCAAGAGAAACATAAATGAACAAATGACTCAGGGTAATGTGTGTTTTAAGGTATCTCATCCCACGCAGATTTTATAATCTGTATTCTTGCACTAGAAGAGACACCCGTAACTACTGAATTTTAAGATCTTAAACAAGAATTGGATGGTGCCGAAATCTCTTCCCCCCCGCCGTGAGACCTTTGTTATGGAAGTTCAAGAAAATTCATTGTGCTTTTACAGTTCAAGAGACTCTAGTCCTGGATGTGCAAAGACACAAGAGCACCACAGAATATTCTGGGACAAGACTTTAATCCCACATTAACTTTTTCTTAGGCATTACTGTTTTCTAGCATTTAATGCTATTTCTTAAACATTTTTTTAGTCCTTTCCTAAGCCTTTTGAGACAAATATGGCTATCGAGGTTTGTTGTTTACACAATCTTGTTAAGAAATGCACAGCATTTGAAAGAAAAGTTGGTTTCTGTTCCTTTTGTGAACTCATGTTAGTTATGGAAATCCTAGCTATCTATTCTGCAGCATTTCAATTCTATTCAATACATTCTTTTACCAGAATGCTGCAAGAAGATCCTGTTTTGTTTCAGCTCTATAAAGATCTTGTTGTGAGCCAAGTAATCAGTGCTGAAGAATTCTGGGCCAACCGTTTAAGCCTGAATGCAGGGGATAATTCTGCAGCACCTACTAAGCAGGATGTGGGCATCTCTGCAGCATTTCTGGTACGTTGAACCTCAAACTTTAAGGATTTCAGAGCAAACAAATTGAGGAAAGTGAGAGTTCTGCTCACCTACTTTATTCCCATATACTTTAATGTTGTTCTTTCCTGGTTCCTCAGCTTAACATGTCTCCCCATGCTTGTTAGACTATCGCTTGTCAATTTAAGGTGTTCAATTTGAACTTTAAATTGACAACGGGCAGATGTTTATACTGCTGCTCTGCCTTCCGTAGAACAGGAATAATGGTGAACTTACCATTACTAGATTACAGTATATTCACTCAATAAGTTAAAAAGAGTATCTGTTGCAGCATTGACATGCATAAATGATGCTGCAGAGACTTTCCACACAAAAGGCTTTATTCCCTCCCCAATTCTTTTAAACCAGTACCTGCTTTCAGCTACTTGAAGAACAACTTGCATATCTGAAAGCTCCTTTTATCTCTCTCGGTAATGTTAACCATTTGTAGAAATCATGCTTCAGTAATCTCAGTGAAGTCTAAAAGTAATCTAGATACAATCTTCAGATTCCTCCCACAGAAACATGTTTCTACTTCTGCAGCAAAACGCGTACAGATTATGACTCTACGGCTGGAATTCCATTTCCACCTTTGTAATGACTGTGCACACATCAAGGGTTTGGGAGGGAAAGAGGAGGTGGGAGTTGTTTTTATGACTTAGCTTCTGTACAAACACTTAGTTTTTATGCTTAGAAATACCTGAATCAGTTACCAAACAAACTTGATTGCTGTGGTTTCCTGTCTCCCATTATTCTTACACCTTAACATTAAAAAAAAAAAAAAAAATCAAAACCTTAAAAACTGAAGCTTTCTTAAAATAACTGATTGTGTTTATGTACTCTGCATTAGTGAAGAAGATGAGTTCAGATACTTGTGTGTCCTAGTTCAACTTAAAATAACTGGCTCTGCTCAGAGTGTTTTTCTAGGAAGAAGGTGGTATAAAAATTAGAATTTGGGTGTACAGGAAGAGGAAGGAAAGAAAGCAGCATTTGCAATCATGTACTTTTTCCTGTTACTAAGAATTGGACTAAGTGCTTGCTTGCTCCAGAGCTTCCTAGAGAGATCACTGAGATCTAACTTCCAAGATCCGATTAAGGCTTACCCTCAGTTTTTAAATTCAGTGTTATTTATCATTTATATTGAGATGCTTTTACTGTATAAGGAAATAAGGTGTAAGAGTTATAAGTCCTTATTTGTCACTTCGTTATCATCACTGATTATTCACTAGCTGAACTGCTGAATGAACAACAAAGCGTTGAAAACAACAAAAGATTAGGCATGTACAGTAACCATGCCCATTTTTACTCAGAAACAAGGATATATTAAACTAGGCATACCTTCTTTTGGCTGATGGAAGGGTCTTTGCTTTTCATCTTCTAAAGCTTACGGTCTACTTGTTGAATCATCCCTTAAGTGGCAAGTATAATAAAGTAATTAATGCATGCTCTTGCATTTCTCATTCAAAAAATACCTATTTATTATCAAATATGCTGTGGATTATTGGAGGAAGGAGATCATTTTATCTGCAGCAGCAGAATTTGATTGCAATATGCCAGTTCTTTTCCTTCTCCAGTTACAGAAGGCATTCAGATATGACTGTTTCTTCTCCCTGTCTGTCTTTTTTTAGGCTGATGTACGGCCTCAAACAGATGGCTGCAATGGTCTGAGGTATAATTTGACTTCAGATATAATTGAATCCATATTTCGAACATATCCTGCAGGTAAGAATAACGCTTTACACAACAAATACATGCATTTAATATCTGGTTTTTGGTATCTTACTGTGGGAAGACTAGAATATTAGTCTGCTTCTGGAAGTATAAAGGACCGTATCTTCAGTCTTCTGGATGATTTTCCCTGACTTGTTTGAGGGACGGGGAGAAGCACGTGTTAAAACATTCTTTTGAAATGAAAACTTGATTTTGTTAAAACATTTTAACCTGTTCTATTGATCTTTTTCTCTCCTTTTTTTTTTTTTTTTTGTTTTGTTTTTTTAAATTATGGGTAGATATTTGGTTCCCACAATACTCTCCTACTCAGCATTTCAATTAATGCTGATTTTTCATGAAATCACCTTTCGTAGGAAAAGAATACAGTTTCCATTGTTCACCTGCACTATATTGAACACTGACACCACTTCATTTTGGTCCCTAGCTAAAAAGACTAGATCCATTCTGAGAATAACTGGAACTCTGGTAAATCAGACTTATTGTGTGTGTGCAATTCAAATCCGAGTATTCAGAACACCGTTACATGCATTTCTTTTCAAAGCATTAGTTAGTATTGCAGGGCATAAAAGAGTACCTGTTCGCTCATGCTTAACTACTGTATTTCCTTACGTTTAATCAGCATAAATGAAGGTAGTATTAGACAGAAGGCAAGGAAGCGAGCAAGGAAATTCTTACATAAAATACCATATTAAGATTTGTGGAACAGTTTGTAATCATTATGGGTTTTGTTCACAGTAAAAATGAAATATGCAGAAAACGTTCCACATAACATGACCGAGAGGGAATTCTGGACACGATTTTTTCAGTCTCATTATTTCCATCGGGACAGGCTCAATACAGGCTCAAAAGACCTCTTTGCAGAATGTGCCAAAATGGATGAAAAAGGTAAGCTTTTTGACTTTGTTTCTGCAGCAGGCTGCTACAGTCTTAGCTACATCATAGAGCATGACACTCAAGAGGTATATCTAGTAAACCTAGCAAGCTGAAGTCAAAATTGGGCATCTTCTTTGTCAAACTGTAAAGTGAAAGCTACAGATTGTTACTGAAAGTTAGCTGTCGCTTTGCTATTCTCAGCATGTTTCAGAGTGAGTGCCTTTCTTGAAACAAATTAGCCTTTTGGAAAGTGATAGCACTAGAAATAAGTTTTATTACAACTCATGCAACAGTGAGTCTGTGATAAATTCCATAATATGTTGTCATGCTAGATTGATTATGCTGTGCCATCAGTTACTAGGGAATAATTTTGTTTACATAAATCTTCGTTTTGTGGTATATGTATAATTTACAACAGGTATGGCTTTTGGTACAAATCAGTTTTTAGTAATAGACAAATACGGATCTTGTTTAAGACTCTCCAGAGGAGTTGCCATCCCTGTTCTCGGTCAGGCTTTTTAATGTGAAATCTTAAAATACTATCTGACTTAAGTTTTTATTGAACTTTTGAGCTAGGTTTGTGATGATACAGAAATGTGGAGATTAGAGATTACTTGACACCATTCCTTAATACGTATTCTGACTAATGAAAGCATTCCATGAGGAATCCGTAACCCTTCACAAGTAAAAGCTATCACCAGATATGAATTACCATTCTAACCAAGACAGGGCAGCAAAACAGTGCCAGAATTAGAAACACACAATTAAGGCTTCCCAGTTCCCACTAATGCAACTAATATAACTGCATCTTCAACTTACTTTTTTTTACCAAACAGTATTCAGTGATGTGTAAGTTGATGAAAACTGCACTAACTAGTTGGATGATCTTTTACAATAACTTTCCAAGTTAATTGCTTATTTTAAATGGAACGTTGAAAACAGTTGGAAGGTCTAGTCACGGTAAAACTTGGGCATCTGCAGAACCTTTGTCTTCTCCTTGTAAAAGGTTAAATATAATCTAATAATCCCACAATTATTTCTATTTGTTTAGATATAGTTTTTAATGTTTTTTTCTTTGCTTCATACAGGATTAAAAACAATGGTGTCTCAAGGAGTAAAAAACCCCCTGATAGACTTAACAGCTTTGGAAGATAAATCGTTAGATGAAGTAAGTAATTGGAGAATAAAAAAAAAAAAAAAAAAAAAAAAAAAACACCAAAAAAACCCACAAGCCCCCACACCTTAGGTTTTTTTAAGGAGAAAGTGGATCCTCCTCCTGTTAAAATACCTACAAATACTAATTCTAAACCACATCACTTACTAGGCTGCACCAGCGGTTGGGTAGTCAACATTTATACAGTTGTATGTGCATAAAGAAGTGGAGACTGTGCCCGTGGACCTGTATGCTTCAGCTGTCTGCCTTAGTGTGCTGAGTATAAAAGCAGATCTTCCCTTTTTTAAAGAATTACTCATTCACTTGGATGGCTTTTTTTGTCTAAAGTGGACTCTGGTTTCTTCCTATCTTTTAGAAGCTGTGACAATGTACAGAAGAGTAGCACAAAACAGGAGAAAGTCTTTTCATTTGTTCCCACTTTGAACATTGCTGTTTGTTTGATTCAGCTTAGTTTTAAGGACACTTGATACAGTTTTCTTTGTTTAGCTTTAAATACCGTGTTTTGCTAAAAATATGACTAACGAACGATTACCTGCTTCCAAGTACAAATTCAAACAATTGTTATAAATGGTGTACCATAATGTGAAATAACTTAAAGATGCACTTTTCTGCAGTTGATCTGACTTAAACTTCTGAACTTTAATTAATAATTGATGCTGCATTTCTACGTTCGGTTGGTTTTGTTAGGGTTTTTTGTTTTCTTTTGTTTTGTTTCTTTGTAAGAGTTGTTCAAAGCTAACAATCCAAAACTTGGACTATTAGCTTAGGGATAGGTATGTTTCAAGTGCTGTGCAAACTGCCTGAGTTCACTTTTGAGGCTGGTGAACTGCAGGCATGAAACTGTGCATGGGGTAAACTGAGTTGCCTTCAGCCAGCTGGTACCTGGGGAGCACTGCCAACAGTAAGGCTTGAGGTTTTTTGAATTCCTAGTGGTATCACATCTTCCTGACAGGTGTCATTTAGCCTGTGAGTTGCTGATGTCCTACAAGATTTTAAAAAGAGGTCAGTAAAACAATTGCTAGCTCTTACTTGACATCAATTCCTGTCTGTTTTGTACAGGTGATCCTTAAATTTTTTTTCAGCTAGTTCTGTTTTACTTTTAACAGATCATGGTTGTATAAAACCATCTGTTTAAGAAGTTTTTTCTTCTCTCAGGCACCTCTAAACTGCCGAGTGTTAGCAGAATAAAACAGTATGTGGAAATTTTTCAAGGTGGTGGTGTGGCAAGGTAGGAAAACACTGCTTCAGTTGATGATGCAATATTACTCAGTAGATTTCAGATGTGGCGGCATATAGGCTTCCTGACTCAGTGAAAAACAGAGAATCATACTTCTGGTTTGGGGGCAGGAGATACCTAACGTTGTTTTCTTTGTAGGGCTATGGTGTTGCTTCTGTGGCCTCCACATCAAATGCCTCAAAATCTGCTAGAGAAAGTAGCAATGCTGCCATTATAAAACGCTTTAATCATCATAGTGCCATGGTCCTTGCAGCTGGCCTCAGGAAACAGTAAGTTTCAATGCTGTGTAAAAGCTTTTTTGTAACAAATTTTAAGGAATTTCCAAAATGAAAACACATGTTCAATTACTCATCCAACCTTTTAATTTTTATGAATTAAGTATTTTGCTCTAGAAATGAAAATACCTTTAAGTTCCATTTTACTTCATAAAAGTTCTTCAGAGCTGTCTGAGATGACAAATGCTATTTTTGGCTGAGTCATCATACAGAGGAGATTAAGAAACGGAAGGGCGTTTCTGCCTTAGGTCTCTATCCCTGGTGAAGGCTGCAGAAGTGGCGTTCTGTTTGCCATGTGGAGGTGAGGCCTGGTGCAGGGAGTTTCTGGTGCCTGCCTTCCAGCAGCAGGTCTGCTGGGGCACATGGACATAAGTAAATGAGGAAGCAAAAGAACAGCGTGGCATGGGTGGATCAGATGAAAGACTCCTCCAGTGCAGTACCCTGCCCCTGACCAAGAAAAAAGTATCAGGTGGTTATGTATATTTAGTGAACTTCACAAATGAATCTTAATAAGAGGCATGAAATGGGTTTGACGTGAAGTCTGCTTTACAGTGGTTTATAGACAACCACCAAGGATTACTGCCCTACCCAAATCCTACAGACCTTACATGTGAGATATCTTAATTAAATACTTCCTTCTTTGTAGCTGTGCTCCCTCATGTTGTTCTTCTGTCTTGCACAAATTGAACACTGGACCTTAACCAATCTCTTCTGGGTAATGTGTGTTTCTGGTTCTCAGTTCAGAAAGAGACAAAACAGTAGCTCTCCTTCTGAAACAGTTGTATGTCAGGGCTCCCGTAGCTCTGCTAATACCTGGTTGGCATAAGTGTGTATGCAAAATGTTTCTAATTTAGTCAAGATTTGGCTGTGTCCCACTTGCACTGTTAGCATGCTACTATTTCTGAAAAGAGGGAGAAGCACCATGCCCTGCTGTGAATTTCCTCCTTGACAAACAGGGTTATTTGTGGAGTTGGTTCCTTCTATCTAGATCAGCTGCTAGAAATGAAGACATAAGGGGGAAAAAGTTGACATACAGTATGTGAACATGCATATAAAATTTTTGAAATGTATGTATTTACTTTGTCTCTAGCTTGTATCTTAAGTTTCCTGTGAGGTGAATTCTTCTTAATGCTGTTTCTCTATTTTAAGAGAAGCACAAAACGACCATTACAGTGAGACCAGCAGTACGGATGGAAACTCCAGGGATTCAGATTTCTTTCAGCCACCATTGAAAAAGGTATAAAGTTAGCTGATGCAATTCTAATTGAATGAAACAGGAAGCTTCGTCTCTCAAAAGATTGCTGAAGGTTCCTTTCTTGTCTTATGACACATGTAAAGGGAAATTTACTTAGCTTTGCTTAGAAGCATATAGAATAAGAACCCCAGGGCCTGTAAGAAGCTTTGTACCTCCTAGTAAACACAAATAAATTACACCTTGAAGTATTGCTCTAATTTATCTCTTCAGTGGTGTCCAACAAAAGAAAAAGGTTTTCAACATGCTCCTGACTGAACTCAGAAATCTGTTTCTTTCTATTCAGTGCAGGTCTATTTTTGCCAGCAACTCCCTTCCCTCTCCTTTTTTTTTTTTTTCCCAAGTACCTGAAAACTTCTAGAGAATGTTCATCTGAAAGGGATATTGGTGTTCAAGCACCAATATGAACCTATCAAGTGTATTGTTTGTAGAGGGGATAATTAAACTGGCACGTGGCAACCTTCATCTTAAGGTCAGAAGCTGAAGCGGGGTTAAACTGAAAGCACAGTGCACTGAAATACAGGGCAAGAACCTGTTTTAGACTACCCGTAGCAGCTCACAAAGTGGAAGAGTACTGTAATTGCTACAAAACTGAATGGAATACTCTGGCTGGAGTTGACGGCCTGTATAGAAACTTCCAAGGGGATTCAAAACTTGGCAATTTTGTGAGAAAATGTTGTAGAACACAAGTGTTGTTAAATATTGAAGTCGTCAACAGCTCTGACTTTCCTGAAAGCTGCAGTTTTTACTGGGGAGAAGACAATATTCCAGGACAAGAATAAATGTGATGGAGTGAAAGAGTAGCATGAGACTAGGAGACTTCAAAAGTACTTTCCTCATTGTACAAAGTCCGATATCACTGTGCTGTCATCTCTCACCACTAATGCTCTAGCTCTACTGTCACGAGATAGCTTGGGTAATAACTGTGGTTTTAGTCTTACACTTCTGCATGCTAGTCATTAACTAAATCATTCCTATTTCTGCTAATCTGGAGATAGATGGACATAAATACAGAGTACAAAGAACGATCTACATTTAGCAGAATGCTTTTTGGAAGCGATAGGGACTGCAAGTTTTGGCCAGAATATGCAGAAAAAGCAGTAGTGCTAAGACTTCCAAATTGCACACTTAAAGCAATACTGGACACTGCTCCCTCTGGAGAGTAGACATGAACCATTCCACACTTTCATTTTTCTTTAAGGCTTTAGTAACCCTTCTGCTCAAAGTCATTGAACTGGAAAAAAGCACTAGTTGCATCGAAGTGTGTCCTCATTAGTAATGTGTATAATTATTTGGCTTCTTTTAGGTGAAACTGCAGGAGTCCATTGAATATGAAGATTTAGCAAAGAATAATAGCATTAAAACTATTGCACTAAACTTAAAGAAGTCTGATAGGTAAGTTAACAAATATTTCAGCACACTCAATCTAGCAGGTCTCTCATCACAGCCTGCACAGAATCAGCTGATTTAGTCTCGACTGTGCCACTTTCAAGTGTGTATAGGCTACGTTTAGAAACTTCGTATGATCTCCTGCATAAACCGGCTTCCAAGTAATTCCTGTTTAAATTTGTATCTTGATTTCATCTTGCTTTTTGGCAAATTAAGTCTCCAAAAGCCTACTTGAAGGGCTTTAACATGTAATTTCTGTGAAAGTCTAACAGACCTGTATTCACAGTTCAGCACTTTGCTGCAGCTTACAGTGGAAAAATTTGTGTTACATGTGAAAATATATACAATTCCAAGGAAAATCCACCCCCAGGCAAAAAAAAAGTACAGTCGGGATAGTTTGGACTGCTCACTCATCTAGTATTTTTCTAGTTATAGTCCTCTTGTTTTCTAGACTTTTGAGTTTGAGAACCATAGATGTAACACCAAAAAAGGAGAGAGAGCACAGGAAAGGCAACAGTTCCAAGTGTGCATTTAATTTCATTTAACTTGGTTTCAATCGAAAGTGGTGTGAATTCCTCCATTCTGACGATACTTCCAGAACTAGGTGGCACAGATAGCTTTCCATTAGCAAAATGATGCTCACAGATTCAAGAACAGAAGCTCTTCTGTTTTGAACCCATACCATCCCTACCCCAACCTCTTCCTATGTGGCAATGTATTTTGCTTTGTCAATAAATAAGATTTAGATAGTAGCATCAATAGTTGTAAAGCGTCTAAAAATGGGAAACTCTTGAAGAACTGTCCGCTGAGTTTGACTTCTGTCTACCAACACTCCTATTGATACGCTTCTCTCTTTCCTTTTCTCACTTCACAGGTATTATCATGGTCCAACTCCAATTCAATCACAGCAATATGCAACCAGTCAGGATATAATTAATTCTTTTCATAGTATTAGGCAAGAAATGGAAGCATATGTACCCAAACTAACTCAGGTATGGGTGAATACTCAAAAAAATTTCCTTCCTAATGTTAGCATCTTGTTTTCTGCATAATTTTCTGTCTTGTGTCTACTGGAATTTTAGTTTTTTCATGGTGCATGTGATTATCTTCAATAGTTTTATGTTATTCGATGTATTTTACAACTTTAGGCGATACCTTTTGAGCTATCCTGTTTAAAATCTAACCAATAGGAAATAGAGTCATTGCTGATACTCAGAGTTACTGTTACCATGTTCTTTTGTGGAAATGGCAAAGGTATAAAGTAGCAAAGCAGAACAGTCATGCAACATGAAGCAGGGGCCAATATTATTGATCTTACCCCCTGAAATCTAGGATATAATGGTATTAAGAGGTCATAGTAAGCAGGTTTATAACTGAACAGGTCTTTCACTCCTAAATGTGCTTAGGTAGGACACAGATCTCACTGTGGGCTGCACAGGAGCTCTGTCCTGGCAACTGGAGGGCAGCATAGCCACATAGCCAATCTCCCCAGCCAGTATCTGAGCTTCTTCTCTTAGTAAACCTAGATTTGGCCCTCAGTAAAGCAGCCACAACTGTGAACATGTCACATTTCTGTATAGTAATTCTCAGTCTCATTTCAAAGCAGCTGCACAGCTAGTTCACATACTAGGTAAAGAAAAGGTTTGCTTGTCCGTAATTAATGGGAAGGCTTTCACTGAAAACATGAGCTATAGCACTTAAAGGCACTATGTCTAATTCTGGAGAAGAGCAGACCCTTCATCAGAACTTCCATTGTATCTGCTCAACTGTATCTTTGCCACTGGAGTCAACTGCAACTTTTTTAAAAAGATTTTGTTGGAAAAAGTAATTGGAAATATTTGTTCCCTCTCCCTTCAGGTTCTTTCAAGTGGTGATGCTACTAGCACTATTGCAGTCCTGTCACCTGGAGGAGCACTTATGCAGGGTGGAACACAGCAAGCCATAAACCGTAAGGATTTAGGATGTGTAATACTTTAATCGTATCTTGCTGCATTATACAGCTGTACCTGGCTTGCTGTTTCATCTACCTCTTAGAATATGTTACAGTGATAAAGGAAATTATGGACACATGTAGCTGGAGTAATACTGGGTTACAGCAACAACTCAGTCACACCGTGAGGGTGGGACTGGCTACATGAGTGCTGAGGGAAGTGGATGAGAGAAAATTTTACAGAGCATGTGATGAAGGATGCACTTGATACTAAGTCCTCTTACAGATAATGGGGTTTGCTTGTTCAGCATTTCTCTTTTCTGATTATTTTTTTTTGTCTGGATTTTTAGAAAATTAAGTCATATTCTGGGAAAGCTCTAAGGAGGCAAAGTCTAGATAATTGTCTGGAACTAGGTTTTTGCAGCCTGTATTTAAGATCCACAGCTTGCCATGAAAAAGGACAACTTTCTTGTAGACTGCAACGGCAGAACAGACAACCCCTCCTCTCACATCTCCATCCAACCACCCCTTTCCCTGTTGTCAAGTTCTGGCCAGTTTGAGTTCCCTTCTCTTTAGTCTCACAGCAGATGAATGCCTGTTCTCACAAGGTGGGTTTTATAACAGTTTTCCAGTTTAACTTGTGTTACTTGGTCTGAAAAGCAGCACAAACTAATTCAGACAACTGAAAAAGCAAGTCTGGGTTCTTTGTGTACTGAAAGAAAAGGAGCCAACAAGCAGTAAAAGGCTTTCTTACCCATCCCAGCTGACATACTGGGTGCTACACTCCATTTCTTTGAGCCTGAGCACTTTTTTTTTTTTTTGAAACAGCCTCATCCTAGAGGTTGCTATTGACTGTTCAGCTCACTGTGCTCCTGTCATCCTCAATGACTGTTGCGCTTTTTGTCTTTGGTTTTTGCAATTGTAGTTCCTTCCCTGTTCTTGAACCCTGTCACCCTTTCTTTAAGAGTATCTGGGATACAGTTCCTTGTTCCTGCCTGTATTTTTCATCTTCTGCATGCTGTGACCATATTCTCATTGCCAACATGAGAGAGGGAAAAGCTTGCAGTACCCACCACAGTGTTTAGCACTGTGCTGTGAAGAGAACAAGGTGCTTGTCCCAGCAGCAGTACTACCACACTGTTAGAAGAATACAAATATACTGCTTCTAATCCTGGAATAAGTTTGGTGTCCATTCTTTGCCTGGCATAGATCTCCCTATACAATACACAAGCTTCCAAGCCTATAGCCCTGAATAGTGGCTGACCTGATCCAATACTGCTGATAGTCCTACTTCGGGTGTGAGGCATCTCAGTGTTCCCTCCCAGCCAACCTTTCTGTGAATCTAGCAGAAATGTATATTGCTGAACTCCTTCATTAGCTTTACGTTCTCATTTTTCATATGATAGTTTTGAGTGATGTGACTAAATCTTTTTCCCGTTGCAGAGATGGTGCCAAATGACGTTCAGTCTGAACTAAAACACTTGTACGTGGCAGTAGGGGAACTGCTACGTCACTTCTGGTCCTGCTTTCCTGTTAACACGCCATTCCTAGAAGAAAAGGTAAGGTGGAGCTTCCCGGTGTGGCCAGATCGTGGTTTAGAATGACTGTCACTAATATGAAGTATAGAACTAATACGCATGCTTTAAATCAGTGCAGCACTTCTCCGTAGAACTGAAGGACACACAACAATGTAAAACATTACTTTTTTCGGTAATTCTGATGGTGCTGTTGGTTAAAATCATCCATTTCCCCTCATGCCTATTAGTCCCCTTCAGGAGCAGTTGCTGTACACTAGTTTCAAATAGAATGGTCAGCTACATTCCAGCTGCAAATTTCTCATTGACAGTTTAAAATACATAAACTAAAGCCCCTCTTCCCCAGCTCTAAGACAAAACTTCCACAGTGACAAGAAAGTTTTCCTTACTCTTTTCCCATTGCAAAAATCACTCGCTCATTGCTTCAAAAAGTACACCGCTTTTTAGAACAAAGTTGCCTTTGAGAAGAGATGTCTGTCTACAACCAGGTATAGGATTGTAACTTGTATTTCTCTTGCTATTCTTTCTTGTGACCTCACATGGATCACAAAGATAAAAATTTGCATTCAGATATGTTGGATTTTTTACTGCAAAATGTGGCCTGAGAATCCACAGTACAGTCTCTGAAGAAAAAAAAAAAAAGGTGTTTTTTGTTAATATCCTACCTGTTGTATTTACTGACAAAGTAATATTGATCAGTGGCACACTACATTTTCAGTTATATTGCACTTGCCTCAAAAATAAATAGGCGCCCAAGAATTGCTAGAGACTGATAGTTTAATAACTTCTTCCTCAAACTATGTATACTCAAATTAGCCCCCAGAATTAGTTACAAGGTGTTTTATTGGAGAACAATTTGTTACAGGAAATGAAACTTCTGTGCAAGTGATTATAATACTGGTTTCTGTCTCTCTCTCAGGTTGTGAAAATGAGGAGCAACTTGGAAAGATTTCAGGTTACAAAGCTCTGCCCATTCCAAGAAAAGATTCGGAGACAGTATTTAAGCACAAATGTAAGGGGAAAATACTCTTTAGTTACATGGGTGCATATTAATAATTTGAATCGTAATTATCTGAGGATGGTAGCTTTGCAGCTTCTTATCCTAAGGCATTTTAACTTTTTGTTTTGTTGTCTCTCTCCCTGTATAACTTGCTAAGTAATACCAGAAACATTCAAAAACTATAATTTGAAATTACCCAAAGGGGAAGAAGTCATGTTTCAATTTTCACTTCCATCCTGAAGCAGAACATTAGCAACTTCAAAACTTTCTCCTACCACATCAGACTTGAAGTGGTCACAGACTAAATACTGGACCAGACAGCACAATCAGGTGTCACTTCCCTGGGACCTTCTCAGCTTGGCAGCGCTCTGAACCGCTCCCTCTACAGATACTTGGCAGTAGAGCCTCAAAGTCCCTTGTCTGGCATGCCTCTGATTTTAGTGAGATTGCTCTTAGTGAATAAAAGAAAGAATCCAACTGAGTATCTGATCAAAGGGAGGGGAGGGGATCTGTTTTCCAGTAGCTGGGACATTGTTTTTTTTCTCTCTTAACAGTTGATAAGTCATATAGAAGAGATGCTGCAGACGGCCTACAATAAGTTCCATACGTGGCAGTCCCGGCGTATGCTGAAGAAGACGTGAAAATGCATGCTGTACAGGTTTGAGAGCAAAATCTGCAATAGGTATAGGAGTACAACCTAGCATATGTGCAGATCTTATAGTTGCTGCAGGAAGACCTGCAAGCTGTGGACTTCTGGAAACGATGCTAACTGAACTTGCACATTTTTGAAAAAGAACTGAGATTAAACTTGAAAACTGGGGAGAAAAACAAGGAAGAACCAAAACAGAAGAGCTGAGGCGCAAAAATATTTAAAAGACACTGTTTACTGCAGTTACTCAGGAACTGCTTTTGATTTGCATAAAGAGCTGCTTTCAGAAATAAAAAATTTAAAGAGGGTGTATTAATAAAATTTGTTTTTCTGTCTAACTTTTTTTTTTTTTAAGAAGTGTATGGCACAGGGTAGAACTCAAAAGTTTTTCCTCACTGGATTCTGACATTTTATTGGATTCTGTTTGTACTTTCTGCAACAGTTTTAACAATGATATTTTAAAATATAGCTGAGACTGGTTTTGCTTCAGACATCTGGGAGAGTGTAGCTGTCAGAAGACAAGCTTCTGCCGTATGTTTCCCCACTAATTGGAAGCAAGAGACATTGCACTGAAAGCTGCTTATGGTCTGGGGTCCCAAAAGGCACATAGGGGCAAACTTTTGCCTGAAGTCTTGGATTTTTATGCAGAATTTTTTCAGCCATCAGTTTTGCATGTTTTCCTTTGAGTGCAAGTGTGTGCTACTGCAATCTTTTTTTTTTACGGTGGCATTTGTTTTGAGGAAAGAATGCATTTTTAAAAACAAAGTTAAATAAAGTTTCTTACAAAAGTCTTTTATTTTAAATTCTTAGACATTTTTAATTTCTTCTAAAACTGTTTTCCCCTCATTGTTCCCTTTTGACTGTTACACTATTTTTGGCGAATTGATAATCATTGCAAAGAGAAAAAATGTGTTATTTACACAGTGTCCATAGATATTGGGAATCTGTGCCATACTTTGTTCTAAATAGAATCAGTTCACAGTTTCAGACCAACTTGTCTTGTACTAAATGTGACTTAAATGCAAAGTAAACCTGGTTTTCTATAAGATATGCAGTTTAATGACATCCTTGTATTTTGTTGTCATCTTGACTATACTAGAGCCCAATATGGGCTACTGAACTTTTTTACTTCTGACTAAACGTGACTGTTAAGACTATAAGATGCATTTACTACAAAGACAAATCAGAGTGACAATATGTATTCAAAGCAAGCACAGCAGTGTTCAGTACGGCAGAAGAAATTCCCATTAGCCTGCATGATGGCTTCATACTACATTTTGCCACCATTAGTATGATGCTAAAACATGATCATGTGATGTTGGGCGGATAATTCTTGCAAATTCCTACAGATGAAGAGATGTATTTGTATAGCCAAGTCTGTGCTTGTTCTGTGCTGCTGCTCCATTTATGCAAGAGGGGGTTTTTCTTTAACTGATGCGTGGAAGTCAGCAGCTTCTTTTTACCCAGTGTTTCTGGATTTTTGTATTATGCTAATATTTTGGTAAAAGCTGAGTTTCAGTTAAATGTCACTGTCTGCACCAGAATTCTGTTTGGAAATGTATGCATATTGTTAAGCCTAGTTTCCTTGTCTGCTTTTGCAGATAGATGCATGATACCTGCTCTGTGATGTTAATGTGGTTCTGCTACAAGAAATGACTGGGCTCGACAAGAGACGCCCATTATTTTTGACAGGGTGGAAATGTCACTAGGAATAAACAGAAGTACATACAGCATTTGGGGGATGAGGTGCACATCTTCTCAAGAGTTACCTCTTGTGATAAATAAACTGTTCCTCTAAAATTTAGATTTAGGGTATGGCTTTATTAAGCCTACTCCTCTTGTAAGTGCAGGCAGCTCCCAGAAAGATCAGGTAGTTTTGTTCTCCCCCACTTCAAAGCATTTGATCTATCAATTCTGTGGCCAAATTTCAATTCTTCAGTGAAAGCTGTAACACCTTTTATCGTATCAGAGGGCTAGGTTCAAGAAAATGTGTCTGATTGATATTCTAACTGTGCCTGAAGCTATGACAACGTGTTTGAGTATTAGGCTGCACTGAGACTTCATTTAAAAAACTCATAGACAGGAGAGTTTTGAATATGGAACTAATTCAGCTTTGCTTTGAATCAGTATTTAGTGTTCCTGGAAAGACCAGGCAAAAGGGTTAGCACGGTGGAAAAGCTTCAGTGCATCAGAAGAGCATTTTACAGTTCAAAGGACTGTTGTCTATAATCATTATGGGGGTGGTGTTGCAATAGCTTTAAGTTATTATAGCGATATCAGGCTATCAAAATGTACCTTAATTAACAGAATGGGGGGGGGGGGGGCGCGGAAAGAGGACTGATACTAAATTCAACAGTTTTGCCTAGAGACTGTACAGGCAAGGCTGCTATGCACTTCATATTGCTTTTTCAGGTATTGTGGCAATAAGGCACAGGCCCCTCCTGAAGTAAGGGAGGTAAACTTAATATTCTTTCTTCTACATTGTGTTCCCCTTTTCTGTAGCATGGTCCAAAACCCAGATTCATTCCTTAAGTTTTGAAACTGAATCATCATGCATTATATTACTATTGGAATCTTTATACTGACTTGTATTTTTAATGAGAATTCATAAAACTTGTATCATTGGCATTGATCTAAGATTTGTAGAATAAACCCTACTGAATTCTAAAGTCAAGTCTTCTCTAATGTTTAGGCTGTGTTTTCTGATGTTTAATTAAATCCCAGACAGGCTCCATTCAGGTCTAAATTAAGAGAGCTCTGTGTAGAGCTAGCTCAGCTGTCCCTTCATGCTTGTAGAAGAGGTCAGGAGCAAAAGGGTTACAATACAGTTACTATCAATTATTTCATTTTCAGGGGTTGAAAACGTTTTCTGCCACACAGGGAGTCTGCACCATTACCAGTGCTGCTGTCCCTCTGGTCCTCATCTTACCAAAGGCAGTTTTAAGTCTCCAGGGATTAGTGCTCTGCTTGTTCCATATACTGATCCAGCAGCTGTTGGTTCAGGAGAGCTGCACAGGCTGCTTTGTCAGCTTTGCTAGTAATGGAGAAAGGATAACTTAAAGCAGATATTAACGCAAGTCTGGCTCAGCTTAGTTTTAGCCTGTAAATTTCAGCAGAGGAAAATACTTAGATGCAGCACAAAAAAGGCTGGACTATTTCTCTCTCAACAAGAGCTCTACCCCAGCCAAGGACAGGAAGCAACATCTTTCCACTGGAGCCAGTCCTGCAAGTAGTTTCTTTATCTGGAAAGTCACTTGTGTAAGCAGGGGAAGTGACCACAAGACAGCCTAAGATCTGGTTTTCCATTATCCATCCTGTTTCCCTTTCTTAAGGGAAGAGCCTACCCAAGCATCCCTGCTCTCTGCAGGCAGTGTATTAAGTGGCTTTGGGGCCTTTGTACTGCAGCACAGTTTCAGCATGTGAGCCACGGTATCCCAAACCTGTTCCCAAGCTCTCCCTTACCTTGGGGCAAGAGCTGGAGTGCAATCCAAATGGAACACAGCAACGTCAGTCTGAATAGTGATCAGACATCACTGGTGATCTAACACTGATCGTCCATAATTGACCCTGATAACTAATGGCATATGTGTTCCTGCAGTAGAGTTTAAAGCCTGGGGAACTTAAATTACCTAACCCAATCTCCTGGATCTTTTTCAGGACACTGCATTTCCCCTCAGCTACCTCTAAACACATCATCTCCCCAGAAGATAACCAAGTCCTTGTCTGTAACACTGAGACCAAGCAAACTCATCGCTCTCCGTGGTAACAGCCTAGATAGATAGAAAACAGCATATCAGGGCTCTTTTGGGCTGTCTGCTGTGGGAAAGACAAGACCCAAAGGTGCAAGATGCAGCCAGAGCGGTTGGTCAGACTGAAGGAGCAGTTTGGCTGGAGAGTGACGGGCCCGCTCAAGGGCACGGGGCAGAGCCCAGACACCTCCACACGTCCAGCCCCCGGGCAGCCCCAGCTCGCTCACCAAGGGAGGCCACTATGTTTGCATCTCCCAGTTCCCGCCACCACACAGCATCCCTTTGCCTTTATACTGCCCTCCAGGCAGCTTTAGGATCACATCGGGGTGGCAGAGTGCCACAACAGTGATGTGACAGACACCTTGAGGAACGCAGCCGAGGCTGGGGCTCTTTGCTGGCATTTTCCCAGCCCACATGCCCTCAGCTGCTGTGTTTCCCACACAGTGAGCATCCCCATCCCCTCCAAAGCCTGACAGCTCTCTGGTCCTACTACTGCCACAGAAGTCCACACACCCTTTATCCTGGTAAAGCCAAACTACTCCTGTAGTTCAGGTGCCAGCATATCCCCAAGGAAAACATGTTCTAGACTTACACAGACCCTGTCCTCCATGTCTGCTAAGATCCCCTATAATGAGGTTGCTTTGTTATCTCACCCACAGATCTCACAAACCACAAATTCAATCTGAAGCTTTGAAAGGCAATGTCGTGTCCCCCCCCTAAACATCAGCTAAACCTGGACACAGCTTTGTTCTCTAGAGTGTTGGCATCCACACATCCCCACTCCACCCCCTTCCAACCTCAGTTCATTCACAGGCACAACATGACAAGCCATCACTTCACTACCATTACTGCATGCAGCAGAAGCAGCCTCCAGCACTGCTAACACCCCCCACTTCCAAGCACCACCCTCCCTGAGGGCACTGCTGCCCTTCATGCTCACCCACACGCCTGCCCATCAGCTCTTCGGCACAATGCTGTCTTCACCACACTCACACCATGCCTTGTACCCTGGGGATCCCAGATCCCTTCCGTGTAACCTCCCTGGGACTCAGCTGCCAACACGATCGCTGTGCATGCCGAGCCGTGCATTTCATCCCCTGAACCATAAGGGAAAATGTTGTCCTGCTCTTTGCAGCACTCATACCTCTCTTTTCTACCCTGCAACTACCAATCTGCATCACCTCAACAGGACCTTGACTGCAAGTTGCAGAGAAGAGGGAAGGATTTGAGCATAGCCAAGCTTAAGCTTCTGTTAAAAAGACAAGACCCTCTCTGGGAATTGGCCAGAGATGACCAGACTTTCTGGGGCAGGAGCTGCCTGTTTACAGGTACAGCACCAGGAGCATTGGCCTCAGGTGGGACTTCGAGCCCGTCACATGAATCACAGCAGCGTGTTCACTTCCTCCCTGACCTAACCTGCAGCCTCTCCACCTACAGCAGACGGGCTGATCCGGATAAAAGAGCGTTGATAATAACTTTATTTGACATACAGCGTGTCCCATGATCAGAACTGACAACTCAGAAGCAACAGCCCTATAGCAGCCACTTCCCTGTAAGCCCTCCCCTGTTTCTACCTTTGCCCTACTTCTGCAGATAGTACATTAAGGAAATAAGTACCAAGTTGTAAAGCCACGTGCTTGCTGACAACCCCAGAGCCCGGGCACGGCTCCCCTGCCTGCTACCTGTGCAGGCACCATGCTCCCCTCCCTTTCCGGGCACGAGCTGATCATCAGGTGGAGCCGAGGGACGAGGAGGGATGCTGCCGTCAGGCTGGTGCGTTTTGCTGGGCGTGCACTCAGCAGGGGCAAAGATTGCACGGCCAGAACCAGAGAGCAGCTATCCCAGCTGGTAAGCACCAAGCATCCTGTTTTGCAAGAACAGGCCACACAAAGTATGTCCCTATGAGAAATGCTTCGCAGCAGTGCGGCATGGGCACCCAGGGGCCCTCAACAAGCTCTGTATGGAGATGTTATGTCACCAACAGCAGAATGCTTCCTTTTGCTCTGCATCCCTGCTGAGCTCTGGAAATCACACCCTCAAAGGCTTTCTGCCTTCCTTCAGGTGACCAAATTGCTCCATTAAACCTGGCTTGGGCAGACTCTGCTATGATTCCAAACAACAGGAATTTCAGGAGTGTGGTTGTGGTGCTGTTAAGGTGGGCATGGTACCAGACGCACCTAATATTGTAACAAGGAGCCAGATGACTGGTTGAAAATAGTGGAATTAAGATGACAGCAATCTCATCGGTAATTTAAGGAGCCACAGCAAAGGCCAACTAGCAAACTAAAAGAGTGCTCGATAAAGA